GAAGTCAATGTGTATTGAATTGAAATTTATATTCTAAAGTATCAGAATCAATAAAAACTATGTTTGTTTTTTTTTAATATTATCACCAAGTACTAAGTGATTTGAGTTGATAAACATAGATAATCAAGAGGAAACGTAAGAAATATGACAACTTATTGGCTTAAAGTTAGTTATTATAACCAATGTGAATCTTTTAAATAAGATGCAAATATCAAGTAATATATTATACAGTAAAAATATTTTCGAAATATTTGATTTGGCTTCTGAAATACAGCCCGGTCCATTGTTTGAATTACTATGTTCTCATGAGATCCATGGCTGTGCATAATATTTATAACAAATATAAAACAAAGGCGAATCTCAAAAGTACTTTGAAACTTTTATTTTTCCTCTTAATTGAAAATTATTTTTTTTTTTAAGTTTTTCGTCGTTTTTCGATATCAACTTTGTCCCTCCCTAAAAAAATACATGGGATACGGATATGTTAATCGTGTATCTCGATGCATGCATTATTCTTGTTTTCTGACCGATTCTGGATACCTGTCATATCTTGGATAACATATCTTTTTGCAACTATACGATTAAAGTAATAATTCTACAGATTACTATAGTAAGAACTCAGTATGGTATAGACAAAATATATATGTTATATTTGGCATATTGCTATAGGCTGGGTACAAATATTGAAACAATTTGTGCCGAATGAAACATCAAATTGGGATCAATCCTTTTTTTTTTTTAGGAGGATTGATGCTCGTATTTCGTACCTCGAAAAGCTCTAAAATATGAATTTTCTTAACAAACGAAAATAAAAATTATAATAAAATTTCCTCAATTTTTCAATTATTGACTTCACTGACCCACATGAAAAAAATATCAGTGATATAAGGCCCTGTAGATTAGACGAAATGTATCAAACCAGATCCCGGTAAAATACATTAGAATTGGAGATTCTATTTAAATTCCATTGGTAATTCTACAATAAAATAGCTTTGAAAAAATTATATTTATTTTATTTTAATAAAAATCATATTAATGAGTTTAAAAGGATGTAAAAAACTAATCTGAATTGCTTTTTTATTACAAAAATTAGATTACTACTTCGTTGGACTCGTATTTCAGTTTTTGTCATTTTTTATGCATATGAATTCATTTAATATAATCGACAATGTCTTTTTTCTCGTTTTAGAAAAGAAAAATCGATTGAAATATTACAACCTAGAAATCCTCGCAAACCAGATGAATAAAATATAATACTAACCAATTTTAAAACAATATAATCAAATTTTTTCTCGATTCCTACGTCGCATTTACAAGAATACTCGGACCGGGTTATAATAGTTTTTAAACCAGTATCACAAAAAAAAAATAAAGTTTCGATGAAATTGATGTTTCTACGTTCGTAATCCCTTTTGTGGGTATTGCAAGAGAACGGGATAAAAATGTGGTCTGGTAACAGTAAGTACTCAACACAACTGTAAAAAACACAAATATTTTAGAAAACTTTAAAAAATCTATCGGTGTCGAAACAACTAGGAAGACCAAGCTATTTTAAAAAAATAGGATTACTAAGAATCAAAAATAAAACTTTCGAAACAGTTAATAACATTATGGTTTAGAGAGTGGCCTTTTTTCCTAAGGTTTCTTTATATTTTTCAAAAAACAACAGTTTTTGGGTTGTGTTCCTTCCATTCTGAATGCGAAATAATTATTTAGATCTTCATTTTTATCTCTATCTTTATTATCTTTAACTACCGGTAGAGATGTTAAATAAAATATAGGTTGTTAAATATCTTTAACAACCTCTTTCAAGTCAATATTGCATATACGTAGAGAGACAAGATAGAATGAAAATAAATAAACTGTATTTTTGTTTTGGAATATTGTTTTTATTATTATTGTAAAAATAACTACTATGTTATGAGGCTGTTTGTTTTAAGTTGTTTATTTATGTTGCTTATTATTATTGTAATAAATAATTTTTGTTCCTTCCCTACAAAAAGCTTTAATCCTCTTGGTGGTTAATTCCAAACATTGCATTTTTTAAAAAATGAATCTGTTGCTAAAGCATCTCTAATTAAGGTTTTAAAAATACTAGAGCTCTTTTTTAATCCATTTGTTTAAACTGATTATTAAGTAATAATGGTATGTACCTAATTTTTTTTTTTAAATATGTTTTACAGTCAAAGGTTAAAATCTAGCATAGTTTGTTTTCTCATATTTTTATGCAATAAGTGAATCGCCTGATTTTTACAATTAATTCAGTTATATGTAACCATATTTTAATGAAGTAAAAGGTTCGTTTGGCAACTAGAATGGATTTGTTGTTAAGAACCCCTAGTAGTCAAAAACAAAAAAAAAAATATTTATTCCTATATATGTATCTCTATATTACAAATTATGAAGCCATACACCCAAAAAGACTAAATAAAACATATTAAAATAAGATTTATGTGAATGAAACTATTAATTTTAAAGTAAAAAATAAATTAAATTACTAGTAATAATTCAATAACACAATCTAGTATTTATTTAATATCAAATAAGTTCCGTAGTTTTGTATCGTTGCACTGTCCAATACCATTTCTTAATTTATATTTATATTACATATATTGCTCAACTGTAAACTTGATCGTTAAAAAATAAAACAAAAATACTGGTCATCCCTCCCCTCTCCCCCAGCTAAATTGTTCAGGGGAATCATACAATTTAAAATTAATTAATTTTATTATGGTTTTATGAGTTTAGAATGCTATAGAACGTGTTATTATTTTATTTTCCTCCCTACACTGTCTTTAAGACAACGTTAATAAAACGTGTTATTAATTACAGTTGATTATTCTGAACCATTGTGCAGTGTAGCAACAAACTAATCAACGCCGCGCAGTGCGCTGGTCAAGGACAGCTTCCCCTTCACATTTAATAATTTCACGAGTTGCTTCAGCGGCTGATTTTTTTTTTACAGTAATATCTTACAATTATGAGAATTTCGTAAGACACTGTCATGTTAATGAAACAAATAACTAAACTGAGGTTTTTTTTTTAATAAGTCGAATGGAATTAAACAAGCTTAGAGAATGCTCTAGAGCGATTATTGAGTGTTGGTAAGTATTAAATAGGATTAAAATATTTACAGTCCTGTATATTCTTGAATTTGATAAAACGGTCATTTTTTTTTTTTTTTTTTTTTTTTTTATACACCCTATTAATTTCACTCTAGTTACCAACGGACCTGACATGTTTAAATTTTACTATTTTTTTGGGGGGAGGCTTCAACTCCAAATCCCTCCCCGTAGATGCCTGTGCTCTAGGTTTTGCATTAATTTCTCTATCAGTGTCAGTGACGTTCCAGCCTTTTTTACGAGTAAGGCGCGAAATACCGCGAGTTTCAAGCCATAGACCCGCCATTTCGTATACCTATGTTACAAAACTCATTTAGAACATAGGTTAAACTGATGTATGCATAAACTGACACTTAAATACGTATCTAATCCATAGAAACTGATAAAGATATAATACACATTGTTGATCTTGTTCGAAGAGTATTTTTATTAATTAAAAAGGAGAAAACGAACGGAATTTTCGATGACAAATCCAAAAAGTTTGTACTGTAGAATATACTTCAGGGTTTAAAAAAATTAATTAATTTATATTATAATGAACATAACGCCAAACTTGGTTAGTTCTTTAACCGGAAAAAATAATCTAAATAACTATAATATTTAACAATAATGTGATGTTGAAATTCTGTTCACTTCTTTATTCACTACATTAAGCTGCTTATTTAAAGTTACAATTGTGTAATAAAAGAGCGGTAAAATCAAAAAAGGCATATTACAAAATAAAATTCATTAATAAAATATTTATCTCAACTTTGCGACTCTTATAATTACAAACACTAAAAGAGATTAATTCAAAAAGAACTGATTGGGGCCGATAATTGTAAAAAAATTTAAATTGTAAGGCAAATTTAAATAATAATATAATATTAGATAAAAACGTGTCAGTTTAACATTACCCTTATTAACTATTGATACAATAACCGGAAACTGATTCAAAGAACCAGTGCCATCAAATATAGATGTACAAAATTGTTATCAGATAAATCTGAAATGTTTAAAAATTAAAAACACAAAATTTCCAATTATGACAACCTTCACTATTTCAAATTCGTTAAACGTTATAACAATTCAAAATATATATTTTAATATCTATAAGCTTTTAAATGAAGCTTAATCTAATTTTCTTACCTTAAAAGTGATCCTGGTTCTTTGTATGCCAGTACTTAAAAATGTTATTTCTCGAAATATAGTACTCTAAATATTTTATTAATAATAACAAAATTATAATAGCTTAATCTGACTACTGGCCTTTAGAAGTTTGTATTTCACATCAGTAAACACTCGGTATATCTTTTAAAAGTTTTAGAAAATTGGAAAACAAAATATTCCCAAATAAATATATCATTTCTTTAAAATTAATATCGGAACAATTTTTCATAACAGTAACAAAATTGAAACTTAATTGAAATATGTCTACTGAATAACTAAAATTTCATGAAATACTATATTATTTTCGAAAGAAATTATTCGACACAGAAACACGGAGTTAAAGAGCCCACTGACGACTGTTTCGAAGTAACTGGAGTTCCAAGAGATGATTCAGTTGTACCACATTAAGCCCACAAAATACACTGTTTAATTTATAAATAAATTATTTGCCATGAATAGTAAAATCTAACATTTTCTCTTATATCTTAGACGCTAAAATATAATATCATGGGCAGGAGTAAAGGAGCATGATAATTTTGACATATAATAGTCAAAACAATGTTGTTGTCTATCTTTCATTAGATAAGATTAAAGATACTAAAATATTATTATACAAATTTCAAAACATCGTTTAAAATTACTTAGTACGAGTATTTCTTGTTTATGTTTGACATAATGGTTTTTTGGTTTAGTTCTAATCTAATGTATGTATACAGTTACCATTGGTGTTGATAGTCAGGTTATGTCGGTTATAGAGGTTCTAACGTAGTTATTGTTTTCAAGTTAATGTTTTTTAGTTTTAATTTTTTTTTAAAGACACGATGGCAGAAGAGCCAAAAAAGATATCATTCGGTTTCACAAAAATAAAAAAACAGGTAGCACTTTTGCCGAAGAAGGAAGAAAAAGCAATTCAATTTATATCATGTTTAGAAGAAAATTCTATAAAGCTTTTAAATGGTGAAGAAAAAGAAAAAGAATTGCCAATAATTCCATTGCGAAATGGAAACATTCTTAGAGACAACATGATTGAAGCCTTGAAAGCGAGGAAGGAAAAAAAAGAACCTACATCAGGTACAACAGATAATGTAAAAACTGATGAATCCAAAGATGATATAGAAACAAAACCATTGACTCTTGATGAATTAGCAGCCAAAGAAATAATGGAAGACTTGAAAAAGGTTAATGAAACTGAAGAAATTCAGGAAACTCTTACAATACCCCAAACAGAAGCTGTGAAAGTAAGTGAAAAGGAATCAACATTGGAGGACTATGACAGTATGCCTGTGAATCAGTTTGGATTAGCTGTTCTGCGTGGCATGGGTTGGAAACCAGATAAAGGTATTGGCAAAAATGCTAAAATAGTGGAACCAATCAATCCAGTACTGCGTCCTAAAGGAATGGGCCTTGGAGCTGATAAAGTGATTCAAACTGTAAAAGCTGAATCTAAAGAAGAATTGGTTATGAAAAAAGGTGCTTTCATAAAAGTTATATCAGGTCATAATAAGGGCTTGTATGGTAAAGTTGAAGGATTTAATGATTTACCTGGTAGAATCATAGTTAGACTTGCTCTGCAAAATGATGTTATTTCTATTAGTGAAAATCTTGTTGTCCTTGTTACATCTAGTGAGTATAACAAAAATTCCAAGATACTCAATTTAAAAGAGTATAACGATTTTGTTGATAAAAAACCGTTGCCTGCTTCCAGTGAAAGAAAAGATAAAGCACCAGAAGGGGATTTTAAGAAACATAACAGATTAGAAGATGATAGAAATTCTAAATTAGAGCACAAAAACTTTGATTCTTATAGAAACAGAGGAAGAAAAAAGGCCGATGATATTTCTAAATATAAAAATATACGTGGTAAAAATAGCTCATCAGAGTCTGATTCTGATGGAAGGACGAGACATAAAAGTGACAAATACAAGTCTAAGAAAAGCACTAAGTATGATAAAGTTAGTGTAGATACTGAATCTTCTGATTCTGTCTCTTCTGATGACAGAAAAAAGTCAAAATCAAAAAAACATCGTAAACATAGTTCTAGGCGTAGGTCTAGGAGTCGAAGTAGAACTCATAAGAAAAAAAAGAAAAGAAATCACAGAAGTAGATCATAAATTTCATTCTTTTAACTATGTATATATTTATTTTAATTGACTTCAATATATTTATTTATATATTTCTATATCATTATTTGTTTGTCCTTAACAATTTTCATATGGTTGATATAGCTTATTTTTTATTGATGGTGGTAATTTTTACATAGTTTGATCCAATTCGAATCAGTATATCTTTTACAACTATTAACCCTATAATTCTGTAAATACTAAGATGTCTGCATCATAAACAATTGTTTAATTACAATCAACAATTTACTTTTTTATTGAATAAAAAACAAGTATGTGACTCAATACTAAATATTTTATTGTATAATATCTGTGATCCAAATTCATTTTATTTTATAAACTATATTTAAATACAAAATTAAAAACATTAAAACTGTTACAATGTTAAAAATTTCAAGTTTTCTTCAACATGATGTCGGACTACCATCCAGACCTAGTCAACGTTATCCACTTCCTCTCCCTTTTTAATTTCATCCATAAACTCCTTGAAAGAGAATGGAACAAAAGGATATCCTTGACCTTTGTAAAACTTACTTTGAAACTCCATCCTATTAAATAAATGCATAAATATTTATCAGAAATGTTTCATACTTATGTATATAAACAGTGTGTTATCAAATATAATTACCAATGTAATCTTAAAGCATGTAAAAATGCTGATAATCCTTCCATTATGCATAAAACACACACCGTAATCAATGCCCAGAAATAAAAAGTCAAAAGAAGGATTATAGATCCAAATACACCAAATTTAGCTGCCATTCCTAATCCAAATTGTTTGAAAATCATTTCCCACAGCACATCAGAAAGTTCTATAAAAATTAATGTTTTATCTCATCAGTTTACATGTTCTAAAAAATTATAATTATACTTTTTGTAATTCATGTGGCATTAATCATAATAAATTAATTTTAGTTTTTATTTGATCACCACAATTAATCATCATCTTATGACTAAGACTTTATTTATTCATAACATAATTTTACCTACTTTTTAATTATGATGTAGAGATGGTTGACTGTGATATAATATGAGGAGTTGATCGGTAGTTAACTGTTGAGTTGATTGTAGTTAATAATGATTTTATTATTATTTGGGTAAACATATTTTTGAAGTAGTATATCAAGCCAACCTGTTTCAAATTCTCTTTAAATGAGAGCTCAAACAAATCCGCAGGCTATTTAGAATCAAATAGATTGAAAAAACAATACAAACCTAAAACAACACTACACCAATTTTTAAAATTAAATCTTTATTAATTTTAAAAAGTATTTGTTTGCCTCACAATTCTCTCAAATTTGAAGAGTATTCATTGAAATTAAATTTATTGTATGTAGTGATTGAATATCATACGATCATAAAAATGTGGTATTTTAAAAGCTTAGATTAAAACTATTGGACAATCATATAATTATTTTAATTTCTACCTACATTCAGCAATTCCAACCCCAAATTTACTCTTGTTATTTTTCACAGGATTAGAATTTTCATGAATTCAGCTGTGGCAAGAGAACTACCCCTCTTCCAAGAATTCCCCAGAACTAGTCCAAGACTAGCTTTCCTAGAATTAACTACAAAGATTAGTAGTTCATAGGGGTAGTTGGATATCCCCTTTTCATGATCTGTTCATATTTTCACTCTTTCATACTTAAGATAGTTTTTTATGTGAGTGTATAAGTTGGAAATGGTCTCATACTTCTGCTGTTACATCATATACTTAAGATTAAAAATATGTAGAGCAGAAACTAAATTTCATTCAAAGGGCTTCATCTATCTGGTGAAGATCATGTGCTTGTTATTATCGGTTGGTAAGTATAGAATTCGTCAATGTGAGTTATTGTTGAACATCAAAATTATTACTGTTCTAAGTACAACTCAAAAGTGGACCAATAATTCCCCAAGATTAATAGTTCCTTTTCAGTGGGTATAAGTGGAATTAAGTACCCAGGATCCCAAGTATGAGTCATCTGAGGAAGACTTCATGACCTTAAAACCATTCCTGGAGTCATACTTTTCACTCCACAGTTGGAGGGACAAGTCTGGTTTGGTGTTCTCTCGCCAAATTGTAAATATTGTATATAGGTGTGTATGTGTTCTTTTTATGTATAGGTTATTTTATTCTTATTTATTGTATATATATTATTTTTCTGTATAATTTATTTTATTTATTGTACATTGAGTGTGAATGTGATCTGTGAACTCTATTATAAATGTCCTAGAGACAGATTGTAATATTTTTCAATAAATAAGCTTTAAAAAAAACCATCCAATGAAGTGTCAAATTCATCAAAATACTGTAATTACAGTAAGTTGAATATTGCTCTCCAAGACACCAATAAAATTAACACTGGTTTTGCTTCATAAACCATCAATCAATAAGAATAAGTTATATTACAGGTAATTAGTTTATTCTAGCTAGAATGAGATGGTCCAGATTCCTTATGTTGGTCTTCTTCAGTATCCATAAAATTCTTTGATGAGGGATATTAAATTTCTGAACAAAATCTCCATTTTTAATTTTAAAAATTAACAATTTCTATTGAAACAAAGTTTTAGAACTCTTAAAATAATACATAAAATACCTTTCTAGGTTTCTAAATAATTAGTAAAATTAATCTCGTGTAGTGAAAATAGGCTTTTTATTTAAACATTTTTGAAAACGAATATTTTTATTCTCCTCTAAACTTTTGGCAAGTGTCAATTAACTGTCACTTAAATCCAAAACATAGTTAATTTATATTTCCAGGTTCCTTTGAAAAGCGGGGTTTTTGTAGATCTCAGAACACTGAGATGACACTATTTACACGGCGCGAATCATGTAAACTCAGAATATGTGTATGAACATTACATAATGCGCTATCACACTGTCCTATGTTACAGTTTTAAAAATATACAACCGAGCTTACATTTATTTTAATGCCCCACTAGTACTTATTATATATTTTTATCTATCTTACACAACGTAATTTTTATTCACTTCTTAGAATTTATACACACACAGATATATGTATATATCCACACATATTTCTGTAATATGTTTTGTTTGGTTATTATCTAGTCTGCCCTTCTCACTCATGTAGAGTATCTATAGTAACTATGTAATCTACAGTCAACTATTTTCCTTAGTTATATGGCCGTCCTCCGTCCTCACCACTTGGCCTGCCCATCGAAGTCTTCCGAGTTTGATAAACTTGGCCACATCAATGTTATTATACAGACAAGAAAGTTCCGTCTCCTTCAGGTGCTTTGCTCCCAAACCGGATCAAAATTTCTTCTGAATATTTTTCGTTCGAAAAAAAATTAGCCTCTATGTCTCGTCAGTGACTGGTGAAGGAACACACTTCTGACCCTTATGTAAGAACTGGACGCTGAACTTGACACAAATTGATCTTGACTAAACCAAAGTAGCTACGACTAGCTACTGCGATCCTTCTGTGGGTTTACACTAAGACGTCGTTTTGAGCATTCACTTCAGAACCCAGGTAAATGGAGATTTACACAACTTCAAATCTGTATTCACCAACATCAAACCAACTAACTCCCACTCCTGCTATAAACTTCACCTGGATTCATTGATAGCCAAGCCAGGTTTTCTTACTTCTTCGTCAAGAGCAAGAACCGCTTTCCTGAGGGCACGTTCGGAATCTTGCAGCAATGTTAAAGTTGTCTGCTTATCCCAATAGCCGAACTAACCTATTAAACAGTGTTGCCCAAACGTATATGCCTGATCGGCGCACTCGCTTTACTAAGAAATTAAAAATGAGGCATGCCAGAGCATCTTCATGTCTCACAACATAGTTCGTTATTTTCGATATATAGAATGATCATATCTAATACAAATCACACTGTTCAAGCCGAACATTGTCATATTTACAAGAAGATTTTTTTTTTTTTTGGAATGTTTATTTCATCTAAGGCAGAGCTGATAGAGCTACGGTCGGTTTTACTGTCTAATGCAGATTTCAAGTCCAGGAAAAAAGTGATGGATGCTTAACCATTTTGTACTTCTTTGCTTTCTTGAGGACCATTCTCAAGTAGGAAATCTGATCTGTGATTGATCTACCCCTCCTGAGCTCAGCCTGATACCAACCTATCTTTCTATCAGCATGTAGGACGAGTCTCTCGAAAAAGATGTTTGTCAACACCTTGTAGACATTTCATAGAAGAATAAATCTAGATAACTGTCACATTTTCTTCATCTTGTTACCTTTCTTGTGAAGTGAACAAATAATACATTGTCTCCAAACTTCAGATATTCATTCCTCTTCCCCATAAAAAGAGATAGCTTGTACTCCTGAGGGAGAAGTTTTTATCTAAATCCTGAAAAGAGCAGTTTAGCAGGTATCATTCGCAGAACTGCTAAAAGAAATTGACCAATTGGACCGTTTCGAACAGTCTCCTATGGTTTTCCTTGCCTGGAATACTTCAAATTCCAAAGAAATACGTCTATTATCTGGTTAGCTATAACAGTGCTTAATTAAAACATATGCTAAACTAATCATATATTTGCTAAAATGTTTGATACAAATCTATAGATCAATTAGAATTACTATATAAATAAAATTAGGTATAATCTAATAGCTACATAGAAACCTTGCCACTTTGAGGAAAAGAAGGTACCTATCATAGCTGAATCAGGTATGAAAAACTACTCATCTCCCACCATTACGAATAACTACTTAACAATAATTAACGAAAGGCTCTAAATTAAGAAATATTTCAATTATCATTTTTATTTAGAATAAAATCAGTTTTGTATACATAAAAAACCTCGAGTTTTGAAAAATTTCTAGTGATAAATTTCAGATCTCTTTGACAAGATTGCTCTTTTAATGAAATCATTACAATTCAGGAAGGTTATGATTACCCCTTATCAAATTTAGTTGTTTTTAATAAATATGCATTTAACATTAAAATAGTTGTTAATTTTTTTGTTGTATTTACCTAAATATTAAAATTAATGAACTTTTAACTTGTTTAATAATGTTTCAATAAAAGATTTTATGTAATTATTTTCATCAAAATGCATCTGTTAAAGCAGATAAGAAAAATAGCTGTAGGCATATCTGGAGGTGTGGACAGTGCTGTTAGTGCTTATTTATTGTCCAAGCAGTACGAAACCGTCGGTGTTTTTATGAAAAATTGGGATTTGATCGATGAAACAGGAGTTTGCAGTGTTGAAAAGGATTTAAATGATGCCCAGGAAGTTTGTAACTTATTAGAAATTCCTTTGTATGAAGCAAATTTTGTTAAGAAATATTGGACTGAAGTGTTCGATAACTTAATTTTAGATTATAAAAATGGTCTTACACCAAATCCTGATATTCTTTGCAACAAAAATATTAAGTTCAATTGTTTCATAGATTTTGCTTTTAACAAATTGAATGTCAACGCTATTGCTACAGGTCATTATGCCCGTACTATTATTAGTGATAATTTTAAACCACCAGGAGCAAAATTGCTAAAGGCCCATGATTCAATCAAAGACCAGACATTTTTCCTCAGTCAAATATCACAGTACGCGCTCTGCAAGACTATGTTTCCCATTGGTAATCTCCTTAAATCACAGGTTAAAGAAATAGCCAGGAGTGTAGGTCTTGAGAGAATTGCAAGAAAGAAAGAATCAATGGGTATTTGTTTTATTGGTCCCAGAAATTTCCAAAATTTTATAACAGAATATATTCCTCCATCCAAAGGGAACTTGATAGATGTTGATAATGGGAAAATAGTAGCCCAGCATTATGGCAAACACTGTTGGACGATTGGTCAGAGATGTAAAATTGGTGGATTTGATGATGCTTATTACATAGCTGTGAAGACTGATGGTGAAGATATATTTGTAGCTAAAGGACATAATCATCCAATTTTGTTCAGTGATAGTGTTATTACAGGACCAGCACATTGGGTTCATTCAGAACCAATTAATTTGTCAAAATACCCCTTTCAATGTGAGTTTAGGTTCCAGCATGGAAAACCATTAGTTAATTGTTCCGTTAATAAACTTACAAACAACAATTTATTTATAAAGTTAGAAAAACCACTAAGAGCTTTAACACCTGGACAATATGCTGTATTTTACAAGGGTAATGAATGCTTGGGAAGTGCAAGGATATTTGATCCAGGTCCATCAAAATACTGTTTAGCAACACATAAGTAAAAATATAATTGATTGAATAAAACCTGTTGTTTTAATAAAAAGAGTTGTTGCTTTCTACAAATGGATAAGAAAAATGTTTTATTGTTCTAACCCTATATAGCTGTTTAGTGTGCCTTATGATTTAACGAATTCCATAATATTGCTATTTTCCTCACCCATTTTATTTTTATTATTGTTATTTAATTACTTTGATCATTAGTTATGAAGATTATTATTTACAAGTTGGGGTATTAAACCACGTGGGTCATATTAGCCCTTACCCAATATTTGAATTTACAAAATAAAAAACATTAAATAATAAAGAATTTACAATAAATCTAATGGCACAAAACAACATTAATAAGTTTCATTTAAATCAAAACAAAAATTAACAAAAAAAAAATTAAGATGATTAAAACTTTTTATTTTAATTATGTAATTGATATTTAATTATGTAAATATTGTAATATGCAACTATATTGCAAATGTTTAATATCAGGCTATTATTCATAATCTAGTTTTTATTTTGAATGGATAAAATATATTCATTTAAAATAAGACCTTTATTTTTTGTTAATAATGATTTAGTTGATCAATAAGAATTGGTATTTGGGTCAATCTCAATGTAAGACTTGGTTTATAACTGTATCTTATTTATATCTATCAATAAAAATATTTAATACATATTTAAATATTTAATACATACGGGCGTGGGCCAACGATAGAGCCCATAGTCTCAAATACGAAGCAGTGTAGCTGATTGAGCCTAATACAAATTCAATAGTGTGAATACATTGATGTATTAATATTTCTCCTACACCAGCTTCTTCTTCGTGATGTATCCACTCCATACTTCCAGCATCCTTCAAAGTGTATTCAACAATTAGGTTAGTGAATATGGCTTAATTTATGTGAAAGAATTGGAGTAAAACAAATCTTTTATTACCCAATTCCCAAGTGGATGAGTGTTATGATTTGAGTAGAGCTTCCTTAATATCATTAATAGTAATGATTATTTATAGTTGAGAATTGCCAACATAAAAACAAAACAAGTTTTTGTTTAGTCTAACAATCAATGTTTTAATTCAGGGGTCTCCAAACTTTTTGGTCTGAGGGCCACATTGAGACCTCCACTAAGTCTTGCAGGTGATGACAAGAAATAATTTGTCCTATTAATGATACTTCAGTTGTTAAATAATCTTTCTAAAAGAAAGCTTTTGCAATAAATGTTGTAGTAATCTCGGCTATGATTGATTTACTAAATTTTATATTTTTTAAATAGTTTATCAAACTTTATCATGTATTGGTGAATGGCCATGTTTTAGCTACAGCAAAGATATAAGGGACAAACTGATCAAAAATATCAATAACCTAATATATAAGAAGGCAGTTTGAAATTATTCAATAATGTTGAAGAAAATGAATAATAAAAAATACTGTAAAAGAAAAATATAATAAAACTATTTCATTAATTAATAATCATTTTTTAAAAAACAATATTAGAGAAAAAATATCATTTAGCCATACCTCTTTTTCCAGTACTTCATTAGATTTTTTTTTATCAGCAGGTGGGCAATCTATTATGTGATCCTCTTTCTTACTTTTTTCATCTTCAAACCTAACTTTGTGGCCTTTATTATCATCCAGATTTTTCTTTTTCAATTCCTCTTCCTCTTTTTCTTCCTTTTTTTTCCTCTTTATGAGAATAATTGGCTTTATTATGAGCATCCATGGTACACAAATAAATGCTAGAATTACCACGGCCCTTTCAAAAATATTCTGTAATTTTTTTCAAAATGCTGAACTTAGGCTGTTTAAAACAGTTGATATTAATAGTACTTAACACAAAAATGTATGCTGTTTATAACTTTATCATAAACAGTCTAAAATACCAAAAATAAAATCAAGTATTCCTATGAGTTAAGAAATTAAATTATCACTACTTATTTATCTAGGCTTCTGTTAGGATAGGATCTTAATAATCTTGAAAATTAAAATGTCACGATTTGAATTGTTCATCCCAACTATTCAAAGTTGTCAAATTCTTTACTAGGAGTACAAACTTACGAATATAAACTTTTTATGATTATAATTATTGAGAAAAGAAATATTAAATAATCTCAAAGTCCTACTGTCCTTGTAATATATTCCAAATATTTAAAAATTACTTATATAAAATTAAAATTATCTATTCAACTAGTTCATTTACTATAATTTAAAGAAAGCAGCATGTCTCTTAGTAATCTTTTAAAGTTTACTGATTAATTCTCTTTTGATAATTCATTTTTTACCTGGTGCTTTTTTAATGGATACTGCAGATAATCTATTGCTTCTAGTTGAAAGGTTTCACTGACTAATAATAGGTGGTCAACATTATTTGATTCCAGGCTAATGTGATGGACAAAATTTGCAGAGCTTAATTTTTATTTATGTGAGACAAAATTTAGTGCTTATAATATTTTGTCTTAAGCATTTTGTACGTTCTTTCTCTCATTAGAGTGAATTTCTATCGTGTTATTAGTAATATATTAACAAAATAATCTGTTGTATTTTTCTGGCAAGGGATTACAAATATTCATGGTGAGCAAAGGAGGGTAAGACAGCCAATTGTGACTAATGAGTTGATACATGAAAATTCGAGGGAATGGTTTGTTCGTGAGGATCACAGATTGACAGTGGATGAAATGTCTGCGATGTTTCCACAAATTTCCAGATCTCTGTTTGAATTAACAATTACAGAAATGCTGGGATGTTAAAAATATTCACATGCATAGAAAAAATTTTTTCTAACTAATGAGATGAAACAAGAGATCTTGAAGTGGAGGAAAGCGATGGTGGGAGGAGAGCATCAAAAAGCTTGAAAGCTTGTGCCACAACTTATAACCTGTGTACCAGAAAGGTGATTACATAGAAAAATAAATAACATATATAGTTTACTGTATCCAGTAATATATTTTTTTTTTTTTAGATACAAAAATTGAGTACTCTTACTTTATGGACATGTCTTTTAGTCATGGAATAACTCTTTGGGTTTACTTGTTTGTAACATTTTTTAAAAGCATATCTACCTAAAGTGCAGTCCACTGTGACCTTACAAGTCAACAAAGTGGCCTTTGTAACCATTGGAGTTGTCCAGGTCTGGCATATTTGTGTCGAAATTAGTTGAAAACAATTTGCCAACAAATTATAATGAAGTTAGAGATTTGAGAATTTATGACAGATTGATTTCTTTACCAGTTCATTATATGTGTATTTTACCTGAAATGAATATATGTGTTCATCACATTCATCAGGCAGTTTATTGCTTGAAGTCATTAAAATCATATCTATAAAACAGATGATTATCGAAGGAGCACAAGCTGAACTTCTACCACTACCTGAAAATATATTTTTTAGATTGAATATAAAGAAATAAATCAGTTATAACCTATAGTCAGTATGTTAGTATAAACATCTTGCCTCTTTAATTAAAAAAAAAAATCATTTATTTAAACACATTGTTCATAAAAGACTAACGTTAAAAACTAAGTGTTTAACCATTGTTTCTGAAAGAAAGGCAGTGATTTAATAAATAATTATTTAATGTAAAATGATTTAAAATCATAAAAATTTCTCAAATTTTAATCGTGATTTTGGTTCTTCTTAAATTTCTTTCCTTTAGGTACTGAGGGGGAGTGGGGTAGTTCAGTGGTAGGACACTGAGCTTCCAATGCAAAGGACCTAGGTTCGAACCCCGGCTCATGGCAGAAAATTTTATTTATCTGTTTCATTGGCCGTGGGCGACCCTGGGTCAGGAGACCTTCCTGGGGCACACCCAGCCTCTAAAACGAGGGTAGCCTAAATTAAGTAATTAATTAAGGGGGAAAACCTGGCGGTTGAGCGTGATCTCGGTCACATCACCTCCTTGCACAACCGTTGACCTAGAAAGGATGCTTTCCCTAAATAGTACTGAACCCCAGATCCTTCATGGGTTGTAGTGGCACAGGTTTTAGGTACTGAGAACAAATAACCTTAAACTTCGTTAAGTACGCCCTCTTACTTCTAATCACTGTTCATCATCATCATCATCATCATCATAGTTGGTGCAACAACCCGTTACCGGATCTAGGCCTCCTCTAAAAGTCTCCGCCAGTAGTTGGCTCTATCTGTTGCTGCAGCTCTCCAGTTCCTAACACCGAGGAGATTGCATGCGTCCGCTGTGATGGAGTCAGGCCACCTCACATTTGGCCTACCCACTCTTCGCTTGCCATGAAGCTCTTCGGCCAATGTCCTCTTAGGGATCTCATTCTCCTTCGTCCTTGCAATGTGCCCATCGATGGCTCCCAATCTTGATCCACTTAATGATATCAGAATCTTTTTACAGTCTTGAGAGTTCCTGATTCTTCCTCCTTATCCAGGTGTCTCCCTCTCGAACCAGGCCAAAAATTCTTCTCAATATCTTCCGAAGAAGTGAGGATACCCAGGATGCTGATTCGTCCGGTGAGAATGACCATGTTGGGGTCGAACAGCGTGGTTCGTATCGGATCTGAACTCTCTGAACCTATTGCCACAAACATCGGTGTGAGACAGGGAGATGCCCTGGCATGCCTTCTGTTTAATTTGGTGGTGGAACGACCAGTACACAGATCAAGGATCCAAACACAGGCCACCTTATTCAACAGTACGATCCAGTTGCTAGGATATGCAGATGACTTTGACATAGCTGTCAGATGTGAGCGTGCCCTAAAACAAACATTCCTGGCTCTAAAACAAGAAACCGAAATTCTTGGCTTGGTCATCAACGAAGCCAAGACAAAGTATTTGAGAATAGGACCATCAGAGATAGGGACAGGTTTTTTCGAAGTTGGGCCATATAGATTCGAGAGAGTGCAAAGTTTCGTACACCTGGGCTCAGAAATAAATGCTCAAAATGACATATCCCAGGAGATCAACCGAAGAATTGCCGCAGCCAATCGGAGCTATTTTGGGCTAGCAAAATACTTCAAAAGCAGACACCTCTCCAACAAGACCAAGATAGGCCTATATAAGAACCTGATTCGTCTGGTACTTACGCATGGGTCAGAGACCTGGGCCTTCACTAGAGCCAGTGAGAACCTCCTTCTGGTGTTTGAAAAAATAAAAAAATATCACTGTTCTGCATCTCTTAAGTTCTGGCCCTTCACCAGATCTTGATCTTTATTCTTTAGCTGGAGCAGGTCTTTAATTGCTGATGTTGTCTCCTTAATCACTGTAATTGCTTTCGATATTCTCCCAAGATGGCTGAGTGGTGGCCCTATAACAGAGTACTGTTTTTCAATTGACTCTCACTGCCACATAAACAACGTAGATCATGAGCAAATATTCTAGTCTCCTGATTAGGGATCAATTTATTTTACATTACTGTTTAGCCTGACATGAAAGCTCTCAAAATAATTTACCGAAACTAAGGATCTGGGTAGACCCATATTTTGCAGTAACCTGTGATTTACTAGTGAGGAAAAATGTTCACAGTTCCTTTCATGTTAGTCACTCAGTCAGGCAATAATGTAAAAATATTGATTTTATGGTTTACAGTTATTGAGCATAGACATAATTGCTTGATTTAATTAATTATGTAAGAAAAGTAATATTTAATAGTTTTAAATTCTTACTATTAAGAGTGAAGTAAAATGCAACCAACTTACCATGCTCAGAACCATATGTGAACCACTTAATTATTATTAAGAAAGCTAAATAACCAAAAAGAAATGTGAAGAATAACACTTGAGGAATAAACTCAGTATATATTGAAAGATAATCCTTGAAAAATCTGTAAATACCAATACTAGTTATCTATCAGAGCATTACTTTAAACTAAAAAATAAATAAAAACATAACATATCTTCTAAATAATTAAACCAAAAAATTAATAAAATAAATCAAAACATAACTTATCTTCTATATAATACAAATTGAAAAGTATAATAAAATTTTTGAAAATGAAAATGGTGATAGTCAATCTGAATTTTGAAAACTAATTTGAATAAAAACAATAAGATATAAAAAATAATTTATTCTTTCATTGGATATAAAACATGAAAAATAAGGTTGTGAGAGATAAAAGAGGTTTTATCAATGCAATAGTTCATGTCAAAATTAGTCAGTTTCCAAACTTCATACATTAATTAAGTGATGTATAAATCAAATTCCCTACTAATATCATGCTGAACCATGTTCAGGAGGAAAAGTCAAAATTAAGATTTTAAAATCATATATCTTTATTAGATCATATTTGTTCAAAATTTAAGCACTAGTTTAACTGAATAGGGTCGTTAAAGAGGCAAATAAACAAGAAATAGTTATTTATGAAAACAAAATGTTTTTATTAAATGTAAACACATATTTCTATATGAAAAAAAAGTTGCATTGTATATATATATGTACCAGGAATATAAAGGCAATTAGGGAATTTTTTTGATCTTTCTATTTTTAACAAGGAAAGTAAAAATAGATAGTAAAGTTAAATGTGACTTACAGAGAATTTAAGAAAAATAGCCAAATACCAAAGGTCATTTGTAGAACACCAAATATCACCGATATTTTCATTTTAAATGAATTGTAGAAATCAATTTGGTTATGGGCCATCTGCAAATGAAATAAATAAAGTAATGTGCTATTCAATAATTGATTTGATCATTTTATAGTGTTTCAATGAGAAAAATGTATTCAAGCTGTGACATGTTTACAAAAAAGAAATGGTGACATGTTTATTGATTGTTTGCCATGTCTTAAATTGATTTACAGGTTTTTCTTTTTATTTTCAAGTTATTCAATAACGTTTTTCAAGTTATTCATTGAAAAAACACGCAATGACATAATTTAATCACTTTCATGAGATAAGGTGATTCTAGACACTAAAATAGATAAACTAAGGGATTTTAAAAAAAATCTTGGGTGCTTATCATTCTTTGAAAGTGCAGAGCGTAAAGAAATGAAGGAATACATATTGATATCCAATTGACCTAATAGACAAATAATAGGATCTTGATGAATTTTTAAAACAATCCTTTTTTCAGGTATAAATCAAAAAAAAATTGGAGAAAATGCAACTGTTAAGAGGAGAAACCTTTTACTAGGAACTGTACCACAGTACAAATTCAAACAAAAAAATGTTCACCACAAAACAGCCGGCATCTCTACATTGTTGTTTGCATTGTCCTATTAAAATGGCAGTATACAAATAATTCTATTGGCCACATGAAAAAAATGTTTCTCTGGTCTCCTCAGCTAGAAAAAGGCAGAATTCCTCTGACCCCTTTTTAAAATATTAGGGTGAGGAAGAAAGTGCCTTGCCTGTTTTTCATTGTTACACAGTACGGTGCAATCGAATAGAAGATCAAGAACAGGATAGTTTGGGCTAAACAGTACTACATTAGACTTCATAGGGGTACTTTTCAAGTGACAGTTCTCTGGAGGAAGAGTTTAAGCCTTGATGTTTTAACTGAGTGGCTTACTTAAACTAGGCTCAGAATCAGGGGCTGGGTGAGGGCTTTCAGATCAGAAATATTTGGATGTTGGCACAGGAGTCTCGAAATCATCATTGCCCAACTAATTACGATAATGAATCAGGACTATCCTAACAGCTTTTCGTCAGTACTAATATTCATAAATACTATACTAATCAAGTTAGTGGAATAGATAAAATACTGCTGCATCCTAAATCTTTTAATCAAAATTAGATAAAATCCCAGTTTTTAAAGAGTATTTCATACCTCATATTTCTTACATTGGGTAAGCTTCTAAAATTACAAATTAATTCTTACCTTCCAAACTGGATCCATTCCAACTGGATATGGTTTTTTTGTGAAGCCATTCCCTGGGTCCAATTCCACAAAAGGTTCAGTTTTGCTCGATGATACAATATCATCACTAACAATCCAACTACTTCCAAAAATATTAAGACTGAGAGCAAAAACCTCGTTATAAATGATACCAGTATAAATTGAAGCAATACCCATTAATAATATTATATATCTTCCTCCAAAAAGTAAGTTCCATATCTTTTGAGTAACATGAAAAAGATTAGTAAATATTAATTAAATTGATTGTGTTATAATTCAAGTATAAAGAATAATATGTGCTGCCTTAAAAATTCATTTCTAGAACTTGCAGTTAATCTATATCATTTTAATTCACTTTTCCGTAGAGCAGTTGATATTGTAATTGAAAATTTTCTGTGGACCTTAATAAATTATATTTCAGTCAGAAAGACAATCAGGTCAAATCTTATAATAATATATTGACAATCTTTACAATCCATCTAACAAGTTCAGTGCATTAATGTAACTGTTATAAAATTGTAACAGATCAACATATGGTATTTTACCTCTGAGATCTAAAGTTTGTTATAGTTATAAACTGAATGAAAAACTACTGTGAATAACTATAAAATCATAGTAAAAATAATAAAATATAAATTATAAATAATAGCTCATTACAAAGAAGATGAAATGTTGAACATTTCCCTGGCTTACAGTATGCAGGTCCCTTTTTTAGTATCTGAAGTATTTTAATCCATATGTTCAACCATCCTCGTTATTATTTGGTTTTCGACACTATTTTTTTCTATTCGCCTCCTTGTCACGGCCTCGCGTTAAGATATAATTTTGAATTATAGCCTATTACAGAGGGGATGAAATGTTGAACAATCTCCTCGCTTGCAGTATACAGGCCCGATTTTTAGTTTCTGAGATATTTTAATCCCTAATAAAAACATTTCAATTAGTCGACCCCAACCGACTTTACCCATGCGTTAAAATTTCGCGTCACTATACAAAAAATTATGGCTGGTTTTAAAATATTAAAGGAAACATACAAATATTTAAAAATAATTGCTTGTTGACGAAATTAATAAAATGTAGAAGTGGATTTTTGGAAAATTTCTGAGCTTTGTTAACATCTATCACAAAACACATTGAAAAAAAGAGTTAATAATAGTATATATATATATATATATATATATATATATATATATATTAAAATATATATATATACACACATATATATATCATTATACAAATAATAAAACACAAAATGGTTCAGCCCCTTTTTTTTCCTCTATTATTCAACCGATTTCCTTCCTTCTTTTTTTGTTTGATAGCTATTCGCAAGATTTAGTGTTATCAATAAATAATAATATGAAATAGTATATGTAAATAAAAATATAAATGGTATTTTGTTCAAAACAGCTAATCTCTGAAAGTTCTTCACCAATTTTTTTTAAATTTTGCCACATCACAAAACTCATAATTGATTGATATAAATAAAATATTATTATTTATTATAATTAACAGTTTATGACATGTTAGTTTTTTAACTATTTTTATTTTTACTGTATTGTATATACTTTTGATTATTATTTTGTTCTATTTATTTTATTTTTTTGTACATATGGTGTGAATGTCATCATACCTCACTATAACCAATGTCGAACAGACAGATTGTTATAATACTCAATAAAGAAATTTTTACTAATATTATATTTTTACTGGAATTTTAAAAAACTTTTATGATGAATACTTTCTAAAACAATTAATTATATATTGAGTAATCATGGTTCCTGATGATAAATCTTTTTGATTTACTTATTTTACATAATTCATATATAAAAAAATTCCTTAAAGCCATCCTTTTTGTGTTATTCCCTATTATCCAATTTGGTATTCCCTCAAGCCAGGGGTCTCCAAACTAAGGCCCGCAGCCCGGATCCGGAGAACTGTAAACACTTCTAACTCGGCCCATGAAAGTTTCTTTCATTACATTGTAAAATTTTAAAATTAATTTAAAAATACAAAATTTAGTTAATCACTCAAGCAGGAGATTTCTGCTTCATTTATTGCATGAGTTGTTTCTTTTAGAAAGCTCATTTCACAAATGAAGTGCCATTTATTCATCAAATGCTATGGCCCGTGGGATTTAATGGTGGCTCAATGTGGCCCATTGGACATAGTGGAGGTCTCAATGTGGTAAATCTTGTGGCCCACGGGCTAAAAAGTTTGGAGACTCCTCCTGCCTTAAGCAATCATTCATAACATTTATATTTACTCAATACTTTGTTTAAACTAGATTAACAATTTAATTTTTAAAATTAATAAGGTTATAAGTTTTGGCTGTCTCTATGTATAATATGATACCTCATTTTCAATATTTTTTGAAATGAAATACTTCTCCCAAGAGATAGCAAACACAGCAAACAATGTTAATAAAATTCCATGACCCAAATCTCCAAACATAACAGCGAAAAGAAATGGAAAAGTCACTACTGTATATGGCACTAAAACAAATATATTCACAATAAAATCTTCGATAACAAACAAATATTACTACTGATGTAATCGTAAATGTGAAGAAATAGTTATACTTTTAAATAAAAGTTTTATTATCTCAGGCTAATGAATTTTAAAAATGATAACTAATGTTCTTGCAATAAATTAATGTAATTTTTAATAATGTGGTTACTAATTTAATACGAAATTTTTATTCTCATTATTTTGTATTAATAATCAATATTTATATTTCCAATTAGTGTAATGTCTCGTCCAAAATTGATAATTTTGTTAAACTCAATTATAGTCCACTGCCACACACTGAGGCACTCCAATTTTCATAGTGAGAAGTGGGAAGAATCTTGTCAACACAAGGAGTCATACAAAATATACTCCAGGACAAAGATTACTTTTTTTGTTCATAATAAGTATATTAAAATTGTTTATAAATACACTTATATGTTTCAATAAAATTTAAAACTTTTTTTTTAAGTTAAAAGTCTCAAAAATTTGTCAAAAAATTATAAGCATAATCAGTATTTATGCTTCCTATAATAGGAATCCTATTATTGTAAAGTCTTATCCAAAATTGGTCATTTTGTTTAACTCAATGATAGTCCACTATCTCCCTGTGTGGTACTCCAGTTTTGTATTTTGTCAACAAAAGAGGTTATGCTAAGTATACCCCAGGAAAAATATAGCTTTTTGTTTAATCATTCATAATAAGTTTATTAAAATGGTAAATAAATAAAGTTATATGTTTCATTTAGATTTAGAACTTCATTTTTAAGTTAAAAATTTGTCAAAAATTATTAACATTTTTACAATTTCCATTTCTAAATTATTTGCGATTCCAGAAACATACATCATATAAAGCTAATAACAAAACACCTATGGACCACAGAATTCCAAAACAGCCAACTGCATTCTCAAAATTTTTATTTAACAGTAATAAAATTTTAAAAGTTCAAGTTAATCTTCCAAAAATAGTAATATAACATGTTATTAAACTGTTTTTAATAGAAATTTTTTAACTTCATGATAATCAAGAACCAAAACTGTTAGTGAAACATAAAGAAGAATAGAAAATGGAATTGGCAGGTTATTAGATTGGTCTCATAAATGCTAAATTTATTAGGTTAATTAAAATTAAATAGAATTATTTATTTATTTTTTTACTCTATATTTGGAACTATGGGAAATATAAAAAGACATAAATAATTACTTGGATTCAGTTCTTTGTAGTTTGCAATGCCATACGCATTAATGATATTTTGAAAACCAATAGTAAATTTATTTAATCTAAAGTATGTAGGTGGAGGTTCTTTGTAATGTAAGCGAAATATTATAGGCTTTATTTCCCCTCCTAAATTTTTCTAAAAAAAAACAGTGATAATAATATTAATGAGACCATGATTAAAAACTGAGTATTTTTGTCTAGTTAAGTTGTACATACACTTTCATTGACCAAAAGCTCATTTAGAATTTCCATATTAGACAAAGGAATCCAGCATTCTGCAACAAGAAAGGATTCACTCGCATCCACTTCAAATTTGTTCAATGTATGATAGATAGCCTTCATTTTTTTGGCTTCAATTAACCAGCGTTTCAAATTCGATGCAGCTAATTGTAACACACGTGTGAAATGTTCCTTAGTTGTAGCTATTACCTAAAGCAGAATAAGTTAAAATAATAATTTGTTCATAACAACTTAAAAATCTAGTTTAAAAGAAAGTTTATAAATATAAATAAAATATAAAGTGTTCAATAATTATGAACATTGTGGTATTCGTCATGATATTAAAGAAGATGGAGAACTGTTCTAATCATGAGCATAAGATCTGCAAAGGCAAAATGAATAAGCAATTTTTTCTCTTTCCTCTTAATGGCTTTTGCTGTTTACAAAAAAAAAAAAAAAAAATATATATATATATATATGTTCAATCTCACTATAAAATAACAAGACTGCAAGTAATTATTCTAGAAGAACAATGGAATAGAAAAGAAACCTATGTAACAAGAATAACTTATTTATTTTGACTAAGAACGACCACAAATATTTAAAAGGAGACATACGTTGTTCAAACATGAGTGTCATGAATCCTTCCTGATAATATCATAATAAACACTGTATAAATACAGTTTAATTATTAATCCAAAATAACATATTCAAACATTAAACAATTTATTTCTATTTACATTGACCTATCTTTCTATCTCCCAACACTATCCAGATAGTAATTATGGTAAACTATTTCAATTTAATGCACAAATGAATTAACACACAACATGCCTTTATTACAAATTTTATGTCTGGTTTATGTTTCCTAAGTGGCCTTTGCTAATGCTTAGGCAATAAATGGTTTAATCAGAATTTATATTATAGCATAACTATTAAAATATAGTTTTCTTTTTAATTTAATAAAGGTTTCAATGATGCAACTTATATATATATATATATATATATATATATATATATATATATTGGGTAATAGACAATTTACAGAAGTAGGAACTATTTTAATAGTGTTTTATTATTGTATGTGTCTACTTTATTTTATTGTATCTGATTTCAATTTTTAGCATTTGACATTAGTATAAAATATATGTAAATTTATTTTAATTCATCATTTTAGCAATTTTAATGTTTTAATTTAGCAATTTTAATTACAACCAAACAGAGATTGTTGAGTACACTATTATTGTTGATATTGGTATTATTCTCGGACTGCAGGATCGGGGTGCTCATTGCGGGATAATATTATTAGCTTGATGTCCTTGTGGCGGTACTCTTGGGGTTTTCAGCGTGCTGCCCTGCTTTGGGTATCAAAGCTCAATTAAAAGTAAGAAAAATTTTATATTATTGTTGAAATGAAAACTTTTAATTGTTGTACCAATGATAGGTATTGTTTTTCCAGAACTAAAGAGGATCCCGTTATTTATGTTAAAAAACAGGGATCGTGTATTTCATGACCTATTATCCGACTATAATTGTTATCTTAAGTTATAATATATTAAGGTCGAATTATAAAAACATTGTAACATTATATATATTACTTTACAACTCTTTTTACTGAATATTGTTGATTTTTTTCATAGATTTAAATAAGTCTTTAATCAAAGTATTAGCACTCATTCTCTATTCACCTTATTGTACCCAATATTAAATGGGATACCTTGGATTTGCCATATTCAAGAAAATAGAACTGTATAAAGCAGTTTTGTATGGTAAATCTTTTACCTTGACTGCTAAGTAACTGAAATACAGGTGTCTTATAAAGAATAGTATCCACAAAATTAAGCAATTCATTATGGATTGTGTTTTTTTAAATATAAGTTTAATAAATAAATAAATATACATATACAATGTAATAATATACATTTAATAAAAGCATACCTTCTTTAAATCTGCTATATATGACTTATTTTTCATATAAAGCTCAGAACACTTTAGTTTACTTTCTGGTATATCATATAATACAACAGAAAAACCTTCAGAAAGCTTTAGAATAGTGTTTTTTAGTAATTCACCATGAACTAGTACAACAAACAATCTTCGCAAATTCTAAAACAAAAAAATATAATATCTATTTGCTGCATAATTATTCATTTTTCAATAAGTTTTCAGGCTAATGAACAGAAACAATCATAAAACTCTTTAAGTGTTGTATTATTTTTTATCTTTTATATATAAATAGATTTAAACTACTTTATTTTGTAACATGACTTTTTTTACTCTTAATTATTTATGAATTTGAAGAAATATTTGCATGACTCACATCATTGTCATTTGAAGGAATATCGGAAACTTGCAAAACATAATTCCCATGGCAAATTCGCCACATAGTTCTCTCAAAAGTATTCCATTTTTGTTTTGCTATTACACCCCCAATAATTCTGTGAAGTAATACTGATGAGTAAACTTATATTACATTATATTTACCTCTTAATTATAATTTATCATCACTCCAACAAAAAAATGAAGTTCTATGGGTCTACACTCTATCACTCTAAGTAACCAAAAGAACTATCAGAGACAATTATAATATACACTTAATACTTCAAAAGATTTCTCAGAACATAGAACCTGTTTCTTAATTGATGGAGAACAGAATAATTTTGTGTTCTCCAAGTTCATAAATCATTGTATTCATCTTTTTTTTTTTCATTATTTTTAATAATGAATTTTTGTTAACTACCAAGAAAAAAAATTAACCCCTACTCAAAATTTGAGATTACTTACATAGAGTCCAAAAATTAAATTAAAAAAAAACATTCCTGTCACTGTGGCTTTTATCAAAGATTATTGGATTATTTTGAAATTTGGCACAGAAGTCACTGACCACTCTAGGATGACCCTCAAAGCTATATATTACAATCTAACACATCTTTCTAAAATAGTGGCCAATTAGAAACTTCAAGCATCTACATATTATTCATTTATTACATACAGCAAAAATACTAAATTTAAATTATGAATAAAATGTTTGTATTTGACTTTCACCCAAAGTGGTAAACAAAGGAAAGGACAGGGCAAATATTTCTATTTACAACCACTGAGAAATGATTAACCATTCTGTAATCACTTTCAGTATTGTTTTTTTTTGTTTTTTCTGAAGGTGTTAAACATTTTTTAAAATATTTTGGTTATGACAAAATATTTCCTTTAACATAACATCAATTAATTTCAAAAATCATTCAATTATAGAATTTTTCTTTGCTTCCTCACTATGGAAAGTAGGAAAGCATTGTATTGGTGCGAGAGGTAAAAGAAAATTGTGTTCAGAATCGAAATTTTTCACTCGCATTTTACGTTTTAGACCTTAAAGATCAAATTCGGCTGTGCCTATCTGTAGTCAAAACTTATACGACGAGGCAAGACGAACCTAGCACCGTTCATCCAATTTTCATGAAATTTACAGGGATTGTGCGGATTGGTGCCAAGATGGCACTGCATCAATTTTTTTGAATTCCATCCAGCACTTCCGCTTACGCACGCTCAAATATATTTTTTTAGATAGACCAGTATTTCAGAAACGGCTCTCGTTCGACATGACTCAAAGTTGGATAAAAGGTAGGTATTGGTGAAAAAATAATGTGGTGTCAATTTTATTGAAGGTATTGTTTCTCTGTCAACGGTTGTGCAATGAGGTGATTTCGCTGAGATCACGCTCAACCATTAGGTTTCCCCCCTTAATTAATTACTTATGAAAGAGAACTACTGATGAAACAGAATAAATAATTTATCTGCCAGGAGTCGGGATTCGAATTTAGGACCTTGAGCATTGGAAAATCAGTTACCTACCATTGAGCTACTACATACCCATAACGACAATAAAAGTAATAAAAAAAAAAATTGGAGCTTTCAAAACTCAGATGGTTTCATAAGTCGACGGTCAGGTCGGGATGAATTGTGTTTTAAACATTTGAACACAGTCATTAAGTGTTTTAAAGCACAAAAATGTACCGTTTTCGAAATAAAATTTTAATCTATTGTCAAAAAAAGCCTGTTAGGTGCTGTGGTTGCCATGGAATATTTATCAAATATTTATATTTTAAAAATAAAATATTTCTATTTATGACAGACTTGAGAATTAAAAGTCAATAGTAATAGTAAATTAATGAAAATTGCTCTATGATCCCTTGAGCACTTCGTATAATATAGCAGGAAAATTTTTAATAAATAAAAAGACTATCCAGCAAAGCTTCTAAACTCTTAGTAAATTAGAAAACTACAAAGCGAGAACAATAATTGATAAGAGCATGGCCGCAGATTACGTGAGAAGATGGCGAGGGGAGCGATCGTTCCCCCCATAAAAATGTTGAGGAGACGAGAATATCGTTTCGCAGCCCCTCTCCTTACCTCTCCCAATAATTTGAGGTTAAAAAATTAAAATCAATAATTAATAAGCTAAATGAATGAACAAAATGTGTAAACTAAAATCGGTTAAGAAAAGTCGATAAGCTAGCTAGGCTAGGGCCTAGTAATAGATATGTAATGATTTTATTGATACCTAAATATTACTTTTATTTAGCTTGCAACTTACATTCAAATATAATAATATACAGAGTTTTCCGTAAGCAGAGGGAAATATTAATCAATCAAGGGAGTAAAATGAAGTAGATAGAGTGAACATTAAAGCAAAATAAAGTACGCAGAATAATAATAGTAACAGTTCTAAGAAATAACTGATAACGGCTACAAAATAATGATTAATGAAATAAATATAATCAATATCAAAAAATATAATGCTCTATGTAACTTTTTTTATCATACTTCTGCCAAATAATCGATTAGAATCATTAATTCTATCTTATGGCTTTTTATTTAGTTACTTTGAAAAACGGCACAGGCGAATCTACGGGGGGGAGGAGGGAGCTTTCGGGCTGAAGCCCCCCAAAATGGTAAAATATAAATGTTTTATAGAAACAAATATTCGAAAAAATGAAACTAGGAGTTCTTCTTTCGTCTCATTCTCATGTTAAATTTTCAAATTAATGAAATCTATTCTCTCACCATCTGGAATTCGACGGTATTGTAGCTTTTTTCACCTTTGAGAACATGTCCAAGAGGTTTCGATTGATTTGAAGGGCGTTCAGTATATTCAGAAAAATTAAATTTTAGCCTCTTAATAAAGGTAATTGATACTGTAATCTATGCGCAAAACGCTTTATACATTCTGTATTTACAAGACGACCTTTCATTAAGTATTTCATTACGTTTTTTCGGTAACTACACAATCTCTATAACCTGAACTGTAGATTTTGACGGACATTTTTTTACATGACAATTTGCTAGTTTTTAAATTAAAGTTTTTTACAAAAGGAGATAGAGAAGAAATAAAACATCGTAGAATTCATTTTGTGGTATCAGAATATGAGCCAAGACAAGATTGACCAGAAAAGCTTGAAACCTCATTTTCTATAGAAAATGTCCTTATAGGCTTTTGCAGTGTGGCTGTCGTTATAATAAGTAAAATAAAATAAAAAATAAATTCATATAACTAGACATATAAAAAAAATGTAAATATTCAATATTATATTTGTTAGTTTTATTATAATTATATGGAATTTTTATGCGTAGTGAAAACTTCCGCCAATTTAAAATCAAAAGTCTGCGCTTATGGATAAGAGTAAGTTCCGGAATAGCTGTGTCTCATAGGCTCACTAATAAACTGGAGCGATATTTTTCCATTGTGACAAGCTAATCACTTACTTTAAGTAAATGATTTCTTTAACATTCGTGGTAAAATATAAAACTTCACCACTTGTGGGTGTTGAATATAATATCTTGATAATGATATATTTAAAATACAAATAGATACGTTTCATTGATGAATTAGAAATCATATAATGAATTAGAAAGAAGGACAGCTATCTTATGTGAGAATTCTCACTGACGAATACTAGTAGTTTTAAAATAACATACTGAAGATTTAAATCCTGTCCTGATTCAGTGTTCTGGATTGTTATTACGTTTGACTGGAAAATAAAAAGATATATGAATGTTTTGCATACGCAGATTCTCTATCTAATTAAGTAGAAGGATATTTCATAATTAAAGTAAGGATGAAACAAAACTGTCAGGAATTTCAGTAAAAATTTCTTTAACGAATTAGCCGACGTTTCAACCCAAAAAGGTGGGTCAACATCAGGGCTAAAAATTACAAACTATAAAATAACATCAGTCAAATAATAAATATAAAAGTTTAAGAGTGAAGAATAACAGTAACAAGTAAATAGTAATAAGTAAGATAATAGTGATAAGAGTAAAGAATATGGGATTACTTATAAATTTGATAACGGTTATAAAAGCATAACACAAATAAAACATTGAAATATGATAAGAAAATTATTTTTTGTTATAAATAAATGAAAAAGATAGGTATATCAAAATTAAGAATTAATAAACCAAGTAATTAGTGTAAATAACAAGAACAAAAACAATTCAATAAATAATAAGTGTGCAAAAAAAGTATTTAAAAAAATGTATCACTACAACCCGTGAAGGGTCTCGGGTGCATTACTGTGGGAGGATGTACTGTTACAAGGCCTACGGTGATTAGGCCGATTTCAGGTTTAAGCATCAGGTTTCCCCCTTAATTAATTATTTAATTAAGAGTAACCAATTTATAGAAGCTGGGTGTGCCCCAGGATCGATCTACGGCTAATAAAAAATACTAGTCATCAGCCGGATTCGAACCTGGGACAATGAGCGTGGGAAGTCAGTACTCTCCCACTGAGCTTCCCCGCACCCTGCAAAAACAACGTATATAAAAAAAAAATTAACAAACGACAAAAAAATAAATAGATATAGAGATTAATAAATATATTTATTTAATGAAATTATATTTATTTAATTGAGTTTAATAAATATATTTATATTTATTAAACTACCTTAAAAACTTGACAATTTTGTTTCATTCTCATATCAACAATCTACTACTTACCCATCTGTAATCTAATTAAAATAATTTGTTTTTTTGCGAATATGTTATTTATAAAAATCATTATTAATTCGACGTATCCATTGTAATTTGAACATGATTTTATGAAAAGTGACTTTTACTAGTCCTAAGCCATTTCCATCACTTTTAATAAAAAATCGAGTTCTACTTCCGCATCATTCAACCCTCGCTTACTGCCAGCGTTGGTGGTAAGGGAAACTTTTAAGGTTTCCATATAAATCTCAAGGTTCCATAGGCCATAGCAATCTCTCGCACTGATTAGGAGGAATTTTGATCAACAATGGCCTTAACATTGCTCGTTTCAATTTCATGTAAGCCGTTGAGCATCATTGAGGTCAAAATTTCCTGACTGATGTGTTCGATTAAGGCATCATCCCCATCAACACTACAAATTTTTCTATGAGCTTCTGCAGCATGCTTACCTTTTTTAAAATAATACAACAAATTATGCCGGTAAAGAATGACATGTTCTTCCATATTCACAGTGCAATAGCTTTGATGGCACCACAAAGCTCCATTTTTGTGAAAAAAGGAGTTAAAACAGCCGCTAAAAACTATCAGGACGATATTTTGGAACATGTTGCCAAGCCTCTAAATGATACTCTGCTTCCTGGAAGTCATTGGGTTTTCCAGCAGAATTCCGCTCCAGCTCACAAGGCAAGATTAACTCAGCAGTGGCTGTAAAAGAACATTCCCAAGTTCATCTCTGCCTCGGATTGGCCCTCAGGAAGCCCTGATCTCAACCCACTAGATTGTTGGCTTTGGTCTGAACTGGAGAGAATGGCTGTCACAGAACACACCCTAACTTGGAAAGCCTTGAAGTCAATCTCTGGTCCGAGCAGTCGAGCGCTTCCTTCAAGAAGTGCTGCGTGCTGCTAATGACTGGCCACGAAGATTAAATTCCTGCGTCAAGACAAAAGGGGACCACTTTGAGTAATTTCTTTATTTGTTTTACTCTCTATAGATATACATATTATTTTATAATAAAGTATTTTAAATCAATATTTTTTCTGTTGAAATCTGGATATATTTCCTTGTTACAATATTTATGATGGGACTAGGTATTGGGTAAAGATGAATATGATTGACATATTGCCAATTATTGATACATGTAACTTAAATTTGATAAAATAAGTAGGATTTCAAACTTGACACTCTTTCAAAGGTTGATTAATGTGCATTTGAAAGGGCGCCAAGTTTGAAATCCTATACGAACCCCTAAATGCTTATTTTATCAAAGTTTAAAGTATCAATAATTGGTAATATGTCAATAGTAGGTGCCTTTACTCAAATATTTTTGAAAACAGCGATATATATCTATCAGCATTCCATTTTCTCATTTCCATTGCATATATCATATTTTCATTGCATTTTCGCATTACATTTTTCTTTTCCCCCCTAATGAACCTTACATTTTTTTTTCTTCTTACATGCATTTTTACCCGAACTTTAGTTTTGAAAAGAGCTTGAACTTCGCTAGATGAGTTAAATATAATTGGTTTTGGTTTTAGTCATTTGTAATTTATATTATATCACTTGAATTCATTTCTTTTGTGCATTGTTATGTACTTGTCATTATTCTGTAATCACCAATGGTTGCCAGCCCGATGCCCGAGGGGTTTTGGCATTACAGTCTAGTCAATGAATGCTCAAAAAAAAGGTGTAGAGTGCGTGAGCAGGGACCCAAGCGATTCCTTCAGATACTTGTTCAGAGTGCTTAGGGCATGAACATATTAAACATCCTGACATCTAGGTGCATTTAAAAGAAGTTTTAGAGACTTAAATTCCTTATTGATATATATATATATATATATATATATATATATATATATATATATATATATATATATATTTATTTATTTATATGCAAATTAATCACAAACCAGTCTACAGTAACATCTATTTTAAATGTTTTCGTATTCTTGACCGACAACTTTTGTTCGCGTGTCTAATAATATGTGTGAGTACACTTTAAATCCAATAATTAAATAAAGTAGAAAAAATCATGTCAATTGAAAAAGTTAATGTTGTATTTTACAGATAATAAAAATCTCATGTTAATTGTATTATATTTTTTCATATTAAATACATACAATTATAAACCACATTGTTATCACTGTTTTTTTCAATAACTTAATATATAATATTCAATTCAATAACTTATTTTTTTCAATAAATTAATATTTCACTCACAAATTTAGGTGGATTCACGTAATAATTTATAAATTTATTTTTTATGTTTATGTTCCTTTTATAAATCAGTTTTTCATAGATTTCAGTTTATTTTATTTTTTAATAAATTATTTTATTTACCATTGCGTTGGAATAAGGTTGTGCCGTTTACCGTAATGTTTCTTTCATGAGTAAGGTTTATTTTTCCACTACAATTTTTACAACTCTATATTTAATTAAGTTGTTATTAAGAAGAAGCAAGCAATCAAATGTCATAGGACGGGTATGCGAAATCTTTTGAGAGAGGTGGAAGGCAGCTCTAATGCACATGAAATAAACGCTATGGCAAATGGTATAGCACAATTTCAATGCATTGCCACGTTTGATATTTGAAAATCTTTAACATTGAAACAGTATCATAAAATATTTTGAACCGCATGTGTTGCTTTTACATCCAACTGATGCTGCGTTTTTAATAAATATCTATAGTATATTCACCTATTATTATTAGTATTATTAGCATATTATTATTATTAGTATATTTTATTAATATTAGTATTTTAGTAGTATTTTATTATTATTATTAGTATATTTTATTATTTCTATTATTATTAGTATATTTTAATAAATATCTATAATATATTCAGATTATATTTCATAATATTTGATATATTAAACCACGAGCGTATTTGAATGCAACGTTAAGACAAAATTTCAAGGCAAAGTTGAACATTAAACAATATATCAAATATAAAAAAAAAAACATGAAAATAAATGAGTGGCTTCATATCAAAAACAGATCTCTATAATTTTCAGAAAGCGGAGATAAAGTCAATTTTACTTTTATAGGTTCAACTCAGACTGTTTCTGATGATTATGAATGACGGCGTATTCACTCTGATGATTAGGAATGTTCAAGTCCAAGTGAAAACAAATAATTAGAATTAGTTTAAATTGAAGCCATGTTACAGACGAAGTTGTTTTCCAACTTCTTAAAAATGATAGACGTCCTTTGGTATTAATCCACTCATATGTACTTTCTTTTCCCTTTTGCCAGACTGAGCCACAGCAGTGCGTGGCCGGATAAAGCTAGTAAAACAATACAATCGAATATAACAAGCATATATGTCCTCAGGTACAGAGGAATTCCTTTTAACAAGACAGGAACTAGTTATAACAACATATTCTCATTGTAAGTATATCAAGAATGAGACCATTGTCAAGCTTCTAAACGCAGGGCTGAGCTCATAGATGGCGTCGGATTCGTCATAGAACTGTGGGATATGATGCATCGAATGCTGAGCTTAGGAACTTGCCCACATTTACTGAGCGATCAATCCACTCAGTGGACTCAGGCTGTTAAGCATTAGTAATTAAAGTATAACTAGAAGTGTATAATAATGCACAAAAGATATACATCCTCACGATGGAATCTCATTGTCTAAATTAAAATCAACTATGTTTAACTCGAAAAGCGAAATTGACGGTTTTCAAAATCAAGATTTGGGTAAAAATATCCATTAATTACAAAGAATATTTATGAATTTCCTACGACACTGGAGTTTTTATCAAGATACATATTACCTTAAGTGCCTTAGTAAATAATAATATAATTAATGACTCATTATTACTGTATATAATAAGGAGCAAGCCGTTTTTAAGATAGCTTGGTATTCCAAATGAAGTTGTAGAGTATACTTCAAAGGTTCAATGTTATAGCTAACCTCCTTAACTTCATTAAAGAGTTTCTGAAAAAAATAATGTGTAAAATTATATCTGTTAATTTTATCACCACAAAACTTATGAAATTATAACATATTGTCTTACCCTCAACAAATCAAAATCCGCTGTTCCAGGTGTCTGAAAAAAAAAATAATAAAATGGCACTATGAACATAATTTTAAGTGATATTTTTGTAAACGAACTTGGCTCACCATGAGATCAATTATTTGCCTTTGACTAGGAGCTGGAGGGTCGTCGTAATACTTTTTCACTTTTATTTTATTTCTAGTAACTTCCATATTAAGGTAATAAAGGATACCTTCTGTTTTCTCACAAAGTTTCACTTCATTTAAGTATTTTGGACCACTAATATTATGTTTATTCTCATTCAACTGAAAGTTTGAATTGCGTTAAATTGCTTTACTAAAATAAATAATATAAGATTTTATTAAAAATCTTATCTTGTTTCTCAAATATTAGTTTTTGTATTTATAACCACCATTTGGGTAGCCAAAAAAACTCAATTCTTGAGTAATGTTCTTAACCTTATAAAAAAAAAAAGGAGTATTGAATATTTTTAATTGTCCATTTAATGAGAAAGGATTTTATTAAAGAAGGACATATATATATATATATATATATATATATATATATATATATATATATATATATATATATATATATATATACATATATATTTGTGTATAAAATTTAAAATTAACTATTTAATTGGGAATAAGGTCACTTAATTATTATTTAATAAACTATTGAATGTTCATTTCTCTGTTTATTGACGTTTCGATCCCGGTATTTTCTTTTTATTAGTCAACGATGAGATCCTCTTCAAAGCTATAATTTTAAAAAATAGAGCTTCGATCAGGCCAGGGACACACCGACAATCTCAGCACCGTCCACTAGCACATATATTAAGCTACTGCTTTAGTATCCTTTGAAATTCTTAAATAGGAATTTTCATGAAAATAAAAAATTGCAAAATTTAATACTTGATTTTCTTAGAGGACTTTTTTTTTGCCCTATAACTAAAGCATTTGTGTGTATATATATATATATATATATATATATATATATATATATATATATATTATTTCTTTATTAGCACAACAGACGCATGTAGGGGTACTTGGCCTGCTCAATTTCTTTAGTCCAGTCATGACTGTTGGCTAGCGCACCTGATGAATATGCCATTTTTTCTCAAGTCTTCTTTTACGTTATCTATCCACCAAGGCGAATGCCTTTGTTAAGAGTCTATGTCTCGCACGAGTCTATGTTGCAACTGGCCGAATAATCGTTTTGTACATCCTAAACTTCGTTGTATGACTAAACAATCTACTTTTCAGAAGGCTCGCTAGAGAAAAGTACGCTCAGTTGGGAGCCATTATTCTAGCTCCAATCTCCTCTTCGTTATTGCTATTGATAATTACATATATATATATATATATATATATATATATATATATATATATATATATATATATATATAAAGTATACATCAGTAGGTTTATTATTTTTTGTGATCAATATTAGCACAATAGTTATTAATAATACTGAGGTGTAAAATGCAGAAAAAAAAATCTGGTGCGCGCAACACACAACTTTCACTCTCTCTCAACTTTGAATAGAAATTATTTTCTAGCAATGTTGAGCAATAAAAAATTTTCGAAGTGCACTTTTAACTGAGCTATAACTTAAAGCTTACAGAGGACAAATCATATTATTAAGAACACTACAATTATTATGACCACTCAATTATAATATTTATTCAAAACCTGTCTGGTATCTAAAGTAATATATTTTTTTTTTTAGAGAAACAGAAAGTTGATATTCGTTTGTCGCATTTAAAAAATAACCCAAATAATAAATACGAATTTTCATAGCAATCGTAAAATTGAAATTGTCAGCAAGATATTTTTGCGAAGACTGGACCCTTCGAAACTTTGTTAACAACAACCAAAATTGTGATAACTTTAGAACGGCTATACCGGTTCACACAAACATTTTTAGGGATTAATCGTATTTGCTATCGTAATTATTAGCTATAGTATAGTAATTTGCTATACATGATACACGAAATGGCACAAAACCGACTTCCATAAACTAATTACGACCAAAGATGTAAAATAAAAATGATTGGGAAGATTTTTTAATTTCTAATTTAAAAAGAAATTAAATCTAAAAGTTATCGATGTGGGTTGGAATAGTAGTAATTCAGATCACAACGTTAATTAATTCAGCTTATAACGGTTGTACCAAAGTTAAATATGGAGAAAATCCTGAAGTTATAAATGCTTCAGTTATAGGGCCAAAAAAAAAGTCCTCTAAGAAAATCAAGTGTTAAATTTTGTAATTTTTTATTTACATGAAAATTCCTATTCAAGAATTTCAAAGGATACTAAAAACGAATCTAATTTACTTTTTTATAACAAAAATGTATTTTGCCTACTTTACTGGTACGCATTTTGGTTTTTGTAATTTATGATACATTATAGCTCATTTAATACAATAGTCAATTTTTTTTTCTTATTCTGCACAAAAAAATAAATGGATTGATATATTGTAACCTAAGAAATTGGGCAAAGCAATAAAAAAATCTGGTGTTCGCAACACACAACTTTCACTTATCGCTCAACTTTGAATAGAAATTATTTGTATAAAGCTTGAGCGATGTCCAGAAATGCACCCGAGCTTTCCAGGGCTGCGGAAATATGATCGATCACTCGAAGTTCTTGTTGACTGTTGAGTGTTGCGAACGAAATCCGAACTGAAGGAAGATTTTGAGATTCTATAAAGGGTAGAATTCGTTTCAGGATCTTTTCAAAGGTTTTTGAAAGGATTGGAAGTAGGCTAATTGGTCTGTAGGAAGTTTGTTAGAAATTAAAAAATAATTACAAAACGTAATAAATAATTAATTTTAGCCTAACAATGAAGCAACTTTATTAGAGAAGTATTGAATGAAATAAAAGTAAAATATTACATAATGTAAAGCAGCTTAAAATATAAACTTCATTTTTTAATGGGAAAGAGAAATGACGTCATTAGGAGGCCCTTAGAGCGACAACTACAAATAAGCGTCAGATTCATAGATTTCTGAAGATTGAGCATCAATATTTGACATATAATTTGTAAGTTTGTCCTGCAATGGGAGGAAAAGATGCGTTAGCAAAAGAAAGCAGAACCAGTAAAATTTATAAAAACTGATAAGGTGCACAAAAGGCACTAAACCTTCAGTCACAACCTTTAGTTCCTAAATGGTACTGAGCTGCAATATGTTAATGGGACTTTTAGGATCAGGGAATGTTCTAGAAATTCATCAAGGTTGGCTCTGGGAAAGATGTGACTTAATGACACTGTGACACTTGCAACTTGTTTTATCTGAATTTAATTCAAGTTATTTAATCATTATTAAATTAAATAATTAAACTTTATCATTATTTAATTTCAAACTTTAAAATCATTTTATACTTTAATTATTATTCAAAGTTATATAATCATATTATCCACCTTCCTTGAATGTAGAAATAGTTATATTTGAATACAAAATGACAGACGGAAAATAACTTTCCTTTCGGATATTTAACACTTTCTGGGAGAATAACTCATGAATTTCGTTATGGCTCATATATTTATTTCATAAGTACGATACGTAAGTGTAAGTAAATAAGAAGACATTTATAGAATAATATATGTAATAATGTATAGATTAGATACATATTTAAGTTTAAAATTTCAAAATCTTATATTTAATATCTTGTATAAAATTTTAAGTACAATACTACAGTATTATTCCAACTATAATTTTAAGACATACGTCTCGAAACTGCACAATTTCATGCTCTCCTAGAGCAGATACAATAGAATATCCAGCTTCAGTCGGAATATATATATGGCATAATGCCATTCTTTCACTTCTGAATATCTTAGAAAGGTGTATAACCATCTTTATAATAAGATAATGGTTAAGTAGATACAATAACTTTCTGTTGGCTTTTCACTTAATTGCCATATGAGAAGATCATGTGTAAATATAAAATTGTATTAATTTTTTAAAATATAACCTTAAATCTAAGACTAAAATTGTTACATTCACTGTTAAGACGACATTCCAAATTAAAAGAAGACAGAAACTAAGTATTTACACATATCTTTTAAAACCTCTTTGGACTAACGGACTACAAATATACGGAATTGCAAAACCAACTCACATAAAAAAACTTCAAACTTTTCAGTCTAAGATACTACGACTAATCACTCAAGCACCATGGTACCTTGGGACTTACACGTTCCGACAGTCAATGAACACATACGAACGTATTACAAACGATTTAATAACATGTTAAAGGGGCACTCCAACCAGCTGATAAAAGAAATGGCCACAACTAGTATGCCCGAGAACTCCTGAAGACGACTGAAAAGGGTCTGGATGAGGGATCTGCTTAATTAATGTTTTAGTAAATAAAAGCCATGGAAGGGATACCGCTGGGCATTGCTGTTCCTCATGCCTATCAAGCGTTTTTATTTATTTTTTTTTCTCATTACTACGCCAGCAAATCTGCTGATTGTCGATAATAATTGACAGGTGCGAATAAATGTATGAAAGTGCAAAAAAAAAAAATATCTATATCTATAACCTAGTAATGATCAATGCTCATCACTAGCGGATCCAGACTTTAATTTTTGGGGGGCTTCAGCCCGAAATATATTTTTTTTCATATACATATAACGATAATTAATTTTTTTTAAAAAGAAAGAATTTAACTACCTATATGAAATGTTGTTTAAGTGGTTCTTGAAGTCCTATTAAATGTAATTAAACGAACAAGAATACTTTAAGAGGTTGTTTTTAATATTTTTTTTCTGTATATTTCACCATTTTGGGGGGGCTTCAGCCCGAAGGCGCCCTCCTCCCTCCTCCCCCCGTAGATCCGCCTGTGATGCTCATTCGTGCAAACTGGAAGCCGAGTCCATTGCCTGTTATTCAGAATGCCACGTAATGTTGTGTTTATTCTTGAGAAGAGAAAAATTAATGGCGTTACACGGGACAGGAGTCGGGTTTGCGCGATGTAAGGGATGGGAATAAAAAAATAGAATAAGCTGCTACGCGAATACTCCTCTCCTAATGTTTTTCATGAGCGAAAAATAACTTGGATGTTGGAACCTGAAGCTCAATTTAAATATCTAGGAAGCTGGATTAATATGACAGGAACATTAGACAAGGACCTTGAAACGAGCATAAGCAATGAGAAAATAATCATTAGGACCTTAAATTCGGTTCTGAGGAGTAAATCAGTGTTTTACTTTAATATTGATAACTGTTGAAAATTAAAAATTTCATTCAAATCATAGCTTACGTTATCTTACTTACTTTCTAATGGCACTACACAGCCTCATGTGTGCTTTGCCTCCTTACAGGACGTTTGCCAGGTGGTTCGTTCTAGTGCAGTGTTCCACTGTCTGTTTGAATGAATGAAAATAATTTTATTATTGTGGGACTAGTGTCCCTTTAGAACAAGTTACAAATACAGAATATTCTGGTGTGCCCATAAAATATAATTAAATATATACAGGATGATTGAGAATACAATAAAATTATATATAATAAAAAGATATAAAAACGTTTATAAATATAAAATAAACAGAGAAAGTAAATTAAGTAAACAAAATATCAATGAATCACAAAATAATCAAACTATCTGGGTATATTTTGAGATTTTTAAAGCTTAGGTTTTGAAGTGCATTTCGTGATCGATTGGATTGGGAATGGAGTAGGTGTTTGAAGAGGAGAGATTTGAAAGAGGATATTGATTTTGCGTGTCGAATATCTGAGGATATAGAGTTCCAGAGGGAGGAGACAACTTGAATTAAAAAGGATTTATCATACGCAGCAGTTCGGTGAGGAGGAGGATAGAGGTCGGACGGGATTGAAAGGAGCGTTTGAATTGTAGGATCTGTAGAATATAGGCGGCTTTCGGAAGGTAGCAAGGAAATATTGACGGATAAAGCCACTTCAACTCGGTGTAAAACTCTGTAATATGCGTAGCCCTTGATATCCCGAATATAAAGCGGATTGAGCCATCCATTAGACCAGCCTTGGCCTTCCTCATTCTTTTGAGCAGCCGAATTAACCAAAGAGTAGTTTCTTGAGGATTTCTTCCTCATAAATTCTTGCAACATGGCCTGATGCCCTGGCTTACCCATCTCAGTGGACCACACTTCATTAAATGTAAGACGTTCACTTCCCCAAAGATTCATATATCTCCCTGTTAGAGTGACTCTAATCCCCTTTCATTCTTAAGGGGTACAAATATAAGGTTAAGAAAGTCTTTTTTTTTTTCATTTATAATGACTCAGGCATAGATTGGGTTAATTGCCCAATCCTCTTGAATTAAAAAAAAAAAAGTCAATAAACAAAACAAAAAAAGAGGCAAATTATAGCGACAACATTAAATCTTGAACTAAATGTTTCTTATCCTTATTAATACAACAGAGCATTAGCTAAGGATGCTGTGAGATCAGTAATTTTAATCCAGTTTTCAGCTTAACATAGCCAAAATCCACCTTGAAGGCCATGACAGAAAGTGTTGGAGAGACCTAGGATTGCTTAGTTCAATAAAAGGTTTTAATGTTCAAGGAAAGATTTTGACAAATAATAATAATAATTCTAAATTAGGATTATTTCATTTATTACTAACTATAACTCCTAGAAGTAAGTAGCCTATGTACCAGGGTTTGGAATGCATAAATATTTTTTTCACAAAATCATGTAATAATTATTATTTTTGATTTTTAATTTAGAAATCGTGTCTGATTTATAAATAAAAATTTAAATCATTTGAAATCTTTGATTTTTATTTATTCGATTAAAAATAATGATCACTGATTAAAAACCACCTTTCACACACAAATTAAATAAAATACTAATATGCATGTATATGATATTAATGTACACATTTTTTAAAATGTAAACTTTTTTTTTTAATATAAAAATATCTAATAAATTCAGGAAATAAAGATGTTCTGTTGCTAATAGTTGACGATAATATTCTTCACCTACTACTCCAAACTCAAAATCTATCATAGAGATTAGAAATAATTATAATTCTTATTTTAAAAGTATTACTACTCTAGAACTATTATTATTGTTAATTGTAAATTGTTAAAAAATAATGATCACGATATGATTTGTATCACTTATGATAAAAAATAAAAATCACTTTTAATAAAAATCATCAAATGATTTTTAAAAATTTTGATTTTGATTTTTTTATATATCAATTTCAAACCCTGGTAAATACTTTACTAAATAATTACTCTGTGAATGGACATGTAATCCTAAGTTCACAATCTGTATTTGCTGATGTACAGCTACTTCATAGTGAATATTAATTTATTGAAAATAAACTATGGTAATATATTAGACTGTAATATATCTCAGTCTTCCAAGCTTAATTTTCAAAATGGTTTCTTCTTTATCAAAAACTGGGTAAATTTTGATGTTCGTTCACCTTTTCCAGCTTCCATCGATACAAATTCCTACAAAAATTCTTCGAAGACTAGGAGTTCTTGCTCAATTTTCTTACTAGTTGTCCACCTTTCTGATCCATTCAATAGGATTGGGTGAATTAATGTTTTGTAAATATAGAGCTTGGTTTCCAGGATAGAAAACGTGAGAAGAACACCTGTTGGCCATTAATATTCTTTTATTATCGTGAGTCACCAGTGACTCCAAATATGTGAACTGGACCACATCACTTCTTTTTTGGTCAGCTTTACCAGCTATATTAGTTTATCAGGGATACTGAATCCATCGATTGTATTGCAAAGTTCTTCCCAGTTAATGCTGTTGTAGGCTGCCTTAAAGTCTATGATAAGATGTTGGGTTTTAATTTGATAATTTCCTCTCTCAAGGATTGTTCTGAGACAGAATATCTCATCCGTTGAAGATCTTCCCTGTCTAAATCTGCATTGGTAGGGGCCAAGCTTTTGCTACGGAAAGGGTAGGAGACCATGGAACAGAATGTTAGATAAAATGTTATATCCACCAGAGAGAAGATAGATACCCCTGTAATTTTGACACTGGAGTCTGTCCCCTTTTTTTAAAAAATAAGGCACATAACTGAATTTTTCCAATTTTTCAGTAAAATCTCTTCCTACCAGATGGTTAAGAAAAGATTCTGAAGTCTCTTCATCAGCTCCTCACCTCCAGTTCAGCTGGTAGGTCATCAGCATCCATTACCTATTTTGACTTTCAAGTTTTCTGTTGTCTCTCAAAGTAACTTTTCTGTTGCAATAGGACATCATCCCTGCAGGCCACTATATTCCCATCCTTGTTTCTACAAGTTTGCAGTACCTTTGTTCTGTGGCTTCCCATTGATTGATCCTCCTCGCAATATTTTTTAGCTCTCTCCAATTCTTATTTCTGTCTTTGTCTCTGCTTTCTTTGATGGACTCATTTTTCCTCTCTCCTCTTCATTTTATATTTCTGCACAGCTCTCTCAATCCTTTTCCCCAACATATTCTTATTGCATATTCAAAAGTTGATTTATTCTTCATATGAGTGTCTGCCTCACATTCTCCATCTAACCATGGTTACCTCAACTCCTTTTCTCTTGGTCTCAGTACATTGTCAGCCGTTTCCTGCATTGGGCAATGAAAATAAAGAAAAGTATAATATTATACATTTAATGATAAACATTAAAGTTAAAATTAACACATAGACAGATTTACAATATTTTTCAATACTTATAGGAAATTTTATAATCATAAGTTTTGCCCCTTGCCAAAACTCAAAAACTAATAGTGAACTATGTTAGTCATAAATTTCAATTTTCAGGTTACCAAGGAGCAGACTAGAAATGAGTAATTTTGTTTCTGAAAATCATGACAGATGTTTATATTTCTAGTTGAGTACTGTAATTTCTTCCTATATAATAAGTAAGTAATTTGTAAACTATTATAGAAATGTTTAGCTGTATATATTATTATATTATAATGTTTCTACTTTGCAGAGCCACGGAAGATATATATAAAGCTATAGATATCCATTTCCACAAATAGTCCAGGTCATAAATTTAGGTCATTCATCAAACATATTCTTGGAAGTAATTTTAAATAATAAGTGTACATCACCTGAAAAACAGAAGTGTACGTCTAACTGCTTTAAAGTGAAAGCAGACTATAGTCTGGTTATCAATCGTTTCTAGCCACAATGGGATATTTGAAATTTCTTCTCTGGTTACACAACATCTCATCCTTCTGTATATCTTTAATTCATTTTATATATTTTCACTGAAGATATTGTATATATTCTTTAATTTTCATTAATTTTTGGCCAGATGTGGTTTTTATTTTTTGTCCATAATTGTTATTCTTAAGGGATCTTGTCCCAGAATAAAGTTTATTTTCTATTTCTATATCCTATACAGATCCAAAATTAGAAATTTTAAATACATTAAAATCCGTACATATGAATAATAATTCATTAAATTGATATACAAGACTTTGTCTTTTACAATAATAAATTAGTGTTAAATTAAATTTGATTCAGTAATATTGTATGAGTAAACAGTGATTTAAGAAGGAGTGTGTAAACTATGGGTATCAAATTTCATCAATATATTGACAATCTGAGATTTATATTATAACAATAATAATTAATGTTAGTAAAAGTGATTTTAATCTGTATTGACCCTTTAAGATAAACTTCGGTGTTTTCTTTATTTTATTTTCGCTAAAGAAAATAAATTATGTAGACAATATAAGTAAAACAACATTAAGATATATAAGTTTTATTCACCTTAATTAATAACTAATCATCAGTTCTATGTGCAATCTATATAAATAAGGTGAAAAAATGTTTAGGTAAAATAACAACATTTTTAATTAAATATTATAAAATTATATTATAAGTAAATATAATCAAATTTTTAACTTGAAAAGTAATATTTCTTAAAATAATAAAAGAAGAATAAATCACTTTTTCTTATCCAGGTAATATACCCTGTCAGAGAATAGGAATAAATTTGTTTTAATGAATAAAATTTCATTAAAAAAAATTAACTGAATTCGATAAAAATTTCCTAATATGATTAACACTAAATTAGACCAAATCTATAAGTATAAATATATAAAGAGAAAACAGTAATACATTTTCTAATAGCAACATTAAATTATCAGACAAAGAGATTTATATTAAATAAAAGAAAATAGCATAAAATTAATAGATAATTTGTTTATCAGTGTTATCAGTTTATCAGTTTTAACAATTTATTCACTCATAATCTTCCTTGAATAACAAGTTACAACATGCATTTCATTTTTTTGTTTTAACTTTATTGTATTCAGCTTAGCAATGGATACATAGTTTTCACTTTCTATATAACCTATTTCCAATTTAAGATTTAATCTGTAATCATTTTCATCAAATATCACTGATTCTTTTGAATCAAACGAATTATAAATATTTTGGAGATAGCATCTATAAGTTATAGGAGCGAATATTTTCAAACAGTACAATTCAAAACTAATAATTAATCTCAAAGAACCAAATGGGATTTCATTACAATGCACTCTTCTCCTAAAAATTATATTAGGTAGTTCTTTTACGCAATCTTCTTGACTTGAATCTTCAATATCATCCTGTAGTTGATAATTTAAAGTGTTGTTCCATCTAACATGATTACGTAAATACTTCATTAACAAGAACATATCAGACGAAGTCATTTTACTCTTTGGTTTAAATGATGGTGGTGTTTTTACACTGTAGACTTTTCTTGATTCATAAGTTCCTTTCAAAAGGCAGTGCCCTTGCCGTATTCCAATGCTAGGGCTAAGCTCAACATTTTTATTAGTATTAATAGAGCATTCTAAAATATCAATCATTTTTTTACCAAACCAAGATTGAGGGAGACACACTGATTTTTCAAGAAGAAATGGTTCTATCAACAAATCAAAGTTATCAAGAAATTTATCAATTTGCATAAGTAATTGAGTAACTAAGTCAGAAGATTTTTTAGTATCACATGTCTCAAGAATCAATTCAATAATATCTATTATTGCTCCACCGTTAAAGTAAAATGTATTATTTAATATATAATCCTCACAGCAAGCTTGTATTACTTTCATTTCTGACTTAACTATATAAAGAACTTTTAAATATCCATACATTTTAGGATTCATTTTTGAAGCAATGAACACTTCAGATATTTTCTGGTCTATTATATCAGGCAATGATAAAAATTTTTTATTCAAAATTGAACCAGCAATAGAATAAAACCAATTACAAACACACCTAACTTTTACAATCTCGTGGTAACAAAAATATTTGAAGATCTTTTCTAAAGTCTGTTCTGATAGCATGTAAATTTTTGAATTGATAATATTCACTGAAGATGATTCTTTCTGTAAAGTAGTCAAAATAGGGTATGAGTGGAATTTTTTCATAAAACTTGAACCCATTTTGAAAAAGATTTTAATCACATATTGTAGACAACTTTTGACCTTGTTTTCTTGACAAATTAACAGCTACCAACTACTATTGATAGTCTATATAATGGTAATACTTTAAAAACTACAATATTTACATTGTTTAATAATGTAAAGATATATCAATTATTTGAAAATAGAGAATTCACTTTTAACAATAAATAATGCCCTTAATCAAAATTTTGAAATATTACATTTTTTAAGAGTTTTTGTATAACATATGACTTTATAGGTTATTAAGTATTTAATGAAAAATTATAGAGTTAACATTTTAATATGCTTTCGAATATTGTAGATTTATCAGAACTTCCATTAGAAATTTTAGAGAAAATAGTTTCAGAATTGACACCGGAAGAGATATGTGCAAAAATTCGACACATAAGCCATCGTTTCGAAGAAGTTGCCTATAATGTAATGAAAGCCGCATTTCGTGCAGTAGAACCTCTTATTGAGAGTCAATTGGAGAATGCTAAAAAAAAACTGCAGGAACTGACTGTAACAACCAATACTTTTCAAAATGAAATGTCTCTGGTAACAAAATTTACATTTTTGCAGGTAACAACAAAATAATCAGTAAAAGCGTTATTGTACATAATTGCACTTTTTAAAGCTAAGCTAAGTAAAGGAAAATCATTCCTATTTTGTCAACAGTCAATGATGTTTTTTTGGCTTTAAGATTTGTAAAAGCAAGTCTTATTTTGCCAATAAAATATTTTAATTGTCATAGTAAGATAAAATTACACTGGATATTTATTAATTATTTATAGATAGATGATCACTAAATGTAACTAAATATTGTATGTAACTTATATAGAACTTAAACTAGAAAGACTAATAGTTAAAAACAGAGGTGACAGTAGTTTCATAACAATTAAATGATAATAAGAGGCGACTTTTCTTATATAACTGCTTTTATGTCATTCAAAAACTTTATCAAGTCACGGGCGTTATCATTATTCATTGACCTAAGAAAGTTAGTCAGTGATGATATTTCATTTTTAATTTCCTTTAAGAATGAACAGTGTTAATTCTTAATAGTATTATTTTTGTTATGTAAGAACTATAGTGCCTTACTCCAAACTATGGAAGATAAGCTTTCTAAAAGAATATATCTGGGACATGGTCACTGATTTTGTGAGGATAAATGAACATCTACTTAAATGTTACTAACAAGAAGTCCATGATGAGAGTTTTAAAAATAATTTTAAATTTATTCAGAAGACAAATAGAAATGTAAATTATTAATACCATATAAACTGTCTGATTCTTGTAGTACACACATAACTATAATGACAACAATATTAGTTTATAAGAAATTTTAATCTAGAAATTACTGCTTTCAATGAATCAAAATTTATTGTCATTGATAATCTCATTAATACACATTTTAAAAAAATTGATTAAATTAATTCATTTTTATTCCACAGGGGGATTAACTAAGGGAATTTGAAATATACAACACCTACACTTTATTAATCACCTACACCTACACTTATTAATCACTTTCTTATTGCATCAGTGGAGATTGTGATATCCTGAAGCAAAAAAAAGTGCATAGAAGTCAGGGCAATGAATGTGGCAACTAGTTTCTCAAAGTATTTTTTAGCAAAACTTCTCTCACACCCACATAAAATACTTTTTTGCACTCCTGTTTAGAAGCAATTATTTACATTAACCTCATACATGTAATGTGACAGTTGTGGACTGTATCTTTTTTAAATGATTATTTTCTAATAATTTTTTTCCTTTAGGTAATGCATTCTGAGTACAAGATACTTAGTACAATTATTATGGAGAGTGAATCAGTAACTTATTCTACAATAATGTTCAAAATAGTCAAAAACATAGATGAGTTCTATTACTTAATGCAATGCTTAAAGAGTAACCGATGGGATTGGTCTTCTGATAACGTAGCTGATGTGATGGATAAATTGCGATCTCTAAATTCTGACATTTATGATGAATTTTTTTGGAAGAATTGGGACATTCAAAAGGTGAATATTGTAATGAAATCGTCATAAAAAAGGAAATTCTCTTATATCAGCAATTGTTTTAACAGGTTCATTTTCTTATCGTGTTCTCATAAAATGTGGAGAATTCACTTTACACACAGTTGATGTGGCTTAATCAGATACCAAATATTTGGGACAACTAATTTATCAGGTCATCTTACTTTGAAAGGAATCGAATAAGGTTAAAAATTTAAAACTTCAATGCTTTACCAGTACGACAAATTTGTTAATTTAGACATTAGAGGCCTGTTTCTTAAAAAAAAAGAAACATATATGAGAAAAAAAAATAGAGTTTTGGGACCTATTAAAACTTCCTTACAACAAAAGAATAAGTACGAAACAGAAAACATTAAATAGCATCTTTTCAGAGGAAGGTTTGTTTTCTATAACCAGTTAATATTCATTTTATATAATAGATCACACATGTAGTCAATGTTATATTTGGCTTTGAAAATCTTTAAAATTTATGATAGTCATACAGTTAAAATTATATGCTTTATAGTTTCCATGGTTTTGCAAATAAAAATAATTATTTATTCATATACAAAACTAATGGATCAGCACCCAGGCACTGGGTTAGATAATAGTTTCTAACAATTTGCTTAGGGAGTCATTAAGATAAACATGGTCTATTTTATAAGATCAAAAAGAGCTGGACCAATTTTTTTTGTTTTTCTTTGAGCATTACAGACTTTGTAGATCTTTTGCTAAGTAAACCAGTCTTCTCCATCTCTGACTATCTTAGGCTATTTCTTTCCAGTTTTTCTGCTTGCAGCTCAACAGCATCTTTATTGATTCTATCTAACCTTTTGGTTTTTGGTCTCCCACATGGTCTCTTGCCTACTATTGAGGTATTCATTGTTGTGTAGAGGCTTTCTGATGGATTGCTCTAAGCTACACGTCCTGCTCATCTCCATCTCCTTGTCGTCATATCATGAGATTGACTTACAAGTTTCTGTCAGCCGTTCATTTTTATTCCTTCTCCAGCGTTAGTGCTCTGATCTCAAACAACTCTGATTATGATGTGAAAGAGATATTTTTCTCTGAAATCTTTTAATACTTCTTTCTAAGGTGCTGGTTAGTGTCCCAGCATAAATATATAATGTATGGCTACAGAAAATTTAAAAAAATTAAATTTCCTATTAAAACATTAAGCTGTTATCTTTATTACTTTTGATTAAGTTGACTGAATACTTTAAAGTTTAAGATTACATTAATAGAACATTTCCTATATTAGTTGAAAGAAATAATATAATCGGTTATTTGTTTATTAACTACCATGTATAAATTTATTAACAACTTGAAAATACTACTTGAAAACATTTACTGATCATAATTTAATTTGTAGAATCCTTTTGGACCTCTTTTAATAAAGATCCTTGGCTGCTCAATAAGCTCTAAATTTGAAATTGCTGTAAGCCATGCGTCAAAACCCAAATTCAGAGACGTAAAATGCCATTTATCAGGGTAATATTTCTATTTTATGAGCAAATAAAGCTATGGTGTTTATAAATATACATTTATCAAAGCTATATATAAGATGTTAATGCCTTAATACATTATTTGTTCTAACTAAATCATTAAAACTTATAAACAGCAGTTGAAACTGTATATTAACATGCTGTCTCCAGCGGGACTCCGAATTCCCCTTACTATATTAATGATTTATTAAAACCAATTTCTATCAAACATCGAAATTTTGAACTCTGTTTAAAACATTAAATTTAAATATTTCTTTTTGTATCGTCAAAATTTGAATTTCAATCCACAAATAATTTTATCATGAATTATCAACAGACTATGTTTACTTTCACTTACCTATATATGAAATATACAGTGAAATATCTCCCAACGTACCTTTTCCACCCTAAAACACTTAAATACCCTCCGACACCTTTTTCCTTTTGAAATCCGTAGACTCCTGGTTACCTCCTTAATATTTCCCCACTTTGACTATTGCTGCACGGTATATCGAGGCGTCTCTGGGGATCTCGAGGCAAAACTAAAACGTTTGATAAATTGCTTTGCACGATTCATCTTCAGGATCCCAAGGGATAGTTGTAAGAAAGAATGAATATTTTTGATAATTTTGTAAACTGTAAACTTTACTGTGAACAAGAAATTTCTTAAGTCATTTCTATATGTTTAGTCTATTTCTTCAAAATAAAATTGAATTTATTATAAGATTAATTAAGCTTTTACAGGCAATATGAGATACCTGACCTAAGTAACACTTTGGTATCACCCCCAAATGGTTCTCAAAACTCATATCACTGCACAAGAATGTTAGCAGCATATGTTTGTGATTCTATCAGATGGGGAAATCTTTTCCATACCTTAAGGCTTAAATGGGTGAGATTTAAATACTTAAAATTGACACTTATATATTTTCTTTATCCTTTGATAGTTTTTCATTTGAAATAGTTATGTATGGTAAGGGCACTAGCTCTGAGTAGGAGGCAGAGCAGTGGATGGCTACTAGTTGATCCTGAAGATCCTTATCTTAATCCAGTTCCAAAAGTTGTACAAGAAAAAGAAATAATACTAAGTAACTCAGAAAAGAAAACCTGCAGAATTATTGAACGTACTGGAGAGGATACCACTAACGTTCCTCTTTGGTTAGGAATGAGGTAGGCTTTGGTACTTACAATGTACTTAATAACAAAATATAAATATGCATAAGAATTTAATGCTATTCATTATTAGAATTATTTTTTATAAACGTAAATAAAAAATGTATTAAGATATAACAGCCTAAACACAAACCCTACCATCAATATTTTACCAATGAATGTTTTATAAGGACAGAAACAATCAACATACTTAATATAAAAGAATGTGTTTGGATATCTTGTGATGATGTACTGTCACTAATTAATATGTTTTTTGGACTATTAATAATGTTATCTGTTCCGATGATGCTGAATTAACAAAACATTGAGGGATTAATAGTTTACCTACATTTTAAAAACTCAAGGTTTCGTGTTTGAAATTTTCCAATTATATCCTAACAAATATATATGTTGTTTTAATCAATAATTGAAGAGTTCTTGTAGGGTAACATTTTAGAATAAAAAATAGTAATTTTAAAAATGGGAATATTTAAAGAATTTTTGAAAATTTACTGTGTTAAACATTTTGCTTATAACTAATAGATTTTTTTTAGTCAAATATTGTTCAACTGTAGATACTTGAATTACTTATCTGTTTTAATTCATTCACTTTATGAATATGAAACATACCAATTATGTGTCAAATGATTTTATTTATAATTATTGAAATTCTTAATGCGAAAAAAAAGGTTATCCTAAAGCAAATAAATAATTTTATATGATGAATTGCAGGTATGATTTTCAGTTATGGTGTCCAATAAAAAATGCTCCCAAAGAAATGTTCAAGGATGGAGAGCATGAGGAAATGCTAGAACTATCAGAGGCAAAAAGTCCTGCACCACGACCATATTTATTTAAATTGGAATTTCGTGTATATGTAACAGCCATAAGTTCACTAAGTCAAGGAGCCATTGAAACCACTATCTGGATAGAAGAAACACCTGAAAATATTGCTTATACACAGAGCAGGCAACTAGTAATTTAATATTTATAATCATTCAGAAAATTACATTTTCTTTTTTTAAAAGTAATTTACAGCCCAGGTATAAAACAGAAAAAGGGTGTAATATTTAATAAAAAGTCAACAAATTAATTATCTCTATTGTTTATCTTAAACGCATCCAAAATATTTCTCACAATTAGTGATATTATTGAATAATAAAACTCTCTTCTCCCTTCTGGTATTGTTTAGTATCACTGAAAAATAATATAATTTTTTCATTGCCATTGTCATCCTACTATGATAGCTTGAGTAAGTCAAAATTTGGAAGAAGCATCACTTCATACCTCTATTCATTTTTTAAAATTTTATGTTCTAACCATATATTAGTTATGAATTTATATTTATTTATTTTTCATTGTAGATATTTTATTTGTTTAAGTACCTGTATATATACAATTTTTTTGGCAAAAAGGACCAAGTGGCCCACTTATCAGACTAGTGAAAATTTTAATTTTTATATAACTGTAATCTATACAATTAAATATTTAATAATATCAACAATAGCATTTATCGAAACCGCGCATATATATATATATATATATATATATATATATATATATATATATATATATATATATATATATATATATATATATATATTGAAAATAGTTAAATATTCAATAATTTGATAATTAACTAAATAAAATATATATTATTATAATATAATAATAAATATATATATATATATATATATATATATATATATATATATATATATATATATATATATATATATATATATATATAATATAATATAAATATATATATATATATATGTATTATATTATATTATATATATATATATATATATATATATATATATATATATATATATATATATATAAGTATATATATATATAAGCGACAGACGCATGCAATTGTGACGGACTGACCCCACAAACTTTCATACACATCTTAAACGACTGCCAGTTATACGAACACAAAAGAGCCAACTTCCTGAAATCTTCTTTGACGCAAGGAGACACATGGCCTCTTCCCGAACCCATACTATACAAAAAATACAAGAAGGAGTTGAAGGAATTCATTAATAGCATAAAATTATAAGACATTCCAGCATAGCTCTTTTATTTAATATACTTCTAAAGTTAGACTTATGTCTTTTATTCTTTATTTTGTTGATACTCAATTGTAAATTTGTAACATTTGTTTATTCTCCGCATAATTTTTGTATTTGATTCTGCCTCTGTTTTAGAGTATTTTGTCTTAGTATATTCTGGTACTGTTCATTCATCTGATACTGTTATTTACTTTATTTAATCGTTTATTGTTATTTATTTTATTTAAACATCTATAAATATTCCCCTTGTAATACAAATTAAGTACCATTCTTTTTAAATATCTTTAGCCAACACATATTGTAATAAGTTATATTTATAGTTATATACTAAATAACACTGTAATGCATATAATATGCTTTTGCATGGTGTATGCACACTTCTAAAAAATATACGCCTCTTCTGTAGGGTTACTACAGCAGAGAAAAAAAAAAAAAAAAAAAAAAAAAAAAAAAAAAAAAAAAAAATATATATATATATATATATATATATATATATATATATATATATATATATATATATATATATATATATATATATGTGCACGGTTTTGATAAGTGCTATTGTTGGTACTATTAAATATTTAATTGTATAGATTACAGTTATATAAAAATTAAAATTTTCACTAGTCCGGTAAGTGGGCCACTATATATATATATATATATATATGTATTATATTATATAATATATATATATATATATATATATTATTATATTATAATAATATATATTTTATTTAGTTAATTATCAAATTATTGAATATTTAACTATTTTCAATATCCAAGTTTAATTATAGGTATTTTAGAGGAAGAAATATTGAAAATTAGCCATTTAAGTCCTGTTAGAGAACATCAATGAGCATAAAACCTACATTATATTAAAAAGTGCTTAATTTTACATAAATACAATGAATTTAATCAAAATCATTAGAACAATTTTCGAGAAAATCATAACAATGTGTTAAACCGATGATATAAAGTGCCACTTCCAGGAAGCCAATTTTGACGAAAAAGTTGCTGGAACATCCCAGGCATATACAAACTTTAAATATGCAATTTTACTTTCATATGACTTTTTGTTTTTGAGCTAGACTATTAATAAACACACAGACCATTTTGTGGAACTCTGTGGACCTCAAAACGTGTATTCCTGTTGAAAACTGAGATTTGAAAATTTGCACAATCGCAATACTTTTATTTATATATTTCATATATAGATAGATAGAAGTAAAAAATATATATAGACTAAATAATGGAAATTCTAAGTCAAACCAAACATTGGTAATAGCTCTTGAAACATAGCCCAAAAAGTGACCTCATTGCAAGGTTTGAATGTAAATTGCCAAAGCGTATGTTATACTATATAAAATGAACCTTATCTGCCATTCCAAAGCCTCTGTTCTAAAAAATGACTGCTGATTTAAACAATATTAGACCAGTAACTTGAGGATCAGGGAGTGGTGTAGCTAAGTTGGTGAGCACTGACTTTCAGAGCTCAAGGTCAAAGGTTCGAATCTGGCTGATGACTAGTAATTTTTCATCAGCTGTGGATCGACCTTGGGCCGGGAGGCCCTCCTGGGGTAAACCCAGCCTCTATAAAGTGGGTACTCTTAATTAAATAATTAATGAAGGGGGGATGATAACCTGGCAGTTGAGAGTAATACCAGTCCAATCACCTCTCTGCATAACCGCTGGTCTTGTAACAGTACATTCTCATATTGTACTGAACCCAAGACCCTTCATGAGTCGTTACTGATGAATATGTATTTTTTTTTTTTAACTTGGGGATCAAAATGAGAAATATATTGTATAATTTATGTATATATATATTTTAAACATGTAAAAATCAAAATTGCTATAACGAGCAATCTAGAATAAACTTTTTAAAGACAGATTTTTTCTCTTTTTTTATTTTCACTCATTACTCCTAAACAGTGCATCAAAGCGAAAATCATACTCTTTCACAAATTAAAGAACATTAAATTGTGCGTCAAAAAAATAACTAAACTTTGGTTAAGTGATATTGTCAAAAACCAGTGAATGGAAGTTGATTTTTACCACCTTTGTCAAAAAACAAAAATTACTATAAATGGCCCTATAAGTAACTTGCAAATGAGTTCTCGAAGAGAAAAAACTTCATAGTATAAAAATTGAAGAACATTAATTCCACATCCACTTATTACCAACATTTTTCATGTTGGTCACTTACTCCGCTCGAAATCGGTAATCTCCCAATGGTTGGAAATTGGTAATGATGGTACATGATTTTCAATATTTCAACAGTAAGGGTGTCTGTTGTACTCTGTTATTCTTTTTTCTAAAGTCAGCTTTATGAAGTACAGGAATCTTTTTAACCTCTCAGCAGTAAAGAATTTTGAGAAAAACAAGGAGCCAGAAGAAAGTGAATTTCATGAAGAAATAACAAATCATGATTGGAAAAATATAATTGACCTATATTAAAAATTATGACTCAGAATTTGATGCAATACAACTTTTAATCTGAGATTTTATTCTTTTAGAGAATTAATTTCCAAGCTGCAGGACTATTTATAGCAACTTGTCTCAATTTTTGAAAAATTTGGTAAAAATCCATTTTTTTTCTAAATTTACAAATTAACTAAATTATCACTGTTCTACTTGCAATATCTTAATTTTACTATTTATTTTCACTTCTTATATAACTTCATATTCCTTTTTTCTATTTTACGTTTTATTCTAAGATTCCCATTTTAATACTTATGTCACCTTTTTTGATTATGTTTACTTCATTATTCCACACTTTGTAACAGTTATTATTATTTATCTCTTAGTTCTTACTATTGTCATTATTCTACCAACTTCATTTTACTTTAATTTTTTTTTTACCTACACTACTCATGTTTCTCATACCTTGTTATCTGGTTCTTTTTCTTAGCCCTAATGAAGGTCTGAACTTCAGGTCGAAACGTCGGCAAGTGTCAAAATAAATATTATCATTTATTTTTGCCTTCTTATTTGACTGATCGCCCTAACTATTCTTCTCTTCATTATTCACGACAGTCAACCATTTACCCACAATTATAACTAAATTATAAGTTTAGGTACTCATTTGAGGCACACTTCAACGCTTTTTAATTTTTAAACAAACTATCTGAAAAAAACACTTTTTTTCTGATGAGTTATTTGGCTTTCCAAAAATTCTGGTGAAATCCCCCTCCCTGACTTTTCCCTGTTTGTTGACACCTCTTTCTGTAAGGATTCATCTTTGGAGGGGGAGAGGGGGAGTATACAACCTCCAACCATTTCATCATGTTTTTCAAATTGCTTTGGAATAATTTAGAAAGCTCTTAAGAATTATTATTATTATAAATTTCTATTATATTATTATTATTATAAATTTTATATTATTATTATTATAAATTTCTAGGCTTCACTTCTAATAAAGATCCATAGTCTTTTGGTATTTTCTGCAGGTATCCTCTGACAAGTAATATTAAAAATTAAATGATATATTATAATAAACATTATTAATTAAAATCAAGGTATTTCTTCCCTTCTTCTTTTTTCATAACTTTGGTTAAGTTTTTCTAACAATCTCTATTTATGGCAAATAAAAGTATTAATATTAGATTTTCAAGGGTATATAATTTGTCAATATAAATTTATTATTTCAAGGAGCACTTAAAAAAAAAAAACTTTTTAACTTTACCAAACTTTACTTCACTTTTATTTCCTGTTTATTTATTCTGATGTTTCGGGCCACTTTGCCCATTTTTAAGCCATATCTTAACCACATCATAATCATTTTCGTTATATTTGGTTTCTTTCAAAAAACAGTTCTTGTGTTAACTTATATTGACAGCCAAATGTTCACTGTGAGCTATGAGCTTACATATCATTATTAATTATTTACAAATAATGACATGTAAGCTAAAGTATAAAGGGTTTTTTGAAGTGTTCCTCGAAATAATAAATTTATATTGACATATAAAAGGCACTACCTAAGGAATCATATTATTAAATCATTGAGTGACAATACGTGATTAGAAAAAACAGACATATTAAGAAAAAATTTATTAGTATAAATGTAATATAAAATATAAGCAGCACATAATTTTTTTAAAATGTAGGAAAACTAAGAACTGTTTGTTTTCTTATTTTGTTTAAGTGCTAGTTCCATAAAATCTTCAGCGATAGTGACTTGACAATCATGACCTAACTTCTCGAACGCTGCCACTGCTTCATTGTATAAAATTTTTAATGATGGTTCATCCTGCAGTTTATAAGATGATTCATTATAGAAATTTTAACTAACAATACAATATTTGATGTTATAGTAAAAAAATATAATAATATCAAAATTCAGAAATGTAGATTAAACAAATCATTAAAAATAAATAAATAAACAACAGACATGATAATGTTAAAGAAGATAAAATATATTAAATTTAAAAAGAATGATATTTCATAAAATAACTCTTCTCTGTGAAAATTTATCAGGGGAGGCTTTTAATAATTCTTAATTTTTCTTTAAAAAAAAAAAAAGGTTTAAATTGGAAGAATGGTAGAAGTGTATAATTCCAAATATGCATCATCACTCGTCAAACATTTTTCTCCATCTCTCCAGCAATTTATGACTGTTCTTCCAGGAAAATCATATGTTTTTTCCATGATATGATACCCTATACCGTACACATTTTACATAAGTTCTCAGCCAAGTATGGAAATGGTGTTTATGACTCTGAGGGCGTAGCCATGTTGCAAATTTACTTTTATGTTTCTTATAGCCTATCCTAATCGCTTTTTGATCAATGTATGGTTCAAATTGATCATTTGTTGGCAGTAGTAAACAATATCAACTGTTTCACCTATTTTCAGAAGCACACTGTACAGGACACACTTTTGATCATCCCAGCAACTGCACAACATTGTCTTCTTCCAAAGTGATTCAATCAACCGAAGATTTTCAGGATTTTCGAAATATATCCATTGTTCCTCTCCAGTCATGTTCTGATGCAAAAAGTCTTACTTTTATGCCGAGAAAGCAAAACTCGCAATCTATTTTCACTTTTCTGTCTGTTAGCCCTTAACTGATGTGGCACCTATTTTCCTGCTTTCTGGATCTTTCTCATGGAATGCAGTTGACCACAAATGGTTCAGTGACCAACATTTAATCTCTCTGCCATTTGCATATCGTCTTCGTCCAATAACATTTGCAATTCGGCATCTTTAAAGTTATTCCATTGAAGTAGGAGTTCTTTGTCTTTCAAGTAAAATTATCACTTTTGAATAGTTTAGACCAAAGAATACAAGAATCTTGCATTAGGCTACTGTCTCTGTAAGTTTCCTTAAGTACATAATGGCTTTCACTCGGGTTTTTCTTTTTATTGCATAAAAAAAGCAGTACATGACACTAATGTCCTTTATTTGGTTTGAAACTAAATATGTTTATCAGACGAAAAAAAAATTTAAGGCTAAATTGCGAACTAATTCTTGTTTCCAGTGCATATCTTAGAAGCATTAAGAATTATTAAATGCCACACCAGGTACATGATAAAACAAAAATAGAATTAGGCAAATTAATCATCAAAACATAAGTTTTACGAATTCTAGAGACCTTAATTGTCTGTCACACTTACATCATGAGTTTTATAGCGCTGACTGAAATGATAAAGGACCAAATGTTTTGCTTTAATTTGTTCAGCAAATGCAGCTGCCATAGAAGGAGTTGAATGACCATTTCCAATTGCTTTTTCTTTCATAGCATCCTCTAATGTAGCTTCATGAACTATATAATCACATTCTCTAAAAAAAGATACCTATATTATCCAACAGTTTTTTCTTATCTATCAGGATAAAACAAACAACATTATTTAAATGTATAAAATTATGTAACTGAATTAATTTATTAATAAAAAAAAATATTTAAAAACAAATTAATTTAATGAAAAAATATTCTTTAAAAATTATATAGTTTCATACTCACAACAGAAACAACACAAAGGTGAATATGTCAACCTTGGTTTAAACATATGGTAATGAAAGCATTGCAGAATATCAAAAAATACAACATTATGTGATTTTGCTTCATGATAATGAACGATCACACACAGCAAAACTAGTAAAGAAATGTTCAGGGCATTAAATTGGGAAATATTAGTGCATGAGCTTACTCACCAGATCTGGCTCCACATGACTAATATTTTTTTTTGCATTGATAGGACACACATATGCTCAGTAGCACTTCACTTGTTATGAAAATGATTTGATGACTGGTTTGCCACAGAATTTCTTGCATGAAATACATAAATTGCCAGAAATGGAAAATATTTAGAATGAAATATTCATTAACATTTGTATGTAATAAATGTGTATTTTCTATAAGAAATTCCCGATTTCATAATTACACACCTTAATTATATAAATAAGTTTTGTTTAGTAAATATGTTATAAATTGTAACCTCCACAATCTTAATTGATTAAAATTAAAAAAAAAAATACTATATTTTTTTAAATTTTAAAACCATCATGAAATCTTCCAATGTTTTGCATTTTATTTATGGTGATTAAATAACAAAAGTATACATAACAAAATATGCCAAGTTAATTATAGAAGAATTTCAAAATGGATAATGTCAAAACCAATTAACTATTAACCTAATATTCACATTAAAACAAATTTTAGAAAAGAAAAACATAGTTTTTTAGCTTAATATAGATTACAAAAAGGCATAAAATTGTACTGAAGCAGAGTATGTTTTTTTTTTTTGGTTTTTTATACCCTCAGCCTCACTCTTACTCCAATGCTCTCTCATCCTCCTGGACTGTTCCCCTCGTTCTTCCTTAGTCCATTTCCTCCATCGTCCATCGTCTCTCTCCCTCCCACTCACAAAAACCCCAACCCCTATCAGTTTTTCCCTAAAAAGCTCTCTATCCAAACAATCTTTATCCGTGATTTTTAGATTGTCTAGTTCCTCTTTTATTTGTTTTAAATATCCCCCACACTTTTATAGCTGCAAACTTTGTTAAAAATTTTCTTGTTCAGTCTTTCACTATTCATCTTGACCATGTGCCCGTAGAACCTCAGTCTTCTGGTCCTGACGACTGTTTCCAAATTTCTGTATATTTTTTTATTGGATTTTAGCCTATATCTCTCTTGCGTTACCTTGGGACCGTGAATCCTCCTCAGAATATGTTTTATTTATTTACAGAGTATGTTTTATTTATTTATTAAAATAAATTTAGAAATTATTAAAGGCACATATACACTTGAGTATTAGTCTCGAATGAGCAATGACCCACTAGATCTGGGCTCCTGTGGATTAAACAGCAAACCCAGACTGGGCTGTGTAACAGGGGGGATTAATTGAGTTGGTCTCCAAAAATTTATTGTCAACAGGTTTTTGTTAACAGTTGATTGTTAACAGGTTTTAGTTACTTATATTTATTACTTTCCTTGAAAAAGAAAAGGAGAAAGCTGTGTTGGCAAAATTATTGGAAGAGAAATAACTAAAGGCAAGCGAAGGAAGAGAAGGAACTAATAGGATGCTTTACTGTTAAAAATACTTGGACATGAAACTAACAACACCAACAATTTTACGAGAATGTCACCTGAGGATTTTCAAATTATAGTGAATTATCTCAGGTCTACGATTGAGAGACAAGACATATAGGAGAAGGAAAATAAGAACAATAATCACTACACAAGCATAAAACAGATAAGGGTTAACATGAAATTAACTGCCAGGAGAGAGGGTAGCCAGCTCATATTCTGCGGTCTGAACCATCGCCACCCTTCTCCTGTACACACTAAGCATGAACTACATTTGTACAGAAGCTAACTTTGATGTACCCACAACTTGGATTACGTGCTAATTCGGACCGAATGCTTAAATGCATATGTGGCTAAAACAATGTTACTTACAAGGCTATATCTATCATACCACTAGAATCACAGGTATCTCCAAGGATAGCTACTTTCAACCCTGGTGTTGAAGGATCCATAACATCTTCAGGATTTATCTATAAGAAAACATTAAGAAAAATATTTTTCAAATGTCATTGAGTACAAAACTACACCAAATGTAAAAAATATATTATATGCTTATTCATACATTCGTTTCAAATAAACTTAAGCAGCACATAAAAAAAAAAAATAACACGTACAATATATTTTCTTTTCATAGAGAATTACATCCTTTATAAACTAAGTACAATAACTCATTGATAAAGGTATAGCAATAACATTTTAGAATAATTCTGTAGAACGATTAGTCATTAAAATTTGTTTCACAATTAGTTAAAAAAGGTGTGGCAAGTAAGGTCAGTATAGCTTCCTCAATGTTTTCATCAGATCTATATTTCAAGGTCTTTAATTTTTGTATTAGAATAAAAGTTCCAGGAGAAATCGTTTTCGGAAATACAGTGATCCCTCAACATAGGCGGATTTGATATCCACAAATTTTGTTTATCAGCGAATATTAAAATGCAGAAGAGTTCCACATTTCCAGATTGTATATTCTATGATTTGTGATTTTTTTAAAAAAAATCCCAGTACATACTGAACATTGATATCATTATTGTTGGAGCAAAAGGTCATATGTAAAAGTTAAGTGTTTTACAGACGACTATATAAACTAATTATTTCATTATGATGTGGTACTTTTATTGTCCTCAGCTATTTTCCATGTTAGTAGACTACCTATCAGTTGGAGACTACAAAATGTCACCTTCAGCACAAAAAGATTAAAAATATGCGTGAAATTCATACAAGTTAGATGTTTAAGGAGGAAATCGAGACCACGACGAGCTGGCTGAACTTCAATAGAAATAAACACAATCACAAATAGACTTTTTTTTTTTTTTTTACGAAGTCAGAGTAAAAATGAATTCTAAAGTTACTGAACATTACACAAAATCTAAGTAACAGCAGTGAGTGTTATGCCAGTAACGTTTGGAATCGACCAAACAACAAAGTATGAATTATGTTTTGAAATAAAACCTTATTAAAGTTTATAACTTCATAAAAATATTGTATTAACCTAACTCACATTATATATGATCAATGCCTTCTACATTTCACAGCCATTATATTGTTAAAAATTATTTATATTAATTTTAATTATTAAATAGAATTCAATGCAATTGATACTATGCAATTTCTATCCTATTCTCTGAATTTCCTCCAAGTTTGTATCAAATTGAACGAACTATTTTCAGACTATAGGCGTGTCACACAATACATTTACTGAAGCGGAAGTATTTTTTTTAGAGTAGTGTATAGAATTTGATATTCACTTAATCATCTGTTAACCAAACCATAACTTCCCTTCACGTTTGAGCCAAATCGAACGTGTGGTTTTAGAGATCCAGACGTATCAAGGAAAACACATTTTCGCATATATCAGAGAAAGCAGTGGACAGAATTCAAAAAAATTGACACTAACTCATTTTTTCACCAATACCTATATTTTATCCAACTTTGAGGCAAAAACAAATGAGCCGCTTCTGAAATATTGGCATATCTATGAAAATACATTTGCGTGTACGCAAGCGGAAGTGGTAGATAGAATTTGATAAAATTGATATGGGACCATCAAGACACCAATCCCACAATCTCTGAAAATTTCATGAGAATCGGATGAAAGGTGCTCATCACATCAATTTGACTACAGACAGACAGATGCCGAACTAAATTTGATCCTTGATGTCTGAAATGTAAAACGCGAGTGGAAATTTTTGATTCTGAGCACAAAATTTTTGTTAACTTCTCGAATAAAATGCTTCCCTACCTTCGGTAGTGAGGAAGCAAAATAAAATCTGTATACATACTATGTCTCTACTATACTATGTACTCACGCTCTATCCTTAATACTTTTTTTTCCTTTCCTTATACATATTTTTAGTGTGTGTGATATCTTCAGTAATATTAGTTCTATTTTGTTTTAACTTTATTTATTCATCCACAACTGTCTAATAAAACATTGACAATCAGAGGATTTCCAGTAAAATCAATAATTATTTAATAATGGCAATTCAGGCATAAAGAAGAAACATATGGGAAAATTATAGAGTGGTCTCTCATCCATGACCTTTTCAGCCTCCTCGTGATATTGTCTGACATACTGGTTGTGGCTATTCTTATTATTAGACGATTCTTATATCCACATAAATTGTCAAATTTTTTTAATGATTCCGTACGTATTCGCTGACTTTTCGCATTCTAAGCTCAGTATTTGAAGTTGTGTTAGAAATATATATCGATGTGCTTGTGTAATAAGTCTAAATATTTTGGATTGGGATGTCTTTTCATGTGTGGCTTTTTGGCCAAACAGAAAATTTGAGAAGGGTAAGACCAAATTGGTTTAAGTAAGTATGTGTAGATAACAAGTTTCTGTATTAGTTTTAATTTTGATTGTGGTCTGTGTAATAAGTATAACAGTTTACCTCATCTATTTAAAATCTTATGTTTTTTTTTAATGTGTGGAGGCCAAGTCAGTCTTCTATCAAAAGTTAGTCCCAGGTAGTTGAACTTGTTTGTTTGCGGTTATAACATGTTATTGAAGTATACAGGAGAACATTTCATTTCTTAATGTAAATGTGATAAGTTGGCGACCTATTTCATAGTTTAATTATATTTTCCACAACAGTGTAGTGCCCTGGTATCTTGTCATGATTGCAGTGTTGTCTACTTATGTTGCTGTCAGGATGTTGGGACTGTCTGGTATATCAAATTTGTATACAATCTAGATCAAAGGTGCGACTATAGAACCTTGAGGTACTCCTCATAGGGTTGATCGAAGAAATTTCATGGACTCGTCAGAGAGAAAAATCTATCTGAAACGAAAGACTGAAGGATAAGGAAGTATGAGTTCGGTAGTACTGTCTTGAATTATTGATGGTTAGATATTATTTGGTTATCCATTAGCTTTAGTTTGTCAAATATCCTTATAATAATAATAATAATAATACCCCGTGAGGAGTTGCTAGTCTCCCATCGGGCGCCTCCCCAGGTGGCGTATAGTGGAAATCTCACCAGATATGGTGGGTACCAGAGAAATAAAATACCCGGGGTGGACCAAAACTAGCAAAATCCAGGTGCGACGGTTCCCATATTAGGCGGCAACCTGGTCAGCGTCTGTTATCCATGTCAGGAGCGGCTGTTTAAATCACCTGGCAGGAAGGTATAAAATGCACCTACCCATTAAAAATGGAGCTATGAAATAGAAGATTAGCCTCGGACGAGCCCGATACTGAGGCTGCATCGGGCGGGAACAGTGGACAGCTTCCTTCAGGGACTAGTGGAGCGAGCGGCACTATCCTGTCGTCACGGACCGCAAGGCTGCAACGTTTACCGGCCAACAGTTCCGAGTTCGAGCTTGGAGGAGAGACATTCTCCACCCGCGCGAGTTCGGCAACAGAGACCAAGAGGTGCAAAGAGGATGAAATGGACGCCAAATATGAATATGGCTGTCATCCGAGCATACTACTTGGCAACAAAACTTGAAACAGAGAAAACAGGATATCTGAACCGTATACCGAGATACTGGCGTGAGTCCTTCCCAGATATTAATATAAGCACACAGAGACTGAGTGATCAGGTAAGAGTAATACTTATGAGAAATTTTCTTACTTTAAATGACCTCCAACAACTTAAAAACGAAGTTCGTATGTTAATAGCCACTGAAAATGATGTCGAGCTCTCTGATGGAGCGCTAAATACAAGAATAGATTCAGACGCTGGTGTAATCAATGCCTCAGTCGGTAATAAAGATTCAGCGGAACAATTGGATGATGCGGATATAGAAAATAGATTGAGTCAATCACTTTTGACCGAGCATATTCTACTTGAGGGAATACCGCTTCAGGAGCGACCATCGTTGCCACGAGTACCGTATAATAAGGCCACAATTAAAGTAACCAATATAATGAATAATGTTCTTAAGGATAATATAGCCCTAATTAATGGCATTCAAGATATCCCTCATTGGCTATATATTGCTGCCAAGATAGTTACATTAGAACTGGGCATAAAAATGGAAGATAAAAGTAAAAATAAACTTCCAACTGGATATAGTGGAATACCACAGTGGAAGAGAAGACTTCAAAGGAAAATTGATACCTTAGGTGGAAAAATTGGCGTCATCTTAAACTATATTCGTAACCCTCAAGCTGCAAGACCTAAGACAAAAAGGAAGATAGATGAGATTATAGTACAGAATTTGGGAACCGTAATGGAAAGTGAGTTAATTGATAAACTGACTCGATATCTAGATATTGTGAAACAAAAGCTGGCAGTTTACGCCAGCAGATTGCGCAGATATAGTGAGGCAGCTTTACGCAGGAAACAAAATCAGCTGTTCAAGCAGAATGAACGTCAGTTTTATAGAAACCTAGTAAAAGAAGAAAAAATATCGATCAAATACCCTGATGACATTGAAACCCATTGGAAAAATTTATGGGAAAAATCGGGGAATCACCACGAGAGCTCTTGGATACAACGTCATCAGAATGTCAATGAAATGATGGAAGTTACCATAACTGTGGAAGATGTTTCAGAAGCGGTCAGGAACATGAAAAATTGGAGGGCACCAGGACCTGACGGTATCCAAAATTACTGGATTAAAAGATTTCATTGCTTCCATGAATTGCTGGCCAAAGGTTACCAGGAAATACTTGAAGACAAACAGAGCCCCCTGATGGTTTCTCTGATGGCATCACGTATATGCTTCCGAAAAAGAATGACTTAAACATGCGTCCTGAAGATTTTCGGCCGATAACGTGTTTAAATGGTCTGTATAAAATTCTAACTTCCATCTTGGCAAATAAGATATGTGAGCATCTCGAAAGTGAGAATATGATACCCATAGAACAGCTAGGATGCAAAAAAGGTGCTAGGGGTTGTAAAGAACTCCTAGTAATAGATTCGTTCATTGCAGCACAAGTTGCGAGAAAACCTCTCTATGGCATGGATCGATTATAAAAAGGCCTTTGACTCGGTTCCCCACAGCTGGCTACTTAAAGTTCTAGATATATACAAGGTCGAATCTAAAGTAAGCAGGCTCCTTTCAAACTTAATGACAGGATGGAAAACTACGCTGAAAGTTGGAACTATCTGCACAGGGAATCAAATTAAAATATTGAGAGGAATACACCAAGGAGATTGTCTAAGCCCCTTATGGTTCTGTATGGCTTTGTTCCCACTAAGCAGGATTCTTCGAAAGAACAAGATGGGATACAAATTAATCATCAACGACGAAGCCACCACAGTCAGCCACAGCTGGTACATGGATGACCTTAAACTATATGCGAAAAACAAAGACCAATAACAAAGTATGGTTGAAGCAGTTTCATCTTTTAGTAGTGATATAGGCATGTCACTCGGTCTGGATAAATGTGCGGTGCTCCATGTAACCAAAGGAAAAGTGGTTAGTATGCAGAATATTCTAATCAATGAAAAAGAGTACATCAGGGAGCTTGAAGACAATAGGTTATATAAATATCTGGGAATGCAGGAACATCTTAAAATTGCAAGAAAAGACATGCAACAAGACCTTCTGACAATGTTTAAAATTAGATGGCGGAAAGTGCTCAAAACCCAGCTAACCGGGAAACAAAAAATCAAGGCTATTAACACCTGGGCAATACCTGCTCTCGGTTATAGTTTCGGCATATTGCACTGGTCAAACACCAGCCTACAGGAGATCGACCGCCTTGGGCGAACAACTCTCACACAAGAACGGGCCCACCATCCAATATCCTCCAAAGCTCGTCTGTATTTGCCTAGGAAAGAAGGAGGACGTTGTTTTGCTAAATATCGAAGAAGCTTGCCGCAAGCAGGAAGCGGCCCTACGCCGATACTTTCTTACAAAAACAACTGAGCTTTACCTCGCAATCTCAAGATTGGATTATGGTCTAACCGCACTTAACCTGAGCAATCGTGAGGTCTCTAAAATCGTGTCAGAAAATGAACGCTTGACAGAATGGAAAAATAAATCTCTGCACGGAAGATTCTACAGCAAATTAAATGATAGCTCAATTGACAAGGAAATATCCATTGAATGGCTGAAAGCTGGAAAGATATTCTCCGAGACAGAAGGATTTCTGCTCGCCATCCAAGACCAAGTTATTGCTACTAGATCATATAGAAGGCATGTTCTTAAAGACGCAACAACTACAGATAAATGTCGATTATGCTCAGCGACACTGGAATCAATCCAACATGTCACAGGTGGGTGTGGAGTGTTGGCTGGCACCGAGTATCTCCAGAGGCATAACAATGTGGCTAGAATTTTTCATCAGGCTCTGGCGGTGAAGTTCAACTTGTTAGATGACAAAACTCCATATTATAAGTACCACCCAAATAAACTCCTCCAAAAAGGTAGTCTCAAGCTATACTGGGATGAATCTATTATAACTGACCATACTGTGCGTCACAATAAACCAGACCTCCTTCTGATAGACATGAGAGAGAAAAGAGCAGAGCTTATTGATGTCGGGATCCCCAATGATAATAATATAAGCTCCACTGTTGGAGAAAAACTGAGAAAATACCAGGAATTGGCAATCGAACTGAAGGAATTGTATCATTTGGGGAACGTCACCACCACTCCAATTATAATATCCTCCAATGGATTGATACCAAAGACAACAGTGGCAGGCACAATGGGTTTAAAATTACCTCTTGAAGTGCTGAAAGAGGCTCAACACTCAGTTCTCTTGGATACGGTACGTATTGTTCGAAAGTTTTTAAATATCTAAAAAGTAATAGATATTAATCTGAAGTGGCTGGACTTCTGGTCTCCCACCTCAGAAACTTACCCCGCAAAGCGAGAATAAAGAATGGAAATAATAATAATACTTAATTATTCTGGGACGAGTCCCATTAGAATAATACAGGAAGATAGAAATGTGGGCTAAGGAGCCTCAGAGATACATAAATAAAAATACAGAGTAATTGAACAGTCTTGGTGAAAAAAAAAAAAAAAAAAAAAATATATATATATATATATATATATATATATATATATATATATATATATATACATAAACACATATACATATAAGTTGCTTTCCAATTTTGATCAGTTGATAATACAAAAAATAAAAAAATAGATTAAAAAAAATTGGAATACTAATAATGAAGAATGAACTAATTTTTTATGTACATATTTACAGTAGTATCTATAAACGATTTTATGGGGACTGGACGGATAAGAAATGATTGAGCAGGTGGGATATAAAGGTAGTAAGGGTATTGGATTGACGGATATGGAAAGGGATGGAGTTCCATAGGAATGAGGATCGGATAATGAACGATTAGTCGAAAGCAGCGGTTCGGTGGGCCATTATGTATAAATCAGAAGACCGGGGACGAGTATTGCGGGAACGAACAGAGGATTTGAATTGAAAGAGCTCGGAGATGTATGAGGGACGATGGGATTGGATGACTTGAAAGAGGAAGGATGCTAGGAAATACTTATGACGGTAGGAAGGATAAAGCCACCTTAACTCCGCATAAAAATGAGAAACAGAGGCGTCTCTTAGATATTTTATATGTAATAGTTTTCAAATACTTTTGAGCGAATGGAAAGCAAACTGATCGTATGATAGGATGAGGGGGTTGTATTTATTTTGGGTTCATTAATCAAAAAGGTACATGAATATTTCCACTGCAAAGAGAATTCAGTAGCTCTGAGTATTGTGTTGTACATAGTTGTGAAGAACAGTAGAGCCTTTGCCTTTCTTGGCTTTGCTGAAGGGTTACAGTATTTATCAGATCATAGCCAGGGGCTTTCTTTTTTGGAAAGTGTTTAATGTGTTATGCAATTTGTCAGATAGTGAAAGATGGAGGAAAGATTGAAAGCTTTAGTGGAATGTCCAAAATTTTTAGCAAGATTTCATCATGTTCCGTATTAGGGATTTCAATACACTATGTGAATACAAATAAAAGATGGTAAGGGAAGAACACAAGATTTTTCTTCGTCCATCACAGCCCAAGAACCGTCTTCTATCCTAACAGGTGCCAACACCATATGATGCTTTAAGACACTTTTTTTGTTCCTCCGCAAGCTTTTATTATCAATGGATAACTTTTTAATGTAAGATTCACAATTGATACAGTTAAATTTTTGTATTTGCCTTTTCAATTCATTATTAAGTATGTTAAATATCCGTTTAAAGAATAATGTAGTTAAAAAGTGGCTTTCTCACTACACAGCTTTAAATGTTTTGGGATAGTATAATAAAAAAAATTCAGCCCTTGAAAAAGATAATTAGCTGGATGGCATCAAACTGTTACAAGGCTCCTAGACTATAGCCAAAAAAGGAAGAAAAAATAAGACACGCAGATTGTCATATTCAAATCTTAAGAAAAATAATAATTTCTTACAAAATGTTCAAGAATGGCTAAAAAGGATACTTTTTGCCCATTCTCCAATATCACAGATTCACCTTGTTTTAATTTCCCATATAAAGGTCCAGGCTTCAAACCCATTTTCAATAACAAGTCTGCTTTTAAACTTCCACTAATTGGATTCTGTTGAAGTGAAAACCCAAAACTTGGAATTCGATGAACCAAAGCTCCAGCATTTACAGTTGCATGATTGTCTTGGAACCTGCAAACATACATATTACATCTTAACCTCTGGTTCCTTCAAATGAATTTTTTTTTTTTACTTTCACCTACCTATGAATGAAATAAATAGTAAGGAAAAATATTATGATTGTGAAATATTTCAAATTCGAATTTTTAGCGGAAATGCAATTTTTGAGGTTTGGAGTCCAAATAGCCAAGTCTCACAAAACTGCGCGCATGTGTGTGTGTGTGTAAACGGTCTAGCTCAGGGGTCTCCAAACGATGGCCCGCAGACAAGCACCTTCAATCTGGCCCGCAAAAGTTTCTATTAATTTTTTATTTTCCTACCTATACTAGGTAAGGAAAATATTGCAATCGGGTCAAATTTCCAATAAGCGGTTTTCGACTGATCTATGTTTCAGAGCTCCCTGAGTCTGAAAAACACATTTATAGCCATTATTCTGTCAGTCTGTACCAAGTTTTGCTATACACTGTAGTGCGAAAACGGCTTTAATGATTTTGATGAAACTCTCCTATAATGTTCTAATAATTGTCCTTTCAATTTTCGTATATGGACTATATCCAAGAGACAATTCAGGAAAAAAAGTTATAAAGAAAAAAAAATGTTTTGGGGCCTAACTCGCTAAGTATATATTCTATGGTAAAATTTATAATAAAACTTTTGAAAGGTAATTAAATTACCAAAAAAAAAAAAAAAAATCATCGAAATCGAACAATAGTATTAGCGATGACACAGCTTATTCTGTTTTCTATTTTAATTTATAATTTATTACTTTCCTACCTATACTAGGTAAGGAAAGTATTGCGATCGGGTCAAATTTCCGATATGCAGTTTTCGACGGATCTATACGTTTCAGAGCCTCCTGAGTCCGAAAAACACTGTTTAGTCTGTTTTTTTGAAAGGTGATGAAATTCCCAACAAAACTATATAAAAATCGTAGATAAGCATTTTTATTTTTTTCTCATTTATTCAATTATAAAATTCAAAAGTTTTATTTAGCATTTTTTCATAACTCGTGAAGTAAGGTGACATCAACGGGGATAAGACATAAATGATATTAAAGACCACTTAATTATACAATGTTACACCGAATTTAATCAAAATCGTTAGAGCCCTTTATGAGAAAATTTGCAAAAATGTGTTTCAGCATTGATATAAAGTGACACTTCCGGTTATCCGATTTTAAGGAAAAAGTTGCTGTCACATCTAAGGCATATAAATATTTTAAATACATAATACCAGTTTCGTACGACTTTTCGTTTTTGAAATTATAATAGCTGATTGTTGATAAATGAAATCAACAAGTGTGAATTTAAAAATAAAAGTGACTTTTTTTTAAAAATTAATGTATTATGATATGCTAATCAATGCTATGTTCTGTATAATAAACCGAAACTTATATTTTATACTTACAAAGTCCATATATTTTCAGAATTTGTTATTTGTCTTCCAACAATTTCTTGAGGATGAAGCAGCACATTGTCTCCTTCTTCGTTAATTTTCCAGTCCTTTATATCTTCTGGATATTGCCAATCTAAAGGTATCAACTCATGAACCTGAAATCAATATAAACAAACTACAGTGCAAGAATGTATTACGACTTGAACTGAACATTGAAATAAAAATTGCTATGTTGATAACACAATAATAATCTGGACACACTACAGTACTTCTGAATTTTAAACAGTCACAAGGCACTAAAAGATAATGTATTGCAAAGAAAATCCTGCTTTTTCCACTTGGTTATCAAATTTGATTCAAAAATAGATTTTGAGGGGTTCAAAGAGATCAATGAATATGAAGTGTAAAATCAATTCAAAATACTGAAACAGCTTTAAGTTAAAACTTTAGGCACTTTTAAAAATCAGCCAAATAGTATACAAACTTATTTCACTGATCTAACCTTATTCATCCTCTTGAATTATGATAAAATAATTTGAATGATTTACATTGGCTTAAGAGACAATAAAGTCTTCAACAGAGTATTTACCTACAATAATATTGAATTATTTAATATGTATTTTGGCACAAATGTCTTTAATAATTACTATTTGACTACGGCTTAAATGTACTAGTAATCTAAGTTTGATAAAACGTAGTTTCAGGTTATTCTTTCTTTTATAACAATTTATTACTTTCCCTAAATAGTACTGAACCCCAGACCCTTCATGGGTTGTAGTGGTACAGGTTTATAACAATTTATTACACTTAAATTATCTTGACGTATCACATTCTAATTCCTGAGAGATACCAAAACTACTACTCGTACATACCAAAACTTTATTGCCTTAGTCTTCAAAACATCGTTAATTGGAGATTTCCTTTCACGTTTCCACAACAAGAGATGTCATTTAGTACTCTGATATCAAAACGCAAGGAACTTTTTACAATTTTCGGCACACCTGTATACTTGCATACTGACAGAGGTTGATACTTTTTGTCTCAAGAACTCAAATCTTTTTTAACGACCTTTGGTGTTGCTACTAATCGAACTACTCGTTACAATTCCCAAGGGAATGGACAATGTGTGAACGTTAAATCGGAATAGTTTGCAAAATTATTGAGCTGGCTGCAAGGAATGTGAATATTGATATTTCTAAATGGGAGAATGTTTATCATGAAGCATTACATTCAATCTGTTCACTCCTTTGTACATTAGCTTTTCAACAACGTTCTAGCTTAGGGATAGCAATACAGTCATGATTAATCAAACCCATTCCAATCCTATTCGTCATTTGAAATATGAACCACACATTGATGAAGTATTTTTGCTTGAAGGAAACTCATAATACTCTTATGCAAGACTGCCGGCTAAGAGAGACTACAGAGTCAACTAGACATCTAGTTCTTATGGGCGAGACAGAAATAGTTCAAAGAAAAACAAAAACTCTATACCCCAGGAGCCAGGACCCAAAAATCCTGAGTAAAAAGAACCTTGTTTGCCGATGCAGAGCAGCTGGTGTGGTGGTTGATTTAAAGAATATTAGGCCAGTAATTTAAGGATCAAAACGGGAAATCTATTATAAAAAAATGTGAGAAAAGTTTTTATTTTTTTAACTTGTATATATGGGTTTAGATATGTAAAAAACAAAATTGATAACGTGGGACACCAAGGGAAAACTTTTTATAGCAAAAAAGTCAGATTTTTTTAATATTGTTTTGTTTTTTCACCTATTATTCCTAAACAATGAATCAAAGCAAAAAATGTATTCTTTAATAAATTAAAGAACGTAAAATTGTGTGTCGAACAAGTACATAAACTTTATAATTTAGTTACATGGTAAGGTATAAAACCACGTTCACCCAACACTGATTTTTACCAAATTTGTTAAAAACGGAGACAAATTACAATAAATGGGAATAGGTTCCCTAAGAGGAAAGATCCATAGAATCAAAGTTGTAGAGCGTTGAAGTTTGATAGAATCAAATTTTGTGTCCACCGAGTACTGACATTTTTATTGTAAGCCAATTATATATCTCAAACAGGAATTCGTTATTCCTTTATGAAATTCGGTATCTATCGACACATCATTTATCATAATCCTCCGCTCCTGAGAGCTGGAAAAGCGGCTTATACTGCATGTAACAGACTCTAAACAAAAATAACTCAGTAGAATAAGACACTCATACCGTTGAAATATTGAAAATCATGTTTACCTTCATTACCAATTTCTAACGATCGGGAGATAACCAATTTTGTTCGGAGTAAGTGTCCTACATTAAATCAGTTGGTACTCACTGGGTGCAACATTTAATGTTCTAAAACTTTGATCCTGTGGGTTTTTCCTCTTAAGGAATTCATTTCCTAGTTGCAGAGCCATTAATAGTAATTTGTCTCCATTTTTGACAAATTAAGTAAAAATCAGTGTTGGTTGATCGTGGTTTTATACCTTATAACGTAAGCAAATTATTAAGTTTACGTACTCGTTCAACGCACAATTTAACCTTTTTACTCAAAATAACACACACATTCGTAATTTACAATGAAACCTGCGATTAGGTCAATTTTTTTGCCTCTGGCTCCAGGGCTACAAGGATTAGCTTCAGCACTACCTCCAGAGATGGATGTCACAGATCAGCCAACTTCTACTTCATTAACAAAAGATACTCTTGAGTAAAATAATAGTGTTCTAGGGAATCCAATTGTCAATCCTAATCATCTTGAACCTTTTGTTTTTCTTTCTAAAATAAATAAAGTCGATACAAAAATTTTGCTAGGCTTCAATACTTGAAAGGTGGTAGGTCTGTAGATCGATACGGGATAAATTGGATCATGCGTACAGATTACGCATAGATTTTGATGAGTACAGCAAGACACGGATAGTTCCGGAGGAACTGCGTTTTTAAGCCCAAAACTATTTTCGAGATAACTCAAGGCATAGGGTTCGCATCCACACAACCTTACATTCATTGTAGTACTGTCATTGAATACGTGTCTCATTTCGTCGACTTGAGGCCTCTATGACCGAGACTGGAGGAGTTAATATTATTTATCGATGGAGTTTTTGATCGGCAAGCCATATCATCGACAATTTTTCACTAAATCTCAACATTGAGCCACCAATTTCGAAGGCTTCCTTCTCCTTCAGGCGGGCAAAATAGTCCAATCACCCCAAAAATTCAGGCAAACAAGTTATGAAAGAAAACAAACTTTATTTGCGAATAACTAACAAATTACACACTTTTCCCTGGGTTATGCCCATGATTATATAAAAGATTACTAAATTCCCTACAAAATGAAAAAAAAAATCATCGAAATCGGACAATACTTAGCAAAGATACAGCTTACTGAAATTTGTATACATGTTGGTTCCAAACAGAAATGAAGATTTAAATTAATTTTTGTTTTCTTTGTCGATTATATTTATCGATAAAGGAACATTTGATTTATTTATCTTTTGATATGTTGCATTGTTTTACTTTCTTATTAATTTGGCTTTTGATAACAATATGCCCTGCAAATTTTTTGCACGGCCTACTAGTTATTGTATATAAAATTAGGTACTTGTGAACAGTCTGGTCCCTATGGTCTGCTATCTGCCAATGTTTATAACCTGAACACTGATTATTCTGATAAGGCACTGATAATCCCTATCTTGGTGTAAAATTAAAAAACACCAAAATAAATGTAATAATAACAAAACACTTTTATTTTACAACATATATAATATATATAGGTTGTTTTGGTGGTGAAGTAGGATGATTTGTAACATCAAAGTTTCAGCTGATATTGTTATGATAATCAGCTGAATCTTTGATGTTACAATCCTACTCCACCATCAAAACCTCTTAGACAAAGCACTGAGAAAGACGTCCTCCGCCTTACTTAAGAGATTTCACCCCTTAGGAGGGAGTTATAGTATTGAACCATTTCATATGTATTTTGGCACACGTGTGTTTAATAATTTAACGTGTGTTTAATAATTATGTTTAATAATTACTGTTTTATCATTGCTAAAATATACTACTAAGTGTAATAAGGTCTAGTTTAAGGTAATTCTTTCTTTTAAGAGATTGGTTAGATATAAGCCACATTTAATTAATTTAAAAAACTAGCAGATAGTATAAGGTAGAGGAGCAATTAGAACATATATATTCTGGCTTTTCTCTGAACATTAACTAGATTGTAATCAAAGTAACCTATCGCATGAAATATGAATGATTCCAACCAATCAATATACCATTACAAATTGGTTATTGTACTGTGGAAGCTGGTCGCCTAACATTTTCCTTCTGATAAATGAATTACAAAAATAATAAAGCTAAAAGATTAAGCATTAACATTAATTAATTGGTAAGGCCAATTAAAGAATAGCTAATCACAAATACATATTAGATAATTTCAGCTTACAAAACAACCAGGAATTTGAAGAATATAATAAATATATTGTATTCTAAACTATACCTACAACATATTTATAATTTAATGGTGATCTTGACAAGTTAAGAGATTCCCTTACATACCGGCGAAGACCTAATGGTCCATACAATTCCAAAACAAATTCATCTGCTCTCTCAAAACAACCAATGGCACACATAAACCCTGGAAGACCAAACAACTAAAATAATGAATAAGTCAGACATAATTCTAATTAAGTACACTATAAATACAAAGCACTCAAACCAAAAGTCATTACTTACATGATCTCCATGTAAATGAGTAATGAAAATCTTTTTCACCTTCCCACTGTGAAGTGAACTCTTTTGAATTTGAATTTGAGATCCTTCTCCACAATCAAATATCCAAACATCGCCATCTAATAACAAATTCAGTTTACTGTGAATGATAGAACTAATTGTTTATATTTACTAATTATTTTACTAATATGCTTCACTATCACATGTATTCATTCAAGAGGTAAGTAAATTTTTACCACTGAATTTAACAGCTGTACAGGACACACCACGATGTTTGGTGGGATAGCAGGAAGCAGTTCCGAGAAAGATTAAATGCATTTTAAATGCAATATAACACCAACTTTAAAATTATGGGGGAATATTATAAAACATCAACCATACAAAATACATGACAAACCTTTTCAGGTTAGTACAGAAACTAGCTAATATTTAATCTTAAGATCAATGTTATCTAAAGGAACATCCGGAGCTTTGTTGATAACTAACTTGTCGTTGGCGGAAGTGAAATATCTAACTCGGTACTCTTGTAGAATGTATAGACAGGCTTTGACGCGTTTGAAGGAAGGTTATATACAAACAAGTTGTTTTCGAAGAGATGCTAATCGTTCATTTACACCTCGTTGGTTGTTTCCATGGCCCATGGAAGATAAAGTAGAGGACTTAATATTTTAATAAACAAAGAAAAGAGTCCGTTGTCTCCATTGTTACTGTCAATACATTTAGAAGCCTTTCGGGTCAACATTTTCTCGTTCCATTGTAGATGTATTCACAACAAAAACCTTGAATCATATTAATAATATTGAAACGTGTACTATTGTTGAAAAATTATTTGAAAATTGAGCTGTAATAAATTAATTAATTACTATAGCAAATACTCATAATTCATTTTTACTTTTATATTTTGTAGCCTTAATGAAGACCTACAAAGTGGGTCGAAACGTAAATAAAAAAGGCATAACCAATAAACTACTATTTTAAAATATAGTATTTATTTGACCGCACCCTAGACCAACTCCTTCTCATGGTATAATCACGGCCAACCATCTCTACACCAACAAGAAAGATCGATGACATATAGTTAGTGTTGTTTTAAATATTTGGTTAAAAAAAGGAGGCGAGAAATGAGTGTGTCTTTTAATTTCAAAGATTCTAAATTTAATTTGATAATAACACCTAGTTTAAGACATAATAAAACTCTAGTGGCATCCTTAGGGGTAGCCATCCTCCCGAAGGTCGATAGCGCAAGAACCTGCCTCCCTCCTCCTCCCAAGGTATTTATTACTCACTTTTCTTAAAAACAGGGCAAGCTAAGGTAGAATTAGAAAAATCTTAGATCATGTACAATTACACATGCTGCGGTATGTTCAATGTTGTCTGCTTGTCCCTTAATCCGAAAATACATAACCCCGTCGAAATTTGTCCCCTCAAAAATTCAAAAACCGAAACTTGCTCAATGAAACCCCCTTCTGGGTACTGCTGAGCACCCTTGCAGACTTTATAATTATATTTTTAAATAAATAAAAAGAGATGAGCTGTAAAATTATTTCTAAGGGAATAATTTGAGATTGAATTATTTTTTTACCTTGAAGGCTTCTTCATGATTCAATTTGGTTACAGTTTTATTTACTGATCACAATAGTTTTAAACACGCCTTACCATCCATTTATTTTCTAACTATTCAACTATCCATTTATTTTCTTAATTTGCCGTTTACATTATACAATAACTGTTTTTCATTATCAAACATTTGACTTTTACATACTTATATTATCACTATATATCGCACATCAATAAATAGGTAGAAAAACGAAGGTGTGTTATTAAAATTATTCCTTTAAGTATATAAAATTTTAATATATAAATTTTTTAACGCCTCTTGACTTATTTGACTTCCGCCATTTTAATCTTCTAGCAGTATTGGGACCGTTCTAGGCGATAGCTGCGATCGTTTGGTTCTCTTAATAGATATCCAGCACGTGGTTTATAATAACCGGCTAGATCACAAATCACTCCCTCGTCATCAGGATGGTTGGCAACTTCTTGAAGACAAAACTATCCTGTTTTTTTTTGTTTTTTTTACGGGATAGGAATATTAGTCCTGTGCCCAACCGCCAATCTGAAGGACCAAGGAGCTATGTCGTTAGACACAGGGATCACTCACCTTCCTGTGAATCTCAGGGTGGAAACGTTACCGGACCCATGCGGGGAATTAAACCTGCACCGTAATGGTCTAAGCAATCGAGTAGGGGCTAGGTAAATTTTTATAATTTGTGTCTTAGGAGAGGATGTGAAATATTGATAGGGCTATCGATAGTTTTAAACTATCAATATATCGATAGTACTATCGACTATCGCCCATCCCTAGGTTTTATAAATCATGTTCTTCTTGGTCCAATAGAATGACCAGCTTTTGCACCGTTGTGTCCTCATCGACGGGTCCGAAGACGTGGTCATAGGCGCCTGTACTGGAATGGTAAGGTACTTTCCGCCCTCTCAGTATTTTCTGAAGAGTGATCAGACCCTCCCCTCTCTCCAAATATTTCACAGTTGTTTATTTAAAATAACTCACAAAAAGTTCCATAAAGTGTATTACAGACTATAAAACTGATTATTGAAGTACTCCTTTATGTATAGCACTCCATTACCCGTTCCCTCTCTCATGCGTTGAATAATAGTGTAGCAACCCGAGCATTAGCCGGTGTTTGCTCGCCAGTCCTCATGAAACAAAAAATTAGAAAATTCTTAATTGAAAATTAATTCTCCTAATTTGTCTTTTTTCTTTAAATAGGTATTTTTTCTGAAATATTTTTTCCGCCATCCAAAGGGGATCCCCTACGCTGGCAGAAATCACTAGTGCTCGATATCATGATAATATTTTTTTGTTATATTGGATTAGAAAATTCGTCTATGAGGATGAATTTTTGTCATTTATTTCTCTTTTTTTTAAATAGCTGCTTTTTGAAACTTTTTTCCCCACCATCCAGGGGAGAGAGGGGCGCGCACCCCGCGGATCCGTTAGTGCTGATCACGATTATATTTTTTTTTATTATCTAATTTTACATTAGAAAATTCGTTTTAGAGAATGAATTTTTCATATATTTCTCTTTTCTTTAAATAGCTGTTTTTGGAAATTTTTTTTTGAATTATTTTTTTACCATCCAAGAAAGTTCGCGCCCCCTCGCAGAATTCGCTGGTGCTGGTCACGATAATATATTTTTTTTTGTCCTGTATTTCTCTTTTCTTTAAATAGCTGTTTTTTAGACTTCTTTTTTAACTTCCGGAAGGAGCGCGCCCCTTAAGATCACATTCATACAATATGTTCAAAAATATACACATAAGATAAGCAGAAGCAAAATGATAACAGTACAGACAGTAAATTAAATAAAACAACATAAAGATAGGTAAATTAAAAAACACATACATACCTATTTTTACTATTTACAACCCCAAGAATGAACATTATTTGTTTCCCTATCTTCCTGTATATGTTTTCTTTTAACAACATGGTTTACTTAAAATTTCTTAATTACATAAATATCAAAAAGGCTTTAAAATGAAACCTAGTTTCAGTAAAAAGCCATATATCAAAAATTTAAATAATATATTTCATCACTTTATCCATTAAGGGGTTTGGAAAAAAAACAGGAGGGAACACTGAGGCAACTATGGAGGGAAAAGCAGTACTCCAGGAGATCCCTGCGCTACTATTTCAATTGTGTCACTGGTACTAAGTACAATGGAAATTGGTCTAGCATAACTGAATAAAAAACTAAATATTTCCTAGCATACCATAGAATATATTTTTTAAATCATTTAGAAGCTAGTTTCTATCATTTAGAAAATATAACTAAATAGAAAAAAAACCTTGTCCAAAAATAAGTTTAATTGAAAGCACATTTCAGAGATGCTTCTCAAAACCAACAAAAATAAATGATCCTGACAAAAAATGTAATATACAAAGACCATTAGCTCCAATAATATTACCAGCTAATAGTCCTCAGGTGAAAAAGGAAACATTTTGGAGTAACATTGCAGGTGCGGAGTTACTAATTAAAGTCACAGATAGTAACATTGATCAAGTTCTTCAAAATCACAAGGCGATTTTGATTATGTTCTATGGCACATGTATGTATTTTACTTCACTTAATTATTTTACTTGGTAAGGCTGAATGTTTTCCTAAAAGCATGGTCACTATTCATTATAAAGGTGATCTATGAGAGTGGAGTGAGGATATAGATATAATCTTTATTTGTTATAAGACAATTATTTATTTAAGTAGAACATTTTTCAGCACAAAACTGTTAGTCCAGTAACCGTTTTGGTGGGCGGGGTGGCCGAACGGGCTGTGTGTGGACAGCACCGCCGTTGCCCGGCAACCTGATTTATGAGACAATGCATTTAAAATAGTCAAGAGTTCGCGTTCCGGTGCTGGGGGTCTTTTAAATCCCCGCCCACGCCCACTGGTCCGGGAAAACTCCATATAGCCTTAAAGTCGAGAAAGGGAAGGTTCCAAAAAAAACTCTAGTAACCTTATCATGAAAAAAGGAGTCTAAGTTACATCGAATGGGATTATGTTTTTTACTTCAACTTATCTATACATGCAATACATAGTAAGGGATAGTATTGCGATCGTGAAAATTTTCGAATCTGAGTTTTCAACGTAAATAAACGTTTTGAGGTGCACTGAGTCCAAATAACCAAGTTCAACAAAATGGTATGTATGTTAACAGTCTAGCTCAAAAACGGAAAGCCATAACAAACTGATATTACGTATTTAAGATAGGTATGAGCCTTAAATGTGATAGCAACGTTTTCCTTAAAATCGGCTAACCGGAATTGCCACTTTATATCAACGTTGAAACACATTTTTACAATTTTCTCAAAAACAGCTCTAAAGATTTTAATTAAATTCGGTGTATCATTGTATAATTAAGCGGTCTTTAATATCAATTAGGTTTTATCCCCGTTGATGTCACTTTACAGTGTTTAAATGCCCAATGTTCATATGCGTCTTCCTCTAAAGTACCTTTAATATGGTTTATTTTAAATAATTAATCATCACATTAAGAGTTACGAAAAGATGCTAAATATAACTTTTGAAAGAATTTGATAATTGAATAAAGAAGAAAAAAAATTAAAATACTTATCCAGGTTGAAAATGAATCTCCTGAAATACTATTCCGAAGGTATACGTATAATATATCGTTGGAAAGCGGAGACTTTTAGAAGAAAAAAAAAAAACATATCTAATATAGAAAGTTGCAGAAGGCAACGGAGAGTGGAGAAAAAATTATAAATAATAATTTTTGAAAACTAATATTATTTAAAGTAAATCACATGTTTTCAAGGAAAAATTGAATGAAATTTACTAACTAAATGTAAAATTTTAAAATATATTTAAGTTTGAAAAAGTATTTAAAATCCACTTAATCAAGACAATGACATTGTTTTAAAAAATATTTCATTATATTTATGTGAAATAAGAAGTGAAATATAAAATCATTTCATGAATATTTTTATAACCTTAAATATATTTAATGCTGTTCAATTACTCTAGAGCTGATATTATATTTAAATAGTTAGTTATCTATCACCCGTTCATTCCGAAAAATCATCATGTAACCTTTCAGAAAATTAAGTTAGTGAATAATTTGATGAATTTTCCCCTTGTGCTATTCCAACAGTAAACACTAACAATTAGCGTGACAACTTTTGACCTGTGTATGACTGACAATGCAAATCTCTTAATTCCATTTTAGTAAACTTTGCAACGGAAAATAACAGTTTAATAATTAATAGCCGTACAATCCATAATCAACGGATCGTAGAATCCATAATCAACGGATCGTACAATCCATAATCAACGGATCGAACAATCCATAATCAACAGATCGAACAATCCATAATCAACGGATCGTACAATCCATAATCATCGAATCGTACAATCAAAAATTTTATAACAGTCTAACATGGCCAGAAAATAATTTCTATTCAAAGTTGAGCGGTAGTGAAAGTTGTGTGTTGCGCGCACCAGATTTTTTTTTCTTCTATTAGAGGTGATTGACAATCCAAGTTTTCAACGTTGGCGACCCCCTCCTTCACCCCCCTTCCCCACCCGAATTACTTTTGAAAATCACCAAAACTGCTATAAAGACCAAAAGACTGCGTCCTGAATATTTATCACCCACAAAACTGCTATACATTCACTCCTTTTTTTGGTTTTTCCCCATTTTGACGATTAAGGAACAAGTTTTTGACAAAGATATTACATGCAGTTTTAAACTAGATTAAATATGCTAAAATTTAAGACTAAAACAGGTTCGGCAAATTTAATAATTTACGAGATATATGTTTTCAAAATTTTAGACATTTTTCGAACTTGAAAATTGTAAGCTATTTTTCATGTTGATAATATTCAATTGTCTTAATATCTTCAACAATCTGTCTTATATGATCCAGTTAAGTAAATTTTTATTAATTTTAACATTTTGAAGGGGAGATGAGGTAGGGGAGAAGAGAAGGTTCAGTGGGAGAGGGGAAGATCTCTTTTCTCAACCAGAAGGCTGAAATTGAAATAAAAAAGATATTTAACAAACATTTACATCAAGTGCCTACAAAAATTGTAAATGAAGTGAATTAAATTTTCGAAACTTGAAAATATTAAACTGATTTTCATGATTATATCTACAATAACCTACCTTAAAAGAGTTAATGAATTAAATAGTTATTTAATTTATTATTTCGAAGGTATAGGATACACGGATATAGGAATGGCTAAAAGTAATGAGATATAGAAATCCTATGTTGATTTATGAGAATCTAATATTATAAACTAACTGATAAAATAAGAAAGCTAGAACACAGGCCGATCTACGAGCGGGAGCTTTCGGGCAGAAGCCCCCCCCCTCTTTTTCCAAAATCGTAAAATACAACTATGCATCATGAAAAAAAATATCTCTCTAAGTATTATTATGAGAGAGATTCTCTACATCATTATAAGTATTATTGTTAGTCTTAATTACATTTAATTTTACTTCAAGAATCACTTAAAACACCATTTCATATTGGTACTTAGTTTCTTTCTTGCTTCCGAAGTAATCATCGTAATATATATCTACAAAAAAAATCATTCGGGCTGAAGCCCTCCTCCCACAAAATTAAGTCCTGGTTCTGTTAGTGAGCTAGAATGACCTGAGCCACTTATTGCGTTCGACCTTCTTCCTAGTAAACCAGCTTGCAGGAAAAAAAATGGCTTACTGCTCCTTTCAAAACACTCCTCGACTCCAGAAATTTAATTTTAGAGAGGAGTGTTAAGTAATTAGATATGGGGAAACATTATAGCAAAAGATATAAATATATAAAAAGAGCGAAGAAGAAAAAAGAAATTCTGTTTTAACTGAAGGAAAGAACCAAAATCTTTGAAAATATAACAAGGAACTCATGGAAAGGTTATTTGGTGGAAGAAATATGTTGTAGACAGATGAAGAAAGTAGATCTATAACTATGCCATTTATGAGGAGGCAGAATACAATAGGGACCTGCGCAGTGTCGCTTTTCCGCGTTTTCTAACAAACCGTTTCAAATATGTAAAAAGTTAATCAGTGACTTATAAAGAAAAATCTATAGATATTTTATTGCAAGGCGTTTTCTTTATTGTAGGCCGTTTAATAATTACAAACGACGCTTGATTATTAACTTTAATTTGGGCGAATTAAAAAAAAGAGACTTTAATGATATTTTTTATTACCAAGGCCAATTATTTTTTAAAATGTTTGATGTTTTATTATTTTCTGATTATCCAGCTTTAATAAAAGACCAGTATGACGAAATCAGGCCAAATGCTGAATCACAGTGACTGAAAACTAACTCAAACCAATGTTGTCAACTCACCACGTTTGGACGCCATTTTGGGAAAGTGCGTCCACTTTATTCTGTGGGAATAATTTTTTATATATATATATATATATATATATATATATATATATATATATATATATATATATATAAATATATATATATATATATATATATATATATATATATATATATATAAATATATATATATATATATATAGTTATAAGGAAAGAGAAGCAAGGGATATCAGGTCCCAAGATACCCACCAAAGCTGGTGAGGTTGATTCAAATGATGTGGAAGGAAACAAAGTCTCAGGTAAGAGTTGGTGGAGCCCTAGAGAGATATGAGTTCCATGTGGAAAGAGAGCTGAGACAAGGAGACCCACTGTCGCCCATAGTATTTAACCTGGCTCTCAGGCAATAAGAGCAATTAGAACCAACCCAGAGGGAAATATCTATAGCAGACTTACTCAGCACATGGCCTATGCAGATGATGTAGCCATCACACTACGCACACTATCAGCCCTTTCAGGAGCGCTGGAAGAGTTTAAAGAGGCTTGAAAATTAATGAAGCTAAAATGGAGTATATGAGGATGCCTAGAACTCAATTAGGTCAGGAAGAAGTGCAAGAGCTTCAAATATCGAGGATCTCTATTAATAGAAGACAATGATACAAATGCAGAGATCAAAGGCAGAACAGCATCTGGTAGCAGCTGCCTTTTTGCGCTTAATAAAGTGCTTAGCTTAAATTTCAAGTATTGTCTCGAAAGTCAAAAATAACCATATATAAGACAATAATAAGACCGGTGGTGACATATGGAAGTGAGTGCTGGGTGATGACCAAGCAGAGTGAGACGATCCTGAAGATTTGGGAGAGAAAGATCCTCTGAAAGATATTTGGACTAGTAAACAAGGATGGCCATTGGAAAATTAGGAAAAGCAGAGAGCTCGAACAGCATTTTGGTGAGTCTAATATTGTGGCATTCATCAAAGAAGTAAGGCTGCAATGGCAGGGCCGTGTGCAAAGAATGCCGAATCAGAGGCTACCAAAAAAGATAATGGATGGCAGGATAAAAACAAAAAAAAAAAATCTAAAATATAATAGTTTTTGCGATATTCAAAAATGATCCGGGGAAGAGGGAGAGGGGACGAGGTCAAAAACTTGGATTTTGCATCATAGTTATATATCCCATACAAGGAAATAAAAAATTAGTTTATACCCCCATTCAGTGCAATTTGAGATGTACAAGGTTACTGGGCTGAACATCTGTATCTGTATATGCTTAATTTCTCTGTGTTTTTTTGTTAAAGTATGCAATTTTTTTTATAAGAATATGAAATTATCTAACTTTCAGCTTTGCTAACAAGTTTTCATAATTATGTTTCAGGGTGTTCAGTATGTAAAGATGTTAATGTTGAAATAGGAAAAGCTGCAAAAATGATTACTCCTGCTGAAGGAGCTTTTGGTATTTGTGATGCTATGGACAATGTAAAAGCAGTTGATAAATTTTTAATTACAAAAACTCCATCATTCAAGTATTTTAGAAATGGAGTGTATATTGCTGACTACATAGGAAGACCATTGGCAAAAGATATAATTTTCTTCATGAAATCACCTCCTCCTACTATAAATAAATCTTGAAAGTCAAATCCACAACTTTGATAATAAAATTATAAATTATATTTATTCGTAACAATCCTTTTATGTTAAATAGGGATATTTTGTTAATTTACTGATTGTATAGCATACACTTAAAATTTTGAGAACCAGTAGAACATTTTCTAAAAAATAAATAATTGAACTAACGATATATTTTGAGCCATATAAAGTTGACTATTATTATTATGACTTATTATTATAAATACATTTAATAAAGTGCAAAATGAAATTTAAAAAAAAATAAACTAATAAATGAACTATCCATCTCAATTAACTCACTCAAATGTAGAATCACTGCTCTAAGAATCAACTGAACCCATTGTTTAGCCAAAATATTTATTTTTCTGCAATATTGGTATCGCCTAATTTAAGTATACAGGTCAATTCCATGATGATTGATAAAAACGTCCATTCAGCAATAACAAGAATATTCGAAGTAAAACTTTACCAATCTCGATAAAATGGAGCCAAAAAAACATGGTATATCAGTATTTGCTCAAATTTATCTTTATGCCAATCCCTTGACAGTTGATCGACACATTTATTAGCAATCTGAAGAATATTTCAAGTGAAATTTTACCAATCTTGATGTGTTAGGCCATAATGCTAATAATAGGGCATAATTGGTTGATCCTTCCATATTGATTGTCATTTCCATACAGAAATCGACCGATACTGATATTTCAAAGCTGATAAATCGGCCTATCAGTTTTTTTTTTTTTACTTAGAACATCCTACTACCAAATAAGGCATCAAACAATCATCTAGAGAATAGACTACATATGTATAAATTTCAGCCGATAAAAGAATGACATGCCTATGCATCGACCTTTCGTTCCATCCTATCATGGACAATAAGGTACAGCTTAGAAAATTCTCTTAATTTCTGTATAGACATTACAATCAATGTAACTAATATTACTAGTTAAATTGTTTGTTTATAACAAAACTAAATAGAAATGAAACACAAAATGGAGAAAACCAATAGTTTAATACAGAAAATAAATATTTAAAAAAATTAAAATTTAATTATAAACACAAATACTATTTATTAACTATACACCAAAACCATGGCATCAATCTGTTATATGTCATAAAATTTAAATTTAGATTTTGAGCTAACATTTTTAAAATAATAAGAAAAAAACAACAGATAATATGTCTAAAAAGCATTAAACCTACAAAACAATTTAACCATTATTAAATACTAGAAAAATTATAATCATTCTATTAAACTATGGAATAAATATATACTTCAATTTCTTAAAAAAATATCAATGAATAAACTTTCTTTATCAATCTTATAAACAATATTTTGAAAATAATTAATTTAACACAAAATATTACTTTATTCTAAAAGTTCAACATACAAAATAAAACTAACTTCAAAATTCAACATCTCAACATTATATAAATATATATATTACAAAATTAGTTGTATATTTTTCGATACATATTATAGACTTTGACACATATTGGCAGAGAATAATAAAAGAGTAAGAAAACTCATTTTTAACATTTTGTTTAAAATATTCTGGGCCAAAGCAACACTGAAATATTACACTTAAGAATTATATATAACAGTATTTTTCTTGAATACAATACTGCTATTTCTGAACATTCAACAATTACCAACAGCAACAATCTAAATGAATCCTTAATATGAATGTTAAACATTTTTTTTTCTTTTTCAAATAACATACAAAACTCTTATTACCTCTATACATAATACTATATAAAATTATAAAACTTTAGAAATAAATGCTGCGAAGTATTGACTTTAAAACCTTATAAAGAGTAGAATGATTAGATATTCCAGTATGTTAACAATAACAATATCATTATATCGATGCTATATGATTCCTAATATTAGAAAAACGAATGATAAAACATAAAGATTAGTCATTACACATTAAGTGAAACGGACATGTACTTGATACATGCAGACACACACATGTGTATTATATATATATTTATTTATTTTACAATTGAATGGAGTGCATAAATGAACTCTTAAACACTCACAAATTACTTATATATAAATTACAAATTGTTTTTTGTTTTTTTACAGTACAAATACAATTAGTAATAACTTTGGGGATAGGAAAAAATGAGATAACAAAGCAATGTATTTACCTCATAGGTCAAATACTTGAAAAATAGTACTAAAAACATTTACCCTGTTACGTCAATCATACAAATGATTATTAGAGGAATTTTAATAATAGTAATTTAATTAAATAATTGAAAAAAATATAGAAAAATTAGCAATGGATCAATTATAGAAGGGCCTAAAAAAAAGAAAGAAAAAAAAAGGGCAACCACCATATATCACATTTCTGTGGATGGTACAAGGTTAATTGTTTATAATTAATATGTACATGGCCGATAGAAACTTTATGAATAAATTGGAAAATTTAAATAGAAACTTTTGAATATTAACAACTATTAGGAATAAAATTAGACTTTTTTTTTTATCAATTTCAACAATGAATGTACATTATGGGATTAAAAAGGTGAATAAATTGGTAGTTCGACTATATTGTACAACCAATTGAGTTTAAACAAAGCAAAAGATTCTACTATTTAAAAAAAAAAAATCTGTTTTCATCCTGTCTAAACAAAAATGTTGAGCAATTCAGAACCTGATCAAAAACTAAAAGCAATGCTCAAATAATGATTTAAAGAGAGGTTCATACATTTTTAAATTGAACAATACATCACACATAGTTCTCGATGGTTAAAATAAACTAAAATGCAGCATGTAACAAATAAAACTTAAGTAAATTATCAATGTATTCAATTTAATTGCTTATTTTAAATACCAACAACAAGAATATAAAATTTAACAGACTAAACATTTTATTATAGTTTGTTTTCAAGAAATAAAAAACAATGAAATATACATAATATTTGATCTGTATACAAACACTGAAAACATTTTTTTTTTTTTTTTTAACTACCGGAAATACAAAACTAACAACACTTAGAAATATTACAATCAACAACTTCAAATACAGTTTATTTTCACCAACTTTAATCAAATTGATTTAATTTAGTTATAAAAAATAAACAATTAGTTCCAACCCATTAATATTAGCCAACAATTTGATATTTCATGATTTATTTATTTATGGTGACATATTAAAATCCTATTAACTTCAACTTATGAGATGACGTAATAAATGGACTAGATTCATGAGGGCCTGGAACAAAAATAAAGCTGTTTTAGGAAACATTTTATTAAACAAGAATACATCAAAAAGTAATGTCCCATGTGTCATATAAACTTTGTTATAGAATATAAAAATTATTATGGATCAGAACTTGAACTGTTCTATACACTGAACTACCATTCAACAGAGTCACCGTTAATGTTTATTTATTATTAATAGTCAGTAACTTAAGCAAGAAAACATATTTGTAAAAAATTGAGTTTCACTTCTACAGAACCATGGCTTATTTATATTCATATATATACAGAAAGTCTCAATTCTCAAAGACCAAACTCTGGGGGGTGATTCTAGACAAAATTTTCAACAAAAAAGTTAATTTGATGCATGGGCCAATTCCGAACGGAAAAGGAGTTGTGTATTCTTCATGCTATTTATTAAATAAGAAGGAATTGCTCCAAAACTGTTCAAATTATCAAATCAAATTAAAAAGCTTAACTACATACACAAAAAACTACAAATGAAAAAAATCAAATGAACTTTTTCGTTGGAAATTTTGTCTAGAATCATTCCTCAGTTTGGCCTATATATGTACTTTCAAACAAAAAGGGAAGATGTTAAAAAAAATCAAAAATTTAAATGAATTATAAGAAAGAAATCAGTGCAAGATATAAAATCATTGCTAAATGGCCAATGGATCTCTTGACAATTAGTATATTGTAGTTATTTTGGAGTAGTAACATATACCTCAATAATAATCTAATAATCATTTGTTAAATTTAATTCTGTAATAGTTAAAAAGGTTATCAAATAGTAATATTCAGTTTTCAGAACAAACTTGTTATTATTTATAGCATTTAGTAATTTAGAATATAATTCCCTATTATTTATAATAACTTAATATTTATTAACTTTTTCATTTATTAAATACTGATAGACGATTTTTTTCTTAACAACTTATCAGATTTGAGTTTATTTTGTGTACAATAGATAAATATTTATATTATTATATATTATGTTTATATATGTGTATTTGCATGGTTTTCGTGATAAATTGATTTCATCATTTCTACATTCTACATACATTCTTTCATTTAAACCCATATAAACACACAACTAGCATAACAGCAATAGGAAAATTCCATCAACAGATTGTGCTCTACACAAGACAATTTAATTTGGATATGAATATAGTCTTTAAACCACTATAACAGGAAAATTCATCGCAATACACAGAAAGATGTTTTATGAATATTTCATCAAGCTTCTGTATTCAAATAATAAACATATTATAGCTTAAATCCACCCTTATATTTATAATATACTTCTATTTCCGTAGAAATATGTAATCAAGGTTCACTGTATTTAAATGTAAGGGTCAAAATACTGAGGCTACTAATTTCTTAAATTCACGTTAAGGAACATTGAATAAAAATATAATTTCTATTCATTGTTATCTATAAATTAAATTAATAAAAATATATCTATTAATCTAAAGATGTCGAATAATTTTACTACCAAATGAATGAATAATTTAAAAATACCTTTTAATGAATATTGTAATCTAGTAATACAGCATTTTTGAGAACTCCATATGTTTCAGACATAAAATCTTCAAAACATTTTGTGTTTATCTGAAAAAAAAAAAAAAACTCATAGTTAATAAATGAACATTTTCAAGTTTTAAACTTCATTTGACTAATGTGAATGTAAGGTAATATGCACCATCTACAAAAAGAGAAACAGGATGGTCTGTGAAAATTAGTCATTTCACTCCTATCCATAATTTATAAAATCCTAGCTATATTAATATACAAAAGGTATTTCCACTTGACCAAGTAAAACCAGCATATTATGAATACATGCTATGTATAAAAATACATATGACGTACATCTCGATTATAGGAAAGAAAAGGGATAGAAAAAATATATGGCTTGACATGTGGAAATAACAGGAGGATAAAAACTAATGAAAAGATCCAAATTCTTTTGAGAGAGCTTGATCTACCAACATATTAGGAGCAATATGTTTGATATGGATTGAGCCTGGGGAATAAATGGAAGAGATCCGTATCTCCAAGCGAATACTTAGAGGAAATCCAGAAGGAGCTAGATTAAAAGGAAGAACATTGCTAAGATAGATGAATGATGTGGAGAAAGATGTCTAGAAAATTGCAGTAAGGATATGGAAGTGAAAGGCAGTGGATAGAGAGGAAAAGAGAAAAGTAGTGGAGGAAGCTCAGGTCCTCATAGGACTGCAGTGCCACTTTGTAGTTAGTATTCAGTGAATAATATTTATAAAATATTGTTAAATAATCATTATTAAGTGATAGATGGTTGACTGTGATGGTGATTTAAATGTATTTTTAGTCTAAATGACTTATAAACCAAACATTAATTTTTAAGACCAATGCTCCAACATTGTGGGCTTGCATATACATACATATTTTTTGTTAGCTACTTTAAAATGAAAAATTGAATGGAGTCAAGTATACAACTATTTGAAAATAATGACAAAATATAATATAATATATTAGGAAAGCCATAGTCTAGTCGATCTGACAACAGTCAACAAAGTGACACGAAAATATTTGAAATTAAAAAAAAAAATTGTTTATTTTGTTTTATATTTTATTTCTACACTGACTTATGCTGCCAAATAAATTATTATTTTGAACAATAGTTTTGTATTGCAACATCATCAGGGCTAACTCAAAAGCATAAAGAAATATATAAGGCAATTAGTTTGAATTTTGGTTTTTTACCTTTAATGTGGTTACCATTACATTAGTTATGGTAAAATTTAGAAAATCAGAGGAAAGAAAGTCAGAAAATTTGCTATCAATGCTGTATGTATTTATGAAACCCAAACATTCTAAATTAACCTATTAGGAAACCTCAAAGCGAAAAAAACGGATTGATCTCAGGGAAACGACTTGGCCACCAAAAGGATCTTACTTTTGTATATTGGAATGTATTAAGCATGTTTATACATCTAACAGGTCTATACCTCGAGCACTGCAGATGCTTTTAAATATCATTGACAAATACAAGTTGGACATAATAGTCATCCAGGAAATACGTTGGACCGGACTTGGAATCATCGAAAAGAAAAGCCATACTATATATTATAGCTGTCATAGTAAGCACCATATCTTCGTTACCGGGTTTATTGTTCGTATAAATGCAAGGTCGTTAATTACAGATTTCAAGCCTGTAAATCCCAGAATTCGCTACTTAAGAATAAAAGATAAAATTTTTAATTATAACCTTTTCAGCATCCAAGCATCCACAGATAAAATTAAAAAGGGTGAGTTTTACGAGACTCTTGAAAGAACAGTGGATACATGCCCTAGAGCTGACGTAAAGATAATAATGGGTGATTTCAACTCGGCATCGGCATATGCAAGTAGCTGTACAGTTTTATTCAATAGCGTACCAGTAGTCTAGAGGCTTAGGACTGGTCATTAACAAAGCAAAAACCAACTATATGTGTATTGGAGGTAGTGCTACCGCCTTAGAACAGCACCTGGAGATCCCGCACTATAAGTTCCAGAGAGTTAATGAGTTTACATATCTGAGATCTCTGGTAAATAGAGAAAATAAAGGAAACCTAGAGATCAAGAGAAAGATAGTAGCGGCAAACAAGTGCTATTTTTGCCTAAATAAGTATTTCAAAAATAAACTCATGTCTCGTAGCACAAAGACACAGCTTTATAAAACGCTTATTCGTCCGGTACTGATGTATGCCCCCAAAGCGTGGACTATGAGACAAGTAGACGAGTGAGCCGTAGCGTAATTTGAGCGGAAGGTGATTAGCAGAATCTATGGTCCTGTGCGTGATAAACAGAATTGGAGGATTAAACATAACACAGAGCTCTACAATCTGTTCAAGGAGAGGGATCTCATAAGAATCATAAAGCTTGCAAGACTGCAATGGGCAGGGAGGCAAGTGAGGATCCAAAATGATGAAATGATCCCCAAAAAACTATGAAGAGCAATGAGCTAGGCTCTAGGAGAGTAGGAAGACCATGGCTGCGATGGCAGGATTGTGTGGCAAGGGATGCACGTGCATTACTTGGTGTACGAAACTGGAAAGCGTGCTGTTCTTAGGCGGTAGCACTAACTCCAATACACATAAACTTGGTTTTTGCTTTGTTAATAACTAGTCCTAACCCTCTAGCTGTAGATTCTAGTAGAATAAATGCTTCTTTCATAGCATTCATATGCTGATTGCATCCTAACTGGATGGGCAATGGGGCCGCCAACTCCCTACACCAAACAAGAGGGAGACATATTTTATAATTCATTTATATTCAATCTTATTATTAAGGGTAAGAGAATTTGGTACAAGTTCACAAGAGTTCTGCACAAATTATGCGTAGTTCACAATCACACTTGTTTGTGGAGTGCCTAATACATCCGGCTTAATCCACAACAGTACAAAGGTAACCGATCTCTTGAGTCAGTTACTAATATTTTCTGCCATTAAAGTACCCTTGACCATGTACAGTTATACGACCTGGGCATACTAACATATGATATTTAGGTTACATTACGTAACATTAATCGAACATGTTCATATATTGTACAGTGTGAAAAAGAAATAACAGCTAACACACTTATATTTAAAAAATCCAAAAAGTTAAAAAAACTCAATGCACAATCTTAAATCTGACAGTATTTTCATAAAAAGCGCCCCTGCCTATAAAACCAAGACCCTAATATTGAAGAATCCAAAAAGTTATATAAACTAAATAGATTACTGGGCAATTCTAAAAAAGACTTGCTAAAATAAGTTTTAAATTCAATTATTCCAACTTTTATTTGAAAAACTCGAATAAGAAATAAAATGATAACTTCAGATTATTTATTATCTAAAAGATAAAAAAAAAAATCCTTTATATACAGTTATATAAGATACCATACATGTATATACAGCTACTACAAGTAAGGACATGTCAATAAAAGTTTTATTTTCCTAAAAGCAATTTTTCTTTTTTTTTTTTACAACAGGCTTGTGAAGGACCACTCAAACATCTATTTATATATTTTCCTTATTTTTCTTCCAGAGTAATTACCATTATGAAAAAATAATAATTAACAAATTTTTAAATCTTTAATGGGAATACGCAGGTTTTTCAAAAATATGTCAAAGGGAAAAGTGTAATTGGGATAAGAGCTGAAGACTGTTTTGGGGGTTTCATGAAGTGTGACCGAAGTGATTGTGAACTATGCATAACCCGTGCAGAATTCTTGTGAACTAGTACCGAAAGCTATACCATAGAAATTCATATTATATGAATATTTGGGACTAGTTCACAAGAGTTCCGCACGGGTTAAGTATGGTTCACAATCACTTCGATCACACTTGTTCATGGAATCCTGAAAACAGCCAAATGTTGTCGTCTTTTATGATGTCAGCTATTGCCCCATCAAAACAATCAATCCCTTTTCATGCATTTTTGAAAAAAAACAAAAAAAACAAAACGTATTCCCTTCATGGAACTTCCTTATTAATAATTTATTAATGAATTGAGTATTTACTAATTTGTTAATTATTAATTTTTATTAAAATGGTTATTACTGTGAAAGAAAAAGAAAAAAAATATATAAAATAATGTTAGAATCGTTTCTTCAAGGCCTGTTAAAAAAAAAAATGCTTTTAGAATTAAAATTTTTATCAACACATGCATACATGTAGTGGCTGTAAATACGCATATACTGCTGTATATTATTTTTTATAACTGTGTATAAAAGATTTTTTTATCATTTGGATAATAAATAATCTGAAGTTATCTAGTATCTTTTTATTTGTTATTCTAGTTTTTCAATAGAAGTTGGAATAATTGAATTTATTATTTATTTTAGCAAGCCTTTTTTAGAATTGTGCAATCGTATATCTATGTGCAATCGTATATTTATGTAACTTTTTAGATTTTTAAGAAAACAAGGATCCAAAATTTTCTAGTAGGGGGCGTTTTGTATGCATTTACTATGTGATTTCAGATTGAGCATAAAGTTTATGTAACTTTTTTTGAATTCTTAGATATACGGATCCACTATTTTCTAGACGTCGGTGCTTTTTATGAATATACTGTCGGATTTAAAATTGTTCGTCGATTTTTTTTTTTGTAGATTTTTGGGTTTCTTAGATATAAGAGTCCACTATTAAGTTGCCAAGGACGCTTTGTATGAAAATAATGTCAGATTAAAGATCGCGTGAGAAATGTGTACAATACTAATAAATAAAATGTATCTATCAATCGTTATATAGATAAATATTTATTCCAAAAATGTGCAATCGTGGACCTGCCAGTTAGTTAACTATTAACTTAAAATTTATTTTTTCGTATAATCACTATTATTTTTATTGAAAGAATTAGCTATGTAATTACTGTTATTCGCAGTTATTTTCAAGAGCAATCAGAAAAAGCATTCAGAGATATAATAATTAAAGGTTTTTATCTATTACCATTTTTCTTTTTCACAGATCTATAATATATGTACAAGTTTGATTCAGGTTTCTTGATCTGTAGCCTACATTTTTAATGTAAGTCGGCTCCTGCTATATAACTGGACATAGTTAATGTTATAGAAGTACTTAAATGGCGAGAAAGTTAATAGTAACTGATTCAAGAGATCAGTCGCCTTCGTTCTCTTTCGGATAAACCCGAACTTGTGAACTTGAAAGTGAAAGTCCAAAAAAAAAAAAAAGCTGTCCATTGTTTCAATACCTTTTTAATTCCAAAGCTCCAATAATAAGATTAGACATGTTCTTCAATTTGTTAAATCTCATATCATATTAAAACATTTCTACTCTAATCACATCAACAATGTGATATACAAAAAAGGGAAAATCATTACCAATAATTAATGAATGATGAATTACTTACCTTAAATATTCATATAACTCCAACTGGTTTTGAAACCCAGAAAATGTATAAAATCTATCCATCCAAATCAAATTGCAGCATGGTATAAAGCCAATTCAATATTAGCTGAAGCTGGGAAAAGGCTTGAACTGCAATATTGTGCTTTTAGAAGCAATTATATAATATCACAGGCTGAAGCATATTACAAACTTGTTTGTCCTAAAGAGATGTATGCCAACCAATTTCCTTTTCAACTTGGACGAAATTCATTGTTAGAATACAATAGGAATACTTCCACATTATATACACGGAGATTCAAGCCAACATTGGAAATGATTTGGCCTACATAAATTTATGTCCTAATAAAATATTAAACAAAATGGCACATTATTCTGTATGGAGACGTAATAATATGAACAGTTAAAATTAAGTTGGCAACAAATTGTTGCATTAAAATATACCAATATAGAAATAGTATTCAATTTCACATTGCTCTATAAGGGCCTTGCATCTTCAGATATTTAATAACAAGAGATGGTCCATTGGCAACTATTTCCGGCGGGATTTGAGACAAAGGACAATTATCAATGCTCATAATTTGAAGATTAGAACATAAGGCTAGTTCAAATGGCAAATTGTGAAGATTAGGATTATCATTAATGTAGAGCGACTCTAAACTCTCTAGAGTTCCTATTTCTTCAGGAAGATGGACCAAATTATTTTCACCAACTCCAAGATATAACAGATTTGAAAGGTTGCCAATTGCTCTAGGCAAAGTTTGGATTTGATTTGACTGAAGAACAAGTTTTTGCAAATCTCTTAAGTAGCCAATTTCTGCAGGTAACTGATCAATCTTATTTTCTTCCAAATCAAGAACTCGTAGCTTCTTAAGACTAACAATGGTGTTTGGTATTCTTCTTAACAAGTTATTAGAGAGTATCAAGACTTCCAGGTTCACAAGATATTGAATATCATCTGGAATTTTGGTTAACTGGTTAGTTCCTAGATTAAGTTCAACCATATTACCCCAAGTACCTAAATCAAGAGGTAGGGAAGTCAATATGTTTTCTTTCATATTCAATTTAGTCAGATTTTTGGCCCTAGAGAAAATTCCATAGGGGATTTTGTCAATATCATTATGCTCTAAATTAAGAGAATACACAGTCGTAAATTGATGTGGACCACCAGAGGGGTAAGAAGTAAAACAATTCCTGGACAGTGTTATACTTGTAAGTTCCAACAAGCTTGACAGCAAGCCATCTGGCAATTGTGAAAGATTATTACCTTCCACATTAAACTCATCCATTTGTCCACAATTGCTCAATGACTGCGGAATTGAATGTAATTTATTGTATCTCAATCCAAGCCTTGTCAAATTTATTAAATTTCCAATCGATTCAGGGATTACCGATAGCTCATTATGCTGAAGGTCTAATGTTGATAACTGAATACAATGACCAATCTCTTCAGGTAAGTGTTCTAAATGATTATGTGATATATCAAAAGTAGTTAAATTCACTAACTTCCCTATACCAGATGGTAATTCTTTAATCTTATTTTCTCTTAAGCTGAGCATTGTTAGATTTGTTAAATTCCTAATTTCATCATCAACAACCTTTATTCTATTGAAACGGAGAAAAAGAGTAGTCAAAGATGTAAGCCTATAAACAACATCAGGAATTTCGTTAAGCTTATTATGTCTTAAATCCAATACTTTCAAGCACTTCAGCATTGCTAGAGACTCAGGTAAGCTCCCAAGAGAATTTTCACTTAATGCCAGAGTTTGTAAATTCACAAGACATCCAATTTCTGAAGGAAGTGATGTCAATTTGTTACCATATAAATAAAATTCTACCAAATGTGTTATATCTCTAACGCTTTGAGGAAGGTGAGTTATACTGGACTTGCTTAAATCTAATCTTGTAACACCTTCCTCTCGACATCGAACGAACTCTTTAGCAATATCTAAGTCAGCTTGAATTGGTTTGTTCTTTTTAACAGTTGGTTTAGGTTTGTTTGATTCAGGGTGTTTAACTGTAACTACTTTTCTAACACTATCTCCTGGAGCTAAAGATCCTGAAGAAACCTTTTTTTCTTTCATACTTTCCCTTGATTCTTTGGGCAGTCCAAGATTAGAACAAGCTTGATCACTAACATCAGGCATATCAGTAGCTCCTGAATTCATTCCAGCTTCAAAATCTAAAAGATCATTGGGTCCAGAAGAAGCTTCGTTAGGATTTGATAAGTTCCCTGTTCTCTTATAATCTGCAAGTCTTTCTGCGGCAATATTACTTTCTGAAGTTCTTGTTTTTCCCGATTTCTTCATATCTTTCAACTCCCAGTTATAAATACCAATAACCACAGTAATAGTTCATGATAAAATGCGATTTATCATAAACCTCACCAATAACGTAAAAAAGAATAACCAAAACTTAGTGAAATACTTGAAACAACAACGACCAACCCCTACACACGAACGAAGCTACTTTCTAAAACTGGCTTGTGATAAAGAAGGGCGGGGTTCATCAAGATTTCTTAATTGTTAAAATGAATATAAACATAATACATTTTCAAATTAATTATAATAATAAACGTTTTTACCATAAAGTGCAGAGTTTATTTGAATTTTATTACTTGCAACAAACAAGATATATATGCAAATATGTCAATAATTAAATATCATTAATAAGAGTAATATATATATATTATTTTATTAAATAAAATATTTTTTTCTTCTAGTAAAAGCAATACTTTTATGTTTATTGATATATTTTTAATGATTAATGAAATGAAATGTCGATTTCTGACGTCAGAGATATACACCTGATAATTTTTCAGTGGGCGTGTTAGGTAGGGTGTCAGGTTTGGAATCAATACCTTGGCACTAGGTTTTTCATTGTAAGTTAAATTTTAGTTGTTCTGAAGCCCATTCAAGATGGGATCACTTTTTAGAAGTGAGGAAATGACATTATGTCAGTTGTTTTTACAAAGTGAAGCTGCTTACGCTTGTGTGTCTGAATTAGGGGAGTTAGGTCTGGTGCAATTCAGAGATGTAAGTTTATTTAGCTTATCTTCATTTAAAATTTGACATCTTTAAGTTGTACTTAACAATTTGTAACTATGGTATTATTACTCTACTTTTATTTCATTATAATATTTTTTTGTAAGATGTAAGTTCTTTGCATATTCCTTTTTCAACTTACTCGTTTTCTCTTGTTTTAATATTAGTTAAACTTATTTTAAAAAGTAATTTGTTGAATTATCATATCAATAGTAATTTGTTCTGTATTAATTATAATACAAATTCTTGAAAATAGTATTGTTATTAAGCCAATTACTAGATTTTCCCCTTTTTTGCTTACCACACCAAAAACATCTATTTAATTATTTGATGTTAAGTAAGAACTATGTAAGACAAATAAAATAACATGTTTTTAGTGAATTTACTATTGTCACAACATTCAAGGTAACTTGTTATAATGATTTTTGGCATGTCTTAGTCTGTCTAAAAGCTTTTCAGTTTAAGTAAAGTTTAGTTAGTTATTGTTGGTTCTATCCACATTTTGCAAATGTAGACAAATTATCATTTTTATACAGGTGTTTTGTTGATGTCAGTTTATTGAAATATTGCCCAATTTATATGTATTTATTGCGTTGATCACAGATTTTTAAATTAATATCAACATTAAAAATGATCTTCAAGAAATAACCTTATAACTTAATGGCTAATTAAATTAAAACACCTTAACTGAGGTAGTACCATTAAAAAGATTGTTCATTCTTTTAATAAATAAGTTTGTTCAGGCTAACATGAGTTATTCTATAGCCTTGAGTTCTCATTAGTTTTCTTGCATATTTAGCTGGTGGCCACCCTGAAGGTCGTGTTGGTTTACTTTCTTACAGGTAGATAGCACTTGTAATCTTTAGATACCTTACCAACAAATCCTGTATGAGATGAGTTGGTCCAAGGTGTTGAGGGATTATTCACATCTATACCAATGAGAGGAGGGGATTGTTTACAGCTGTGATCTTACTTGGCTGTCATTTAATTTAAATTTTCTATCTGACCACCCTTTATGCGAAGATGAATAAAATATAAATGGTATAAATTTGTTATACATACTAACTAATTTTAAACACAAGCCAGAATTTCTCAATTTCATCTCCTGGCAGTCTACACACTTAGAGCACTAATTTGGGCATAGATGAAAAAAAAAAAAAAAATTATATTCGTTTTTTACACCTCAAAAAACATTTAAATACAAATTATAAAATCAAAAAATTAAAATTTTCTTTCGAAAGTTTGTCGACAATCACAAAAATTGTGATAACTTTAGAATGGCTCCACGATCCATACAAAAATTGTCGATGTAATGGTACAAAACCGACTAACCATGATATAAAATAAAAATTATTGAGAAGTTTTTCTTAATTTCTAGCTTAATAAGGAATGAAATCTAAAAGTTATCAATGTGGGTTGGAAGAGGATTAACTCAGCTTTCCAATGGTTGTACTAATTTGAATTTTGATAAAATCCTGAGAACTAATGAATGCTTTAGTTATTGGCTGAAAAAAAAAAATTCTGTAAGGAAATCATGTATTAAATTTTACAATTTTTGATTTCTATAAAAATTCATTTTTAAGAGTTTCAAAGTACATTAAAAACGAATCTAACTTGTTTTTTCATAACAAAAATTTACTTAGCCTACTTATCTGGAAATGCCTTTTGTTTTTTTAAATGTATGATACATTAAAACTCATTTAATACAATAGTCAATGTATTTGTCTTACCTTAGCCAAAGCTAAGGCATAACTAAATAATATAGATTTTGTTTTAAATTATTTAAAATATTAAATTTTTCAGCTCCTAGGAAGAACCCATTTGAAAGAACACCAGGCTATGTGCCCAATGTTTTTCGATGTAGTATCACTGAAAAAAATTTGGTTGAAATCAGCGACCCACTGACTGTAGCCTCCCCTTGTTAGTGTTTTTAATTATCACTGCTTCCTGATCTTATAGGTTTAGGAACTCCCAAATTAATCTGGCTCAAACAATTCATATAATGGTTCAAAAGGACATTATGACAAATAAAAATTCATATAAGTATTCAAATACATGGAAGCACATGCATATTAATAAATATGATCTGACAGAAGTGCTCAAAATATATATAGAATTTTAACTGGATTAGAACCATTTTGTTATTTAAAGAGGTTTTAAAAATTTTGTTTCTCAGGTTTTATATAGCCAGTCTAAACCAGGTTTGTCTTAAACTTTATCTGTTTACCTCTACTACAAATATTATCGTTTCAAACTTGGTCATAGAATTCATTATTTAATTGCTATCGAACAATAACCAACAGAGAATTAGATCTTCAATTTTTTTTTCTCAAATTTGCAATATGTATCATGGGATATATCATAGCTACAAGTATTGTGTTGGTGTGAAAAATTAATTAGTAGATTTATTTAAAATTATTAAAGAATCTTTTTTTTTTTTTTTTGTTACACCTATACTTCAGGAAAGATTTGGAAAAGAACTGGACATTGTTTTTTTTGTATTAAGATTGTAGACATCCTATTTTTCTGTCTAGACATTAAAAAATATTAATTTTGAATATTTAATAGTTGACCGTTGCATTATAAAGGAAGGAGATGGTCCGGTGTGGCAGTCATAAAGAGGCTAAATAGTGGTAAATCTATTTTTATTAAAAGCCAACGTTTTGGCCCAACTTTGCAGGTCTTCTTCAGGGCTAGAACTGACAAAATTAAAAAAGATAGAGGATTGTGGAAGTGGAGATTGAAAGAAAAGGAAAACGGATATAATATGAAATAACAGACATAAAGGAATGTGGAGAAAGAAAAGAAAAAAAGAAAACCAAAAAATTAAATAAATAAGTAAATAAAATTGGAAGAATAAAATTAGAGACTTACAGGTGTGTGTTCAGCTAGGAGTTTCACTTAGAACTGGAAAACCAGAGTAAGGGCAGGTATAGGGGAAGCTGACTTGTTTGGGTAATGGGGAAAAACCTAGAAAATTACAGTATCTAAAATGTGAAGAACATGGATGGATACAATATAAATGGATATACAATGGAGAAATACTATATCTATGCAATTTTAAATTATAAATATATACATATAAAATAGAATTAAGAGATTATAGATAAGGATAAAATATAAATACAGAAATAACTTTATTTACATACATGCATTGCAGAACTAACTTAGAAGTATAGAGAGAGAAAAAATTAATAATTATAATTAAATTTGGTATACATATGTAAGAAAATTACATTTGAATATTAGATAATATTGAGACATGGTTAAAAAATAAAATGAATACAAAGTGAAAGAGAATGATCATACATTTATGCAGAGTGTAAATATAAATTTAAAATAAAAGAGATCATACAAAGCGGAAATACTTAGAATAATTAACATTAAATGAAAAGTTATTTTTCACTTATAAGATTTAAGTGATTTAGGTTTTTATCTACTTTATGTTTTGATAGATGATGAAGCAATATTGTTCTCAATGACCTTTTAGACTCTGTTATCTCTTCTTTTCATCAAGACATCATTTTCATCAAAAAATATATCATTGAGCTTCTCCTTGTTCTTCATATTGCCAGCATCCTTCAAATTCTTTCCTCATTTAACTCTTACGACCCCCGTCTCCATTCCACTATATAGAAAGAAGTTAACAAGTTACTCCCCTTCTTAGACCTCCTAATAATAAAAAACACTGACGGCTATGTTTCTACTGACTGGTACACTAAACCCACATATTCAGGCAGACTACTCAACTTTTATTCTCAACATCCGTATCACAAAAAAATCAATACCGCCAAAAATATTATTCACCGATCCCTTTCTTTATCTGACCCACAATACCACCAAGCCAACACTCAGCATGTCAAAAATATACTCCTTTCCAATAATTTCCAAAAACCCTCTCAAAACCCGCATTTCCCAACATAAAACATCCATAACTTCCTGGAACCCTTCTGCCTCCAAACTATCAGAACATGCCTTAACCCTCAACCACTCATTTGATTTTGAAAAAACCTCTATCCTTGCCACGGTCCCTAATCATTTCCGAATCCATCCACATTCACATGGAACAGAATCCTGTTAATCATAAAGTAGATAAAAACCTAAATCACTTAAATCTTTTTTTTTTTTTAAACTTTTATTATGATATTTACAACTGTATTAGTATGAATACATCAAGTAAATTTGTACAGAGAAATATTATTACATGAAACACGCTTGTTGAGAAACTACCCTCTGGTAGCACTCTAATAATTTGTCTACATGAGAAGATCACGAGGCCATCTTCTTTTCAGACGCCTCGGAGGGTTATCAGGAATCGAAGAGGAATCAAGGTTAGAAACAAGAGGATTCGGATGGTTATGAAGTTTATTATGGAAGGATAGGTATCTGGATTTGGCCAAATCGGAAACATATGGAACATTGAGGTACTTGAATCTTATAAGTGAAAAATAACTTTTCATTTAATGTTAATTATTTTAAGTATTTCCGCTTTGTATAATCTCTTTTATTTTATTTTATTTTAAATTTATATTTACACTCTGCATAAATGTATGATCATTCTCTTTCACTTTGTATTCATTTTATTTTTTAACCATGTCTTAATATTCTCTAATATTCAAATGTAATTTTCTTACATATGTATAACAAAATGTAATTATAATTATTAATTTTTTTTCTCTCTGTACTTCTAAGTCAGTTCTGCAATGTATGTATGTAAATAAAGTTATTTCTATATTTATATTTTACTTCTTCCATTTTCGTTTTTATTCACATTGTACTCTTATCTATAATCTCTTAATTCTATTTTATATGTATATATTTATAATTTAATATTGCATAGATATAGTATTTCTCCATTGTATATCCATTTATATTGTATCCATCCATGTTCTTCACATTTTAGATACTGTAATTTTCTAGGTTTTTCCCCATTACCCAAGTCAGCTTCCCCTATACCTGCCCTTACTCTGGTTTTCCAGTTCTAAGTGAAACTCCTAGCTGAACACACCTGAAAGTCTCTAATTTTATTCTTCCAATTTTATTTACTTATTTATTTAATTTTTTGGTTTTCTTTTTTTTTCTTTCTTTCTCCACATTACTTTATGTCTGTTATTTGATATTATATTCTTTTTCCTTTTCTTTCAATCTCTCCTGTAGATCTGTAGAAGTATATTCACATTTGCATTTATTATATATTACACTACAACAATTGTTAGCATCTATTTACTTCAGTTTAGGATCTTGTTATTTAGCTTACTCTGTTCATATTTTAATGTACTTACCGTTTATAATTTTCATAAGCTTATTCACATTGTTTATAATTTTTTGTCTAAATATTATGTAACTTCCACAATTCTCTATCTTTTTGTATCTTGTCCGTTCTAGCCCTGAAGAAGACCTGCAAAGTCGAGTCAAAATGTTGGCTTTTAATAAAAATAGTTTTACCACTATTTAGCCTACTTATGACCGCCACACTGGACCATCTCCTTCCTTTAAAAAATATTAATGTTTTGTTACAAAATGGAACCACTTCTGGTGGTGGGAGAAATAGAAAAAATTGAATTTTTTAACTCTGTGCTAAAATCAAACAAAAACTTCATCATTTTTGTAACTTTTTTAAAACTTTGACTAGACTATTTGATGTATCTATAGATGATTAACTGGTAGAAATGTTAATGTTTGATCATTATTAATTTATTATTGTTTAAGAAAATAAAGTAAGCATTTCATTTGTACAGCTCAATCCAGATGTAAATGCTTTCCAACGAAAATTTGTCAATGAAGTCCGTAGATGTGATGAGATGGAAAGGAAGCTTCGGTATCTTGAAAAGGAAATCAAGAAAGATGGTATACCTATGCTGGATACTGGTGAAAATCCCGAGGCTCCTCAGCCTAGAGAAATGATTGATTTAGAGGTATATTTTAATATGTTATAGTTTTCCTAAAGATAACTAGTACCTTTCTTACTCAACCAGTGATGCTATTAATTTAATTCAAGGCAACCTTTGAAAAATTAGAAAACGAACTTCGAGAAGTAAATCAAAATGCTGAAGCTCTGAAGAGAAATTTTTTAGAACTAACTGAACTCAAGCACATCCTTCGTAAAACTCAGGTTTTCTTTGATGAGGTAAGATTTTAATATCTTTTATTTGTTATATTTTAAATATTTTGTAGTATAGTAAGTATAGGGAAGATTGGGATAGCTCAGTGGTAAAGCGCTGAGCTTCCAATGCACAAAGTCCCAGATTCAAATCCCCCGGCTTATGGCGTATAAATTATTTATTCTCTTTCATCAACCATGAATCAACTCTGGGGTCGGGAGATCCTCCTGGGGCACACCCAACCCAGCCTATATAAAGTGGGTACCCTTAATTAATTAATTAAGGAGAAATGCTTGTGGTTGAGCATCATCTCGGTCAAATCATATCCTTTCACAATCTTTAACAAAGAAACAGTTCTGAATCCAGGATCCTTTATGAGTTGTAGTGGTGCAGTTTTTTTAAAAGTTCTTTATAGTAATTATATTAAATTAATTTACATTGCATTTAGTAATGAGCCTAGATATGGGTTAATATACATACTACTGGAAATGATTGCAATTTTATTAATAATTTTTGTTAAAATTGCACCCTTGTTTGCTTAAAATCTTAATCAAATTATATTTTGTTTTTTATAAAGTTAGGTAGATCTATAATAATTTAAGAAATTGTGTTTACACAATATTTTTCTAGTATATTTGAGAAGCTCCAAATCAAAATACATTCAGTCCATTTTCTTACAAAATTTTGCACTGGAATTGTAAATCATGTTTGGCAAGAAATTTTAAATATTTTGGATCATATTGCTTCTTGTCACTAAGTTGTAAGAGTTTATTAATGTACAAAATGAATTTTGATCGGAAGCTGCTCATTTGTCTTTTCCATGACAACAGCAAAAAACATCCATTCTTTTATAACTTATAATTTTTTTAAATATTTGATTATTTAAGTAATAATGTTTAACTTATGGTTTTATTTTTAAGGAATGTTGTGCACTGCATCGGAATATATCATGCGTATAATTCATTTATTTACTACATGATTCTTAATATTCTGTAGGAATTTTATTCTTTACTTTCTTTTTTTTTTCTTATAACTTTGAAACATAGCAATACTGCTTTTTTTTCTGATAAGAAGTAGTATAATTACAAATTTTGACCATCAATTTTTTTTTCATTAAAAATTGGTTCCCTTCTTTTTAAGTAACTAAGAGACTTATTATTTTTTTTTTTTTTTAGTGAGCTCGTAATATGAAAATTAATTTAGGTTTATAAGATATATATTTTCAATTTTTTGTAGTTTCTGTTTTGTGGCAAATAGGCACCACATCGGTTCCTTTCCCTTAATCCAAATCCTTCTGTACGTACTTTTCCAGTTTTATAAATAAATACATTAAAGTTTGCTATTGTAATTGTTGTGATCCCTTACAAAGTACTACAGATTATTTTCCCAGGTTATGGGATATTTTATTTAAATGTTCATAATTTTAATTTTCTTTATTTTCACTGTCAGTCAATTGAATTTGGTGTGGTACCAGTAAGTAAACATTTTTATTGTAAATACAATTAATTTAGTAGCTTAAACTGTTCTGATTGTGCACACGTTTTTTTTTATTTATTTATTTTTTTTTTATTATATCTTAACTAAATGCTTTTTTTCTTTACAATTATGTTTTTTATTACAATTCTATTATGGTGACGGCTTACTTATTTGTCTTGCATTTGTAGCTGTAATACTTTCAGCTTGTGCTAAAATATTTCAGCATGTGGTTTAGGATTATTATCAAATTTATTACTCATAATAATTTTTACTATACTTTTTAATTCTAAGGCTAGGCAACCACTAGAGACTTTTTGTCGATGTTGTCATGTTCAATTGCAGAAATTATCTTCTTGATTTTTATTTATTAATTTTTTGTTTCTACATACACTTGACGATTCGATTTTCAATTACATAAAAAACAGGCAATTTTTTTATTTCTTTAAATTTATATGAATGTGTGCTCAATGTAGACTTTCTACCTGTTATATTGTCTTCCAGTATATTTTTAATCAACATTATGATATTAATTTCTTCAAATTTTCCAATTTGTTTATGTTATCGAAAATGGTATTTTAATTAAAATAAAGGAATGAGTTGATTTAGTTAACCTTCAAAGGAATATTTTGGGTGAAAGTGTTTTCATCATTTTTAAAACCAGTCTTCTTTTATTTTTAAATGACAGTCTCAATTATTCACCACACATGATATGTGGAAAGGTCTACGAACTTAATATCATTATGAAAGAAATTTTTTATTTATTTATTAAATATCTCTAAAAATAGTTTATATTTAGTTAAATATCTCTCTCAGCAGTCTTTTATTAAAAGTGAACTATGTTTAGGTATTATTAAAGGCCATAATGGCATCGGAAAGTGGTGGCCACATCGCCCAGTATAGTGCCCCAGTCAGCCATTGGCTCTCTAGGTTGGAGTAACAACGGACTCACACACAGTACACTAAAACAGCACACTTATCCCTACACTCTACAGACAAAGATCATACAACATACAACAGTACAAGGTCGACAGTTGGACAAGGTGTGTCCAAACTGGACTTTAGGAGTAGATAAAATAGGGTAGGAGTGGAGAAGGATAAAAGGTTCAACTTACAGAAGCTCCAAGTCCCAATGGTAATGAACCAGTATAAAGATAAGCATACAGTTAACATATCATGAATGAGGATTGGTAGAAGATAAGTGGCAGACCTGTTTCAAAACCTTGGATTTGAAGGCCTGGACCCAAACCATAAAGAAGGTAATCTTCTTAATGATAGATTGAAAATCCTAGCAGAATGGAGCAGACGTTTTGTAGACCTTATGACTGATCCAGATGTCAACCCTGAGATCGTTAACAGAGTCCTACCTGGTGTGGGAGATATGGAATCCAAGTTAAAACCATTCAAAGGAGATGGAGGAAGCTGTGAATAGGCTGAAGACCACAAGGCTTCAGGGTACGATGGACTACCTGCCGAACTTTTATGATATTGAAGCAACGAACTAGTGAATGCATTTCAAAACATTTTTATTTTAGTGTGGGAGGATGAAGTAAAACACTCAGCATGGAGGAAATCAATGAACTGTCCAATTCACAAGAAGGATAATTACCTAGTGTGTACTAATTACAGAGGCATATCCTTAATGACTTCTGGATACAAAGTCCTCTCAAATGTACTATTCACATGTCTGCTTCCCTGTAGAGCAAGTAGTTCCTACCGATGTGGACTTTGACGTAGAAAATCGACTCTTGACCAAACATTTAGCCTGAGAAACGTACTGGAGAGAAGACATGAATTTAAGCAGAAGACACTTGTCTTACTTGTCCATCTCTTCAACGATTTTAAGGCCGCATACGATCGTATTAATTGTGATGAACTCTATCTAGCGATGGAGGAATTTCATATTCCTCAGAAGCTCATGCGTATGGTGATGATGAACTCTATCTAGCGATGGAGGAATTTCATATTCCTCAGAAGGTCATGCATATGGTGAGGCCGACCATGAATGAAGTGTTGTGTTCAGCGCACATTAGTGGAGATCTATTCGAAGAATTCCGAGCAACGAAGACCCCATGACAGGATGACACCCTCGCATGCCTCTTATTCAATATTGCTTTGGAAAAGGCTGTGAGGAAATCAGCCATGCAGTTTGGGCAAACAATTTTCAGTGGGAGTATGCAACTAATTGCTTATGCGGCGATTTCGACATCATTCGGATTTGGCATTCTCAGCAGGCTGTCAGGGAAGCTTTTCTAGCACTTATAGGTCCTGCAAAGAAACTTGGGCTCAAGTTGAACCAGAAGAAAACCTAGTACATGGTGACCGAAGAGACGCCTGGACACAATAAGATGGTGACATTCAGGGACTACCAGTTTGAGCAAGTCACCGAATTTATTTATTTAGTTTCACGTGCTAACATAGGACAACAGTGCAAAAATGGTAAATAGAAGGAAGATAATTTCTGTTAATCAGTGCTACTACAGTCTGAGAAAACAGCTTGGAAGCCACATTCTGTCCTACCAATCTAAATTACATCTTACAAAACCATAATCCAGCCAGTGCTAATATATGGCTCAGAAACATGGGCTATGACCAAATCCTCCTTGTGTTCGAGCGTAAAATCCTTCGGAGGATATTTCGTGGATGGAACCTGGAGGAGGCACACAAACTAGAAGGTTTATGATCTATTTAAAGAGCCAAATGTCGTTCAGGTGATTAAACTGTGCCAGTTGCGGTGAGCGGGGTATATGGCGTGCATGAGTGAAGAAGAGTTGTCCCAGAAGCTTTCAATATAGCCTCTCTATTGAGCGTAAAGATGAGAAAGACTGAAGCATACATAGCTATACGAAGTTGCAGCTGATGTTCGTAACATCCTTGGAGTGCGCTACTGGAGGGCTGTATGTGACAATTGGCAGAAGTTGCTGGTGGAGGCGCCGATCTGGAAACGGGTTGTTGTGCTGAGATAATAATAATAAAATGATATAACTACCGTTGTCTTTAAAAAATTTTGTTTTGAAAATTTATGGATGGTCTTGTAGGTGTAATAATGGATAATAAAAATGACTCAAAAGTAATTCTACAAAAAGTCTCTTGTGTGTGCCCAGCTTGATTTGTTTTTACTATATTTTTATTTGTACTTACACACTTGTCGAATGTACTAGATGCCTTGATGTTAGTCTTTTCTTTCTAAAACATCATGAAGACATCTCTGACAAACATTTTTACTGCATTGTGCACTGTTTCCTAGCTCTTCCATTCTTAAAATTTAACAGTACTTTAAAAGTATTTAACAATTTATTCAATTTTTGATTACCATGTTTAAAGATTCATTATGTACTGAATTATTTGATGTTGCATCCAAAACAAAATTTATGTTTCTTATATGTGACTAGAAACATTATATAACAGCAGAATGCTTCATGATTGTTCAAGAGCAGACAAACTAGCTTTCATTCAGTTATTAATTTTTCTATCCAAAGTTATTAAATTTTATGTATTTTTATCATATTGTTATATATAGTGTTAACATATTCAAAATCATTTTTAAAATTTGTTAAGTGTTACCTTTACTTCCTTATTCCATTTGTCCATCTTTTTCCTTGTAATTAACCTTATTCCCATGTGCGTGGTCTGCGCGCGTTGTGGTGTTTGTTTTGCCAGAAACAGAGCCAATTCCAAGAGTCATACCAACAGATGACAGATCCACGGAGGGAGGAGGAGCAGACGCTGCTTGGAGATGAATGGCTCAAGGCAGGAGGACAAGTCCTTAAGTTAGGGTATTTCCAATCTTCATTTCTAATATTAATTCCTCTCAGGATTGATGTATCAGTTGGAGATAAAAGCTTATTTTGAAACTATTTTTTATTAATATGACAAAATTTTTTAATAGTTTAAGTTTTATATATTAAATATACACCTCAAAGGATTGCCAAAAATATGGTATTATTTTGTTCTGTCATTTACTCCTATAATTAACAAAAGAAAATAGGGTTTATTAACCCATTCAAGTGGTCAACCTTAATTGTAATTTTGTTACTGATATACAAAATTAAATATAATGCAATAACTTATTTCCACACACAATGGGGCTATTTTCTCAATTGTTTCTTAGCCATCACCATTTAACTTAAAGATTATTTAAAATTTAAATTCAATAATAAAAAAAAAAACAATTCCTCTCAGTTCTGATTTAATTTCCCGTTCTCTTGTATAGTGAAAATTATTTATTTTGAAATAAGTTTTTAAAATTCAGCTATAAAACAATATATATTGTTTTATGAGAAGTGTAAAGTGGTTATGTTAATCAGGCCGGTATATTTAGTATACACAAGACAGAAAGTATTAGTGAATATCGATTTCATTCTTACAGAATGGTTTATCTTAATCCCTGTTTTTTTCATAAGAAACGGATGAAGGTGACATTTCTTCATACACCATAAACAGATCTGTGAAAGTATTAGCAGTGTGGAGCTGTATTCAGCTCAAGAATACTAAGTCTGTCTTGAGACATAAATCAGGCTGACAAAAAAGCATTGTCTTTTATTAAAGATTATATATTTTCATGCATTTATTGAGTTTATGTTTATCGTTGTTCTTTCTGTTATTGTTGTTGTTGCTCTAGCAATGATATTACTCTTGTTAGCTCAGTCTTATTATTATTTTGTTTTTAATAATAATTGATCTTTTAAAATACCTTTTTTTGTGTTATGAATAAAAAAAATTCTATCTGATATAAAACAAGTTAGAAACTTTATAAACAGAAATTGGTGTAACAATTTATTTAATTTAAATTGGGGATTTATGGTTACAATTTTACTTAGGTTTTAAATTACACCTTTCAATATTTTTCCTCTGTTATTAAACAGTTTGGTATATTTGGTTGTGCTTCTGTTGTTTAAGGGTTGAATTGAGAACCTATTTGCAATTCAGATATGGCTTCACACATCTCTCCTAGTAGTTTATATACTTCTGAGATGTTGGAAGAAATTGTTTCCATTCATAATTTCATCATTAAAAATGAAAGACTTGTTTATTTATAAAAGTTTGTATGAATAGGTTATCTTTAGTCCAAGCATTGTGTTATTCAGAATCTAGACTTCTTGTTTCTTGTTCTACTTATCTTAACCTCTAAGCATAGCTACGAACACCATTAAAAAAGTTCATGTCTTCCATTTTTCCTTTCATATCCAAGTATTACTATTTAACCTCATAGCATGTCCACCATACAAACGTCTACTAATTAGAATTAAACTAGCTTGAACTCTTTCCTGTAATTCCTAAGTCTCTCTCTTCATTCCACACTTTGAAGTCAGTGTTAAACTGACTCATTAGTGGCTATTTTTTTTTTTTTATAATAACTTTCATTGTTTAAATGTTTATAACTTATGTACTCCTGTTCCTTTATCTTTTTTTAAAAATGTTTTTGAGCCACTGTTTTCTTTATCTTTTAACATTATTGTAACTTATTCATTCACTAGATATTTTAGTTGAACATGTAGCTAGATAAATAGATAGAGGATAAAGTAGTTTTATGTAAATAAATCCTAGGTTTTCAAATGAATACACTAAATTATCAAATTTTGTCAAGAACATTACTTTTAAATAAATAATTGGTAATATCAAGTAAAATTTGCGTTTTCAGGATATGTGGCAAAAAAGAAAGAGTAGCAATCGGTTAACAATTGATTTCTTAAATTCTATGAGTGTGAAAGAAATAGTTTTATTATGAGCTCCATCATTTAGAATTATTAGTGTGCTCCAATATACTCACTCATCTTCTTCACTTTAATTTATATTTACAATATCACCTCTTAGTTTATACCTTGGGATATTCTCGATAATATATTCAGCAGCATTTTTGTGAATCAAAATCCCTTAATTATTCATCTTCTCAAACTCTTAGTTTTTATGATGAAAAGAAATTTCATGATTTATATATAGCTAAATTATTCTTCCTCATTTGATTTATTAATGCTGCTACAAGATTTGGCTTATCATTAAATAGAACCTTTTAAACCTAATTTTTCTATTTTCATAAATGCTTTTAAATTAGGAAAATGGGGTAAGGTAAAATTAATATTGGTTTTTGTTTATTTTAAAATGAATAGCTTTGTAAAGAAAGGGACTTGTTCTATAAAAAGACACTTTTCAGGAAACACTTATTTTCTCCCTCTATCTTATCATTCTAATAATAATCATAATATGGGGTTTCAATTTTATCATACAAAATAATAAAAATAATTTTTCCATTACTTCATTTTAATTCAAAGTTTCTTATGCATCTTTGGATTACAAAAGTTCTAAATCTTCATTTCTATCCAGCGTTTTCCCTGGATAGAAATTGTGGGAGTTGCTCTGTCTTCTTCACCTTACTCCTAAATAGAAATGTACAACATCCACCATTTTCTTTTATCTTCTTTAGGTGTCACAGTATGGATCGTTCTCTTCTGTGAGGAATAGAGAAAAGTCCTGTAGATACTAATACTTTTCTTTAGCTGGCCTCAAACAGCTCGGTTTGTGATCACATGTTTGGCAGATTCCTGGATGCCACAACTGGGACATAGGGAATCGGTATTCTTTTCAATGTTTTGCAACTTGACATAAAAGTCTCCATGCCCGGTGAGGAATTGAGAGCTTCAAAAATAACTCTATGCTCCAAAATTTCAAATTCGCCTATTAAAAAAGTTGTTGGTTATTGAAGAACTTGTTACACAGTTAATCTGCAAGTTTCATCAACTAATACCTTATTAATAATTTTTAAGCATTAATTGATTTCAGTGAAATAATGTCCTTTCTTTATGATATAAGCATTTTGGTAGTTTTCTTTGATAGAATCATCTTAAAATTAAATATATATATACTAATTGATTTTAATGTTAAGACTGTATTTTTCATAAATGGGTTGTAAAAATGATAAGTTCTAGAACAGTGAAGTCATAATCGTGAACATCTTTGCTATCTTCCTTGTAGGAAAATGTTTTCTACCAAAATTGGACTTATTAGGTCAGCTCATCGAAAATCTCTAGTGTTGTCTTTAATATAGGGAGTTAATTTTCCCATCCCTTCCTTGGTGTGAAGCGCTTATCTTCTCATTTTTAACATGACGCAACAATCAAAATTAGTTCATTTAATTAAATTTCGATATAACAGGAGTCTGAGAATTGGTACTAACTTGATTTCATCAAAAAATGGACAGCGTCCCTTTCTTTATGAAGCCATTCAAATGAGGTGTATATTTATTCTATTTTTTATTTAATGTTTAACAATTTAGTAAAATATGATTACACAAATGATTGTGGTTGTTGAGGTAATTAATTAAAGCATTTTTTTTTTCTAAATTGAAGTTATTTAGTTGATATTAGTTTATTGATATTCCTTCAGCATTTGAAAACTGTTATTAAGTAGATATTAAGTAACCATTAATAGCAATCTGAATATATTTATTTTCCATTAATATTTTCTTATTGGTGAAATGTGATCTATATTTTACACTTTCTTAATGCGAGATGTAGACATCTTGAGCACATAATTTTTCAAGAGTTTAATTTGGTGTTGGATTGCTATTGTAGGTGCAGTTCATTTCAATTCTGGCCATGGGTTCTCTTTTAAGGCTGCTTTGATAATGAAAACAGATCTACTACATAAATATAATTTAATTTTTATGCATGTTTGGTTGGTTTCTGCATGAATATGTGAATTTTCTTGATGCATGTTGCATGATTGGACTAATATTAAAACTACTTACTTTTTAAAATGTTTTTTTTTTTTCACTTTTGTATTATATTTAATTGTATTTTCTATTCAAATAAAGTTATAAAGCTTTTATTTCTGATATCTACTTGGAATTTTCTTTATTAATGAGCAAGACAAAAAAGTTGTCTTAAGTTAATTAGTATTTTTGTAATCTATAAAGTCAGTTGTGGATTAGGTTAGGATATATGCATTCATTTGTCTATAATGATTGCGGTTCAATGCTTTTCTAAGTGAGGATTTCTGTGAAATTTTTAATATTTTGTTCCACGAGGTTAGTTGTTCCCATTAGGTTGCAACTTCATCTTCTAACATTGGGATAGTAATGACTTCCTTACCACTTAATTATATGGTTCTACAGGTACTTTAGTTTTACATTTTACTTGGTACTTCAGCTTTATTAAAGGCATATCAAATTTTAATTTTTTTTTTTTTAATATTTAAGCAATTTTGGTATTATTGTTTTATCCTTACTGCTTTTATGTTGATCTTGAAAACGCAATTGTTTTAATAGACTATCTGGAATCAGAGAAGTCTTGAACTCTTGATGTATTGTTTCGGAATCTATGTGCTGTGGAAATAAATTTATTCTTCGCAAATATTGATCTGTTTCAGCTAATTTTCTATTATAGATCATCGTATTAATTAATATATCCTTATTCTTATTTATTAAAAATATTATAGCATATAAAATGTTCTGTCTTTTCCTTCCATACTTAATAAGAGACAAATCTATTTATTAAATATATATATATATATATATATATATATATATATATATATATATATATATATATATATATATATACATATATATTTAAAAGCTCATAAAAAACATGGTAAAATTTGGAGTTTCGGGATGAGTATAATAAGAACTTGATGTTTCTTGAGTAACAGTTATAAAGGAGGATATTGCCATCCATAGTCAGCCTCCAGGTTTTTTTCTCTCAATCCTATGAAGTTAGTTACACCCTTGAGATTGGGTGTGTTCATTAAAGGTCTATCAGCCCCACAGTCAATTTGCGAT